TCGCGAAAACATCGACCAGGCTGTAGACTAATGCCCGTTTTCGTTATCAATCCCTAATTGTTAAATGCCCGTTTTCACCATCAATCCCTAATTTTTAAGTGACCCCTATAGTAACACATAACCGGAACTTTGTTTTTATAGGGGTCACTTAAAAATTATTTAAGTGACCCCTATGAAAACAAAGTTTCAATAAAGAAATTTATTAATGGATGGTGAAAACGGCATAAGGCTACGAAGTGAAGCTCTAAACTAGATTTACCAAGCAAACAAGTCTGTATGCCGGTATTCACCAAATTATAATCAAGTAAACACATGGAGGAATCTTCTAGTATTAGTCGTATACGTTGTAGTTTCTGAGAGTTCATGATGAGTGAGTGAGTCAGTTACCTTTCGGTTTTATAGATATAGATTCCAGTTTTATTTAAGTAACTAGCTTTCCGCCCGCGGCTTCGCCCGCGTGGAATTTTGTCTGTCACAGAAAAACTTTATCGCGCGCGTTTACCCTGTTTCAAAAACCGGGATAAAAACTATCCTATGTTCTTTCCCGGGACTCAAACTATCTCTATGCCAAATTTCATCAAAATCGGTTGCGAGGTTTAAGCGGGAAAGCGTAACAGACAGACAGACAGACAGACAGACAGACAGACAGACAGACAGACAGACAGACAGACAGACAGAGTTACTTTCGCATTTATAATATTAGTTGGGATTAAGCAGATAAATGTCTATGTATATTGGTATAGTGTACAAACCTGCGAGTTGAGATGCATCGAGGGCCGCGGCAATCCGGTGCCGGGCAGCAGCGGCGGCGCGTACGGCGACAGCGGCCGCGACCCGCCCGGCGACGACACGCTGCGGGACCGCGCCTGCCGTCAACCAACATACAGCATTAATTAGTCTCTAACACCCGTATTCACAAACATTACTTTGAGGTCTCACAGTGCGCGTGGAACCACAGGGTGACACACGAGCCAATCACAGAGCTCTATTCAACGCTGTGCGTTCGATTTGCTGTTTCACTTAAGCAAACATCGTTTGTTAATACGGGCGTAACTCTCTAACTAATGAAGGAGCACGACTCTCTCTAATAAATGGAAGATTTGGCCAGACAGGTTGGGGATGTCATGTTACAGTCAGCGTCAAAAAGTTCGTAACACTCAGTGACCAGAAAGTTAATAAGACAATCTGTGTGCTTACTACTTACCATGAGTTTACGTTAGGTGTGCTCGCTAGCGAGTGCGTCAAAAATTCTATAAAGATTTTAGTTCTTCAAAGTAGCCGCTAGAGACGCTGTTCAGTCTGTCATATATTTTAATGTCTGTTTTTGACGCAGTCGCTAGCGAGCACACCTAGCGTATCCCTACTGTAACAAAGACGTGTTACGACATTTTTGGCTACTTTGGGTGTCACGAACTATTTGACGCTGACTGTACAAGAAACATACGTCAACCCTCAACAATAAGATAGTTAATTGACATTCTATTAATGAGCAGTCAAAACGCGACTGTCCCGTAGATTTTATACAGCAATAGGGACTATGTCGTCATCAGGTCGCGAACTGTACTGACTGACAAATATTAAAGATGGATTTTCAAGATTTATCGATTTTCACATCCAGTTGAAAAATTTATCCGTTTTCAGGTCTAGAATGAAGCATAAATAAAGAAGTTGCATCTTAGAAATGATGATTTTAATGTTGTACCAACAACTCCCCAATTAAATTAAGGGCTGATTTTTCAATCGTCAGATATTATTTAACTGAAGAACAAGCTTGTCATTTTGACATATTTTTNGGAAGAGCTAGATATTTCCCATACTGAATCTGTCAATGTGTCAAACTTATTCTTCAGTTAAAAGTTATCCGATGATTGAAAAATCAGCCCTAAGTTCCTGAAAAAACGCATTTCAATCCTTCTACATGGGTCATTCCATGACGCATTCATTAATTTGGTTTACGCAATCGGTGCAAATAAGTCGTGTGCCGCGTAGTTTCTCATAAAAGTAATAGAGTTATTTCTTAAAAAAAACTCACACTCAATGCTTCATTGAACTGTCTCTCCTCCTCCATTTCAAGCGACGATTCACTTTCAGAGAGATGCCGACACAGCGCTTCACGACGTTCAACCTCCTGCTGTAGTTTCCGTTGCAGGCGGAGATTTTCTTCCCTGATATGCTTCTCTTCTAAGGCGAAACGATGCATCTTCTCCTTATTCTCATTCTGTGATACAGCCAATTGGTTCCTGAATACGAAAAAAAGAAACAAATATTAAAATAAGCATAATAATTATTTATATTTTTAATTAAACAAAACAAAGATTAATTACCTTAACTTGACAACCTCTGAGCGCAATGTTTGAATATGATTGCTAAGATTGGATGCAGTGTCTCCATTACTAATGTCCCTGAAAAAACAAGTGATTGATGTGGACCACACACAAGTACTATTTCCATGTGTCATACTAATTATGTACTCAATAAAAAATAAAAATTGTTAACCCATATAATGTTATCTAACAGTGAACACTTATTATGTAATGCCAATATGTTTATTATGTATTAAAACTACCTATTTAACGTTTTTGCTATGAAAGGAATGGCTGTAGTGTTCAAGTATTGTGTTGATAAATATTTAACATACCTAGGACTGGCTGGGTCCGACACAGGCTGATCCAACCTAATTTGAAGAGACCTTTTTTCTGCTTCAAGCTTATCCATTCTTTTCCATAGCCTATTCACCAGAGCTTCTTGCTCTTGTTCTAAAGTGTTTTCTAACTCGACCTGTAATGTACATAAATATTTTTTTAATTCAGTCAAAGTCTAAAATAACCAACTTTCTCTTGTGTTAGCGATATTTTAAAATAAATATAATTTATAACTTTAAAAAAAGTATTATTGAAATAGTAGTTTTACTGAATGAAGAAAAATGAAGTTTTTACTAGTGATCAATTAATATGTATATTGCAAATAACTATGCTGTTATGTTCAGTTCATATACCTTTTCTCTTCGGAGTCTTTCTAAATTGGTTTGCTTTGCAAGTGTCTCTGCTTCAAGTTTCTCAATTTTTCTCATTAGTTTGTTCACTAGACATTCCTGCTCTTGCTCAAGTGTTTGTTCAAGGCGACATTTCTCTTGCCGCAACTATAAAAAAGAGAGAATAATTATGCATTTTGCATTCTTATGTCTTAGCCTTGATTAAAATGCACAATGTAAATGAATTTCTTCCCAATTTTAATCAAATAATTAAACTGATTAAAAAATAATACCTACCTGGTTTAATTTTCTTGAGAGATCATTAGTAAGACACTCCTCTTCCCTTTCATAGTGATGTGCTAATGTTTCCTTCTCTTTCTTTAATGCTTGAATTTTTTTCAACAATGTATTGGAAATGTATTCCTCTTCTTGCTCAGCTTTAGCTTGCTGTAGAAAACAAAGATTTTTGTATAAAAACTGGTTTGATAATGTGCCATATAAAATAAAAATTATAGAGTACTGAAAGTAATTCTAACAGTGCAGCCACAAAAAAATATTGAAAATTAAAAAAAAATATATAATAGGTCGCCTTGAAAATGCTGAAATATTTGTTACCAAAAGTATGAATGAAGATATTACAAAATCTTATTTGAGAAGTTATGGGCTTCCAATTCATTTCCTATTGTAATTTTTTTAGACAAAATTAAATAACCTATATTTATGTCCAAGGCAATTTTAGACAATTACACAATTTAGGTATTCTAACTCATAAAAACAACTGAGGATAGTTTTCTTTGGGGAATCCTGCAACCAAACCTATCACAATGCAGATCCACCATTGCAAAATATACTCACTATAGAAACTGAAGCCTGTCTCAAAGCTCGATTCTCTTCCTGCAATGCTTTGACTCGAAGTTTATAGGTATCTACTTCCACCTTGAGAACTCTGTAAATAAAATATATTTGATAACACTAGGACTGATAGTTTAACAATAATTAGATTCTAGTTTGAATATGTAGGTACTTCAACAGCTTATGTGGTTACATGATATCTTAATAAACAATATTTTAATTGTACTACGAAGATGATGATAAACTTTATTACCTATTTTGTTGCTGCAGAGATTCAATCCTTTTCTGTAACTGATCACGCGAAATAGTGCTCGGAGGGAGCATTGCGCCGCCGTCAAGTGAACTAGAGTCACTTTCCGAAGCGGAATCAGCCATCTTATTTCCTAAAACAAATTACCGTGATTCAAACTAAACCAAAAGGGTTATTTCAAAAGTGTAGTGATAAAAGTTTACCTGGAGAAATCACAGAATCATCCATTTGCACGAGTAATGAGGACGGCAGTCAAACGTCAATATGAAGAAACAAATATGCCTGCAAGTCCTTAACTGCAAAGGATGACTTTACAACGGCTAAATTAAAGACAAATCAAGAATCATACGAAAAGCGCAATGCCAATAAAATAGAATACAACACATGAATTTTCTAATTTTCGACTTCAGTGATGATGATCACAGATTAGACATTAGACAGATCACTTTTTTTTTAATTCTCTTTAATGTAGTGTTACGGACCTGCTTCAGGCTTATTAAGCCAATCTAGATATAATCGAGTAAAAAGATAGTGATGTCCAATCGATTATCATTGATCATTCAATAAAAAAAATATTTTTATATTCAATTAAGAAAATTATTTTCAATTCTTTTACAACTTTTTACTCTTGAATCTATAAAGTCTAATTATTTATATTCACAGATGAGCTTCAAGAGGAAATAGAGGAGTGGCCGTGGCAACGCAACGCAAGAACACTCTTTAATGGAAGAAAATTGTTTAAACTTTTGGATTTGTTTTGGTTTCACTCATCAAGTTCAAGTTCAACATTTCAAAAAGTTTCCAGCCCGCTATTTTGTATTTTGAACAATACTTTCAAACAATCGACAACACTCCTTTCATTATTAAAAACTACTAAATCCTGATTGTATTTTAGATATTGCTACACAGCTCCAAATGGTAGGTGCAACTGCTGCAACACCACCAGAAAAAAAACATAATCGTAAAAAAGTGACACACACGCCATAATGTAAATTGCTTCTAGATTTGGCGTTTGAGTTAAAAAATCTACTTTTTGATGCTAAAAATTCGTTTAAAATGTATACAAACGACATCTAAAATGTCCCTAGTAAATATTGGTAAGAAGCAAGTTCAAACGATTTTCTTACTAGGTGTGAAATCTTCGCCTTGAATACTATTTAGGTTGGTTCAAATGAATCGAATCCATTTCGATAAATTCGTGTAAACGGTATCAGAGAACCTTCCCTTCTTGTTCTTTATGTGTTATCATAACTAGAAACATGTTTACTACGTTTAAAAAATAAGTGATAAAAAGGCGATGGTCGGGTCGTCGCCATTGAAGTGTTCGTACGGTCCACGGAGTCATTGTAAAGGTGTACTGTGTTCAGGGTATATGGCATAATAACTGTCATCGCAACGTAAAGGTTCGTCGTAACTTCGATCCAGTGTCCATCCTTTTGAAGAATTGAAAGTAAATGGTTTTGGTGGAAATACATAGTGATTAGGTGTAACCAAGCCATGTATTGAAGTTTGGTATGTTGTAAACAAAACGTAACTGTGCGAGTAGTACGAAATTTTTCTTGAAATAATCAGTAAAATCACTTCCATTCAAGTAAACAAGTCCATCCAAATATACCTACTGAATTGGTAATCCAAGATAATATTTCTAGAGCAGTGATCATCTGTTTTATAGGTACATAACAGGGTGGTCAGCCAAAACTGTCAATGAGTATTAATAAGTTTCTATGCATTTACAGTTCCTTTATTTTAGGCTAAGTGTTTGCAATGGCTCAGTTTTACCAGATAGTTGGACAAGGGCAATCATTCACATTAGAGGATCTTCAAAGATACTGTCCAAACATATGCTTGGATGGAATTATAGTTAACCAAGATGAACAACAATATGCTCAACAGCAGGTAAGTATAAATAATTCAGCTGTCTATCAAAATCAAAAATATTTATTCAGTTTAGACCACAAGTGGCACTTATGAACGTCAATAGAAAATAATAAAAAAAGAAAAAGGTAGCCCTTATGGGGCACTTTACATGTCTCCTTATCTTTTGGGCCCTACCAGCGCTTCGAGACAAACATATGGCAAGTGCTGAGAAGAAACGCCGGAACAAACTCAGTTACTCAAAACTATGTTATTCAAAATAAACCTACTGCAAGTAATCTCAATTCAGATATAACATGTCCCTGTTATCAGCAAATCTTGGCTTATATGAAACAAATGTATTTGTGAGAAGGAGACCTGTTGTTTTCCTTCTGAGTTGACTTTTTCACCTTGAAACAGAAGATGTAGGTATTTCAGGATTTAGTATGGTTATTCGATTCGATGTTGATTTATTTCACTATGCCTTGAACCTGAAACTTATTTAAAGACAGTTGCAAACATAGTATGTACCTACTAGAGTGTTTACCCGATAGGTTTTTTTATAAATACGTCATTATTATTTTGTATAGGTTGTGGTACAACAAGCCGACCAGCCTAATGATATCATAGTGAGTGAAGGAGTGCAACAACAGCTTGTTGTTGGTGATGGCTTGCAATATCAACAACAATACATCATCAGGCATGAGCCCCCGCCTCCACCTCCTCCGAGACCTGAGTTTCAACAACAACAACAGCAACAGCAGCAGAACCAACAACATCCACAACAACAGGCCCTACATAGACATCAAGTAAGTCTTAGTTATTTTTCATGTAGTTCAAAGCAGGGCTGGCATTTGTCTGCCCTCGTGTAAAATTATGTAATAAACCTTTATTTTAAAGTAACAAATGAAGATAGAAGGAATCTATGTCATTTATTTATAGTCCAAATCATTTGTATTTAAGAATAAATGATGCTGTGTCATCCTTCAAATGTTCCTTTATTCTGTGTTACGAAGTATGCATAAAAATAAACATGCTTGTTACAAATATCAGCTCTACTTGTTACTTAATCATGATTTTTTATGATCAAGTTTGTGTAGATTGCTTGTTAACTTAAATTTTAAGGGAAAATATAATTATTCTTTCAGTATAAGAATTGGCTGTATTATAAAATAATGTAAGTGAGAAATGTATGCAAATGATTGCACTTGATAGCAGTATATTCTTTATGGAATATTTATTTGTAGGTTTACTACACATCCGATTTACCTGTGGATGCTCAGGTTGTGTTGCAACAGGCTCAACAGATCATTGACGCATCTTTGATGCAACAGTCATCTCCACAGCGCCCTCAACATGTATGTCTGTTGGCTCAATCATTGTGTATTACATATAAAATATAACCAGCAATTATGTTATAATGCACTTTAGGATTATAGACCTTAACAGTAGAACTTCCTTCATTTAATTTTATGCTTAGCATGAAACTACTTGACTAGTTCGGGCGACAATAGTTAGACTTTTTTGTTTTATTTTTTTAATATCTTTGGACAATAATCAAACGTAATGATGGAAGTAATGATTGCATTTTAAATTATTTGTGATAATATTATTAATCAAAGTGATTCAAAATACTTTAGCATTATTAGATTTATTTGGAGAATCTAAATAATATTCGCTTCATAGCTTTCCAATACTGGGTCAATATTTAAACATGTTTTGTGCTACTAACCGTCTTTGTGAAGTTAAAAAGGCCTACTAATACATATTGTTTATTAATACATATTTTGTTCATATTTATATTGATTTTTTTATAAAATTGGGATAACACATTTTAATGTTTGACCTCATTAACCTATTTGTATGATTGGTATTTTATATGGGGATCTTTTATTTTTTAAACAAATATTGTTATGTGGATGTGGTTGAGTAGTTTTTGTAAATATTATCTTTTTTCCATTTCTTTTCTAGAGTACTAAATAGCTTAGCTTATGTTTCTCAGTGGTGTCAATGTTCATAATACTTATTCTACTGACTGACTGGCATACTTCAGATTAATTTAAATGTAAATACAGTGTCCCAAAACAAATTACTTTTGCTAAATAATTGTTGTGAACTAACAATTTTTTGTGTTTAACTTAGGGAGGCAAAATTAGCTTGTTTTTAAACAACCTTTGGCTTTTTATGTCACAAGTTTGTTTTTGATACCTAGATAAATTAAAACTCATTAAAAAACTCTTTAAAACTAAAACTAAAACTCATTTATTTCTGTAAATAGGCTTAAAAAAAGCACTTTTACTTGTACATAACTTATATTACTGTTGGGGGCTATGCACTACAATCAATGCATAATTATACAGGTGTTCATTATGGAGGAAAAAAATATCTGTTTATATTTATTGCAGCGATTTTTCTGTATGGCTTCATATAATATGCATCAGGAAAAAATGTGCTGAAAAAATGCGGAAAAATCCTGTTTTCATAAAAAACAGGAGTTGATTTATAAATTAACTACAGCTGCAATGTTTACTATTTAAGCCACTCTGTCAGTTCTGTATTTCTGATTTTATTAAAAATGTAAGATTAAAACTCAAAGGACAATGACCAAAAATGTATGGAATGTGGTCCAAATGTCCACCAGTAACGAGACCTATGTAGTAAAATAGTCTACTAAATACTGATTCATTATAACCAAACTGCAATCAAAAATATGCTGTCAGTAAAAAGTTATGACTGAATGAAAAGTCTGTTTTTTACCTATTCATCCAAAAATGTTCTTGATATCATTATATCCATTGCACATTTTGGACTAATCTACGCATGTTATGTCATGTCGCATGTGGCGCGGGGTTATAGATGAATTTTATTAAATACTAGCTGACCCGGCGAACTTTGTTCCGCCTTAATGGCAATAAATAAGCAGACTTTTTTTTAATTTCGAACGGGATAAAAAGTATCCTATGTCCTTCTCCTGGCTCTAAACTACCTCCCTGACAATTTTCAGCTAAATCGGTTCAGCCGTTCTTGAGTTATAAGCGAAGTAACTAACACGACTTTCTTTTATATATATATAGATTATGATAGCAGTGCCTACGAGTCCTACGACTTTGTACGCGTGAAAATAGTTTGAATAATATTTCCCATTTTTACAACATTTGTCTTTACTGCTCCGCCCCTATTGGTTGTAGGGTGATGTTATTTATCCTAAAACCATCCTTGATAAATGGGCTATCCATAACAAAAAGAATTTTTCAAATCGGGCCAGTAGTTCCTCAGATTAGCGCGTAAACTACTTCAATTTTTCAAACAGTCATAACTTTTTACTGACACCTTAATTTTTTTCGCCCCATACTGAAAGTTAATCTGTATTGGATGGACTATAAGCTAATATAGGTCTCATTAGTGGTGGACATTTGGACCACTTTTGGTCATTGTCCTTTGATTATTTGAGTATACTATATCTCGTCAAATATCTCTAAAATGGACCAATATGTATCATTATCATCCCTGTTGCGATTATGGGACGCCTTGTATATTATTACGTGGAATGAAAGAAAATTGCATGTTATAGTTACAATTCTGTGATTTTTAATATAAATAATGGTGCAAATAACTAAATTATGTACATGTAACAAATCAGCTTAATCTGGAAGGAATGGTGTACGTAAATAATGTCACGTTGTATTGCTCACCCATAGGCCTTAGGCAAAGCTTACATGTTTATTAAAATTGTTAGTTTCAGGCAAATTTTTTCAACATAAACATTTAAAATTAAATTAGTATGAATGAACTCAATTGAAACATTTAAGTTACACCTCCTTTGTTCCCCTAAAAATTAGTATGAACTCAATTGAAACATTTAAGTTACACCCTCCTTTCTTCCCCTATGGGCATTATTGTCTTTTGCTTACACTCATAGAGACTGCCTCAAAGTTTTTCATCACATGTGACATAATTTAAAAACCATTTCATTCCAAATTCGAAACCATAGAGTGCATAGAGTTCTTATAACAGCAGTTGGTGACGCCGGCGCATGTTCTGTCGCAGCCCACCGTCATCCACCCGGCGCAGCAGCCCCCGCCGCAGCCGCCACCTCCGCCCCCGCCGCCCCCGCAACATGCCCCGCAGCAAACCGTTAGTATTACTTGCTAATAGTGTTTAAACTTATTTATTTATGCAAGTAGGCTTTTAAAAAGCACTTTTACACATCCCAGTGTATTAACCCTACCACTGCTTCAGGACAATAAATGGGCCAGTGCTGAGAAAAATCAGCGCAAGAAACTCAGTCACTTGTCAGCCTCTTTTTCAAGGGTTTACTACACATTACAGTCTTTAAAATATACATACATACTTATATTTATGCGAGCTAACCAGTTAAGCATCCCAAACATTTTTATCTTTTAAATAATAATCGACTTTATAGTAGCCCTTTTACATTCAAGTACTTTTAATATTTATGTGCTTTGAATTTATGAATGGGCAGTTCTACAACAGTTTGAGGTAATTTATTAAAGAGCTTAATTGTTTGTATGTAAGTCATTTCTGACTAGCAATATGCGCACGCACTCTTCATAGTCTTCGTCATCGATATAGAATACAGTTGAATACTTGTAATTGTATGACCGGTGTTTCGTTACAAGATCGATCAGAAATGAGAAGATCCGTAAACAAAGTCGCTGACATAGCCCAACGACTTACCAAGCTAAAATTGCAATGGGCCAGCATAAGTCGCCCACAAGGTGAATCATAAAAGTAGGAAGGCGTTGGATGGCATTAGAGGTGGCCTATGTTCCTATATGTAGACGTCCTGTGGCTGGAATGATGATGATAAATGGTGTGAGGAGTATATTTGATGATAAGGAGATTTCTTTCAGTGCGATGATGTGGACAGCTTTTTGGGTCGTAAATTGTATACGTCGGCTACTCGAAACGACAATCAAATTACCCGCATACTGCAAGGCCCTTGTAAACACAGATTGAGACTAAATGTATCCATGTTAAATGCTGAAATTTTGTGGTCTATTTGATTGTGAAATAATAATTTTGTTTAACACAATAATAATGTGTCTTTCACATTAATAGCAGCAACAACAGCAGCAGCAGCTCTCGCGGGCGTCGCCGCAGCTCATCCAGCACCTGCAGCAGCAGCACCAGCAGCAGATACACCTGCAGCAGCTGCAGCAGCAGCAGCAACAGTTACAGCACCAGCTGCAGCAGCAGCACATGCAGCCGCAGCAGATACCGCACCAGCAGGTGGTGATGCACGCGGCTTACATCAATCAGGCTGTGAGTATACTTCATCACATTAGCAGCAACAACAGCAGCAGCAGCTCTCGCGGGCGTCGCTGCAGCTCATCCAGCACCTGCAGCAACAGATCCACTTGCAGCAGCTGCAGCGCCATCTGCAGCAGCAGCACATGCAGCCGCAGCAGATACCGCACCAGCAGGTGGTGATGCACGCGGCCTACATCAACCAGGCTGTGAGTATACTTCGTCACATTACCAGCAACAACAACAGCAGCAGCAGCTCTCTCAGGCGTCGCCGCAGCTCATCCAGCACTTGCAGCAACAGATCCACTTGCAGCAGCTGTAGCAGCAACAGTTTCAGCACCAGCTGCAGCAGCAGCACATGCAGCCGCAGCAGATACCGCACCAGCAGGTGGTGATGCACGCGGCCTACATCAACCAGGCTGTGAGTATACTTCATCATATTACCAGCAACAACAACAGCAGGTTGTGAGTATTACTGATCACTACAGCAGCAGCAAATCCACCTGCAGTAGCTGTAGCTGCAGCATTCTTGTTAGTGTCTGCAGTCAATTTAACTTTCTCGGGACAATAAAGTAAATTAAGCAGACGGGAGATGTGGTTCCTTACTATGGGCCTCATTAGAAGTCAAGGTTACCCAAAGGGCGATGGAGCGGGCTATGCTTTGAGTTTCCCTGCGTGATCGAATCAGAAATGTGGAGATCCATAGGAAAACCAAAGTTCGATAATTTTGGTTTCGGTTACATAGCCATCAGAATTGCCAATATAAATGTATGTGACGCCAATAATGTATGTGACAGCGGATGGGGCACATACTCGCACTCATAGCCGTTGGGACAAAAATGCTTTCAAGTGACGGCCACGCACTGGAAGACGTAGTATCAACAAGCGACCCACTAGAAAAAACAACCTCGCTCAAAACCAAACTGCTATTCGACTGAAGGTCGTCGCACATTTATCAACCTGGAAAGGGATCATAACATAACCGTATCAACTCGACGCGGTCAGTATTCTTTGTATAAAACTACTACAACGCACACTTATCCGCACCGTAATGTAAACGCCTCGCCTCACAATGGACATCGCGCGTAAGGTGATACAGTATTGATCCCTTTCAGAGTTGATAAGTCTGCTATGAGTTTAATTCTCCAAAACTGACTTACTACCTCCATTTTCCAGGGCACGCCCACCCGGCCGGCGCCGCCGCGGATCCTGAACCAGGCGCTGAGCAGCCCTGGCGTGACGTTGGTACGCACGCCGGTGCGCACGGTGCGCCCGCGCAGGCCCGCGGCGCGCCCGCCGCTGCCCGCCGCGCAGATGCAAGTGCCTGCCAGGCTGCTGAACCCGCAACATTCACAGGTAAGATATTGTAGTGAATCTAAATTTATAAAAGGAGAAACTGACTAACTGACTGACTGACATATCAACGCACAGCCTAAACGCCTAAACGTAGGCACTTGAAATTTGGAAGAGACGTAGCTTAGGTACCGTAGAGGTGCACTAAGAAAGGAATTCCCGAAGTTCCCAAAAATACTTTTGTATGAAAAATCTAAACCGCTTAAGTTGGACGCTTGAAATTTGGTATGCAGATACCTTAGTAAACTTAAAGCTTAGTTACAACAGGATATTGCAAAATTCCCACGGGAACGGGAGTTAGCGGGAAAAACATTTGTATGAAAAAATCTAAAACGTGTAAGATAGATGAAGGTGTAAAACGGGATCCACGCGTACGTTGTCGCGGGCGGCCGCTAATATTATTATAGGCAGTAATCCTTTGAGAGTTCGTGTAGATGTCATTGTTCCCGCGCCACATAGACAACCTTCCTGACGCTGCGAGCCTGCATATTTTTGTCAGCTTTTGCTGGTTTCGAATCGAAAAACTAGAAATGTGCCCTATAACAAGCCCTAATCGCGATGAAGTTGTGGATATGGACTTCACTTCTTTACGGAGAAAATGGTCGGATCTTTATAAAACACTAGCTTTCCGCCCGCGGCTTCGCCCGCGTGGAATTTTGTCTGTCACAGAAAAACTTTATCGCGCGCGTCCCTGTTTCAAAAACCGGGATAAAAACTATCCTATGTTCTTTCCCGGGACTCAAACTATCTCTATGCCAAATTTCATCAAAATCGGTTGCGAGGTTTAAGCGGGAAAACGTAACAGACAGACAGACAGACAGAGTTACTTTCGCATTTATAATATTAGTTGGGATATTAGTTGGGATTGTGAAGTGATATAAAAGCTAATACATTACAAAATCCAAATATCTCATAGGCTACAAACAATAAAACTATCGAAATGAACGTAGATTTTACTCACGATTCATTTACGTTCGCGTGGGCGCAGCAGGCGTATACAGAGGTATTCATTTTCGTTAATGGGCGTGGCTACGTAAAGATGTAGCCACGCCCATTAACAAAAATAAATAAGTGGCTACAGCATCACGGGCGTCTCGACCAGTAAATGTAGTCTCCCCCTTCTCTATATCCCTTGAACGTCTTCATTAGTAGGATGAAATCTCTTATTTATTCGAAACATAAGGATCGAGTCACTGAATTTATTGTATTTTAACCTGTAAATGTACATTTCAAAAGTGAAGTTTTTTTTTTTTTTCCTTTTCTAATCTGCTACTTGGCAATCTGTTTCCGCGAAACAATAATCCAATTATCTGTCCGATTTCAATCCGGTTCTTGATGCGTTCAGTAAGAGACTAGTCCAGTGAGTCATCTCTTATTCTTTCACTGCGAATCTTTTCGCTAGGTTTTGAATGCTATGTCTCTTCAGTCTAGAAAAGTGGAGACTGCCAGTTCCTTGCAGTTGAGAGGCGAGTTCGTTTCTGTGACTATCCAGTCTCAGTTGGTAACTTTTACTGTACTTTTCAATTTGCTGTTTCACTGTATCCAGCTTGATATCCATGTACATAATCTTGTTACTGACATAGGGAGGTAAATGCCTCTAATGGTTTTGCTCTGGAACCTTTCGAGTATTTCTATGTTGCTGTGACTTGCTGAACCCCATAGTTGGATCCCGTAGGTCCAGATTGGCCTGATAATGCTTTTGTATATTGACATTTTGCAGCTGTTGGTTAACTGTGATTCGCGTCCAATAAGCCAGTACATACCTCTGATTTTGAGATCTAATTGTTTGCGCTTTGTCCATATATGTTTTTGCCACGTTAGTCTGCGGTCGAGATGCATTCCCAGATACCTCGCATTGTCCGATTGCGGAACTTCCCCGTTATACAGTTTCACAGGTGGGCAGGTGTCTCTTCTAAGTGTGTACGTAACATGCACCGATTTGTCTGTATTTGCTTTAATACGCCATTTGCCAAACCATTCTTCGATTTGAGACAAGTGTGTCTGGAGATTCTCTGAGGCAATTTCAGGATTTTCATGGACTGATAGGAGGGCAGTATCATCGGCATATGTGGCTGTAGTAGTCAAGCTATCTGCAGCTGGCAAGTCGGATGTGTAAATCAGGTAAAGTACAGGTCCAAGAATGCTACCCTGAGGCACCCCAGATTCAATCTTGTGCATTGCAGACAACTCTTCATTGTATTTGACTTCGAAACATCTCTGCTTAAGGTACGACTGGATGATGAGAAAGAACGAGTGAGGCAGTGAATGTTTTATTTTGTACAGAAGTCCATTGTGCCAGACCCTGTCGAACGCCTGGCTTATGTCTAGGAAGATAGCTGAACAGTATTTTTTGTTTTCCAGAGCTCTGCTTATTATATCGACCAAGCGATGAATCTGTTCGATTGTGCCGTGGCCTTCCCTAAAGCCGAACTGGTGCTTAGGTATGATATCCTGGAGGTGTTCTCGCAGTCTATTGAGGATAATTTTTTCCAATAGTTTGCCAATTAATGGGAGTAAGCTTATTGGTCGATAAGACGACACCTCCTGAGGTGCTTTGCCTGGCTTCAATATCATTACCACTTGTGCTATTTTCCACTGACTAGGAAAAACTGACAATCTTAGGCACGCATTGAATATGGCTACGATGAACATGATACCTTTTTTCGGGAGGTGTTTCAGGAGTGTTGCATCAATCTGGTCGTATCCAGGAGCCTTGCAGTTCTTAAGACGACGGATCTCTGTGATCAGTTCCTTGGGTGTGACACTTTTCAACGGCAGACATAACTGTGTAGCTGCTCCAAGACTATCCTCAATCATGCTGTCATGGTCCGTATCACAGCTTGGCAATGGCTGGAAGACTTTGTGTAAGTGGTCAGCAAAGGTGTTGGCTTTTTCCAAGTCCGAACGCGCCCATGTTCCCGGTCGAATGCAAATGGGCGTTATTTGGCTTTTGGGGCGCTTAAGCTTTGAGGTTGCCTTCCATATTTGGGAATATTAGTAATTTGTGCAATACAAATCACCATGCTAAACTGAATGTGCTTGTGTTACAAGTCTCACCACGATAGTCGAGTGGCAACGGGATTCGTTCCCGCGTTCCTAGGATATCGAGTGGGCCAGGCCAACCCCTTCACCATTTGGCTATCGTGGCTCATTCAATCATTGTAATACTCATCTATTTTCATCTGCTAAATTAGAGAGACCGTGTACTCTTACTCTTAGTCTAGGCGCAAACCACCGGTCAACAAATTCAGTCGGCCGATAGTTGGGCTCCATTTTAATTTGTATGAAAATCAAATCGGTGTAATATGCGGACTTCCATACATGCCCATACTGATTAAATGCCCGACAAAAAGTTGGTGGTCTGCGCCTAGGCTAAGCCAAATCCTCCATTTTATAATAGCAGCAGGGTCATCGTAACGGTGTTGTAAAGCGCAGGCGCTGACGTGACGACCGACGATGCTATGATGACTTGAAAGATGCTAGTGAGGGGGTCTCTTAGAAGATAGTACTAGCTTTGCTTAGTTCGGGACTTGATGGCGCAGTGTAAAATGTCTAAGGATATTTATTTATTGTACCTTCCAGCATCAACACCCATACATCTCAGCGATGATCAACAACGGGTCCATGCACTACGACCACGACCGCGACGGCACGCACACGCAGCTCGCCGGCTGCGAGGCCAANGCCTTCCACAGGGAGTAGTTGGTGTCGCTAGTAGCAGTCAGCTTGCTAAGATACGACTGTAAGTTGGTGCTTCTCATATCTTTTATCAGCGATTTAACTTCTGCGGATGCTCTGTTAAAAGCAGTCTTGTCACTGGGATATCTAGAGCTATGCCAGATCCTACGGAGTCTGCGTCGTTCTTGGATTTTATTTCTTATACCAGCTGGGTATATATGCTCTTTTGGACTGTATGCTTTACGTAGTGGTGTAGATTCAATTACAGCAGTGTGTATTATCCTGTTCAAAGTCTCCACGGCAGATTCTATGTCTTCGATAGTCTTAAGGGGGACCCTGAGGTTCACTTCTGAGGTTATCCTGGTTTCGTAGTCTTCCCAATTGGTGTTTCTGTTATGGATTTTGTTCGGTACTTCTGTTAGGATAGCCTTGCAGTCTATGTTGAGAATAACCGGAGTATGGTCAGAGGAGAGGTCTATAACATTTTCAGCGCTCATGTTGTTACTTGACAGTCCCTTAAACACAAAAAAGTCCAGCAAGTCGGGAATTCTGGCTTGATCTGTGGGCCAATAAGAGGGTTCGCCCGAGGAGATGCACTCAAGGTTGAGGTCTCCCAGAGTTCGGTAAAGCTGTCTTCCTTTCGGGTTGATTAGACGGGAACCCCAATATGTGTGTTTCGCATTCCAATCGCCTCCACTAATAAAGCGGCTGCCTAGTGTACTTATATATTCCTTGTAGTTTTCATTTGTTATAGTGTGGCGAGGGGGGCAGTAGATTGATGATATAGTCATTTCCGCCTTAGTGTCACAGAGCTTAATCTGTGATGCTTGAATTTTTTCCGTGCAGAATTCTTCAATTGGGTAGTGCTTTATGTTTGACCTAACTATGACCGCCGATCCTCCATGTGCCCGGCCGGATGGGTGATTAGTGGTATAAACATTGTAGTTATCAATGGAGATGTGGCTTTTTGTGGTTAACCTTGTTTCAGATATTAGTGCTATACTTATATTTTCTGTATTGAGGAATGTCTCTAGTTCTTGTCTACGCTCTGTGAGCCCGTTGGCGTTCCATGTCATAATTCGCATTTTTTGGTTTATTTTGGCTGTAGGAGGCTGCTAAATAGTTGTATCATACGATTCATCATGCTGTCCATCATGTTAGTCATGATTATTTGAAATTTGGTAAACATTCTGTCAATTATTATTTCTAAGTTTTCTAGTCCTGCTGTCGAATGGGCTGCCTCCGATTTTTCTTCGGTATTTCTTGCTTTCACAACTTCGGCAAATGATTTGAAGGGTCTTTTTGATTTTGTTTTAGGAGTTTGAGGTGCTTTGTTCCTGTGCCAGTCAGGACCAATTGCAGGGAATGTCTCATCTATTAGGTCGAACTTACGATCCGCTGTCGGGTTTTTATTAGGAATGAATTGTTTTAATCCAGTTGGTTGCCTGTCATCAGCGACTTTGGTAAATTGGTGACCATTATCATTGTAGGTTTTGTGTGGTTTAATTTCTCCTGTTCTTTGGTTCAGCTTTAGAATTTGTTCTTTATACTGTTTGTATTTTGAGCAGCCTCTGTAGCTAGCAGGATGGTTTTCCTGGCAGTTAGCGCATGTTGCTTCTGTGTCTCGACTTTTTTTACATGTGCTTGTTGGGTGGTCGTGCCCACATTTGACGCATCTAAAAGGTCTGAAGCATTGGTTCTTGGAGTGTCCGAATCTTTGGCATCTCTTACACTGGATGACTTCCCTTTTCTTGTAGGGTGTTTCAAATGTTACCTTCATGTTATTGAGCATCTTTACCTGGAAAATGTCTTTATTGTTTTGTTTAGGCTCTAGGTCTACATAGAAAAGAGGAAGAGCTTCTTTGGTAGTTCTGTGGAGGACCTTAACCACTTGCCTCACGTCATGTCCTAGTTTTTCCAACTCTAAGGCAATATCTGATGTATCCTCGGATGGGTGCAGGCCACGAAGTACAACCCTGTATGCTCTTTCACATTTTAATCTATATGTGTAGTGGCTTACATTTTCGTCAATAAATTTTTCTCTTATTATTTTGTACATGTCAATATTTTTCGGCATTATTTTAACTATATGTCCTGCTCTTAGTGTCGTCATTGTATATTCAACATTGGTGGGAATACTGCTAAGCAATTCTTTTAGCGAGTTGATGTTGATTACCCCAGTTACGAATATCGGTTCTGGTTTTTGTAGTTTTGTCATTTCTGCGTTTGTCAGCTCTTCTGGCTCTGCTAGTATTTCAAACTGGTTGTGGGTTGGGACTGTGTAGGTCACACTGTTTGCCTTCTTGTTAGGATTCTGAGTTTGCTGAGGACTGGTCTCTATTCTTTTCCGTTTGGCTGCAGGGACTCTATCTCTTTGCCAGTCGTTATTATGGCTTGTCAGTATTGGGCTTTCAGATGGCTGGTCTTCTGTTTGAGTGTCATTGATGTTACGCGGTATTGAACCAACTGAGTTCGAGCGAGTCTTTATGAACATACTCTTGTGGAATGTTTGCTGAATAAGCGTGGGTTTTTGTGCTGACTTGTTTGGTTGTTCCTTTCTTCTCTCCGTTAAGTCGTCGTTCGTGAGATCCACTTGTGGCAAAACGTTGCCCCCCCCAGAATACGTAGGGCAGCCCGAGCTAGGCTCGGGGAGGGATTCTCCAGCACAGCTGGTACCCTCCTGGGGTAATTTCTCTTTTTGTTTTGCTTCCATGGTTTAGTTGTAATTTTTTCTTCGGGGTTAGTTTCCCCTAGCCAAGTTTTCAGTTATAGCGCTGAAGTCTCGCTTTTCGTCCTTTGCAATTGCTGTTACAGTCTATGATCGGTGGATGATGATGGAGCACCTAAGTCAGTAACATTGCCCGGAGGGGACGACCCACAAAGGCGATAGTATGTGGGCCCAGTTCTAGGCCGCGACGGCAGCCTAGAGCCGGCGGGGACGTTTGCATTAAGACTTGACAGTGCGCGCATTTTTGTCTAGCTCCTCTTAGACATACGCTACCGGTATTCTCAGCTTTTTATAGAAGAGTGATTCCTGGCAAAATCACTCCCCACCGAGACCAACACTGACCATTACCCCCCCCTGGAGATCTACTAACTTTCTTCAGGGAAGTCAACGGTAAGATTTAATAAATAAATTAGCAAGTGTAAATCTATAACTTACCGAGGACTGCGCTTAAGTACTCCTTCCAAACTGTGTCGGTGGTTCTTGATAACGTGGCTGGAGATTTTCTAACTTACTTTAAAGAAGTCAACGGTAAGATTTATTAGATGCGCTTGCGAGTGTATCGTCACGAGACCTTCCATTGGGCGTCGGCGTTCACTGGGAGGGCTATGCCAAGTGAGAGTCATGTGAAAACTGCAGGCTTGCCTGGCCTTAAAAATCGATACATAGCTTTCAATTGTCATAATTTTGGATACTTAGCTCTGTTTTCCTTGCATATTTTTATTTCGTCTTTAGACCCTCTGTATTTCATATTATGACCTTCACTACTGAAACATGGCAACAAGTTTTAAGGTCGCCTCAGTGGTGCCGTACTTTTTGAAATACTTTAATACCTACTGTCACTTGTGGGTCAATCCTACAACTAACAAAGAGTATCTATGAATCTGTCTTAATTATTATTTTGTAACTCCACAGAACCAGATTCAAACCTGCTCCAAATGGTTGGGTTCACCAAGTCTACCGGCTTATACATCCTGTTCGACAAGCTGCCGGAATTCGTTGCCGCTTTGCTCAACTCCTACTTCGACTACGGATTTATGAGTCAGGTAAATAACAAAAAAGTTGTCTAGTCTTTGCTTCACATTAAGAGTGAAACCTGCCAAGGTATGGAGCAACCATTGCAGTTACTGATCTTTAAATGTGTCTCTTCCGAAAGGTACTTCTTGTGTCGATCTAAAAAATAGCAATACGCCGACAGAAAAAAAAATGTATTTTCATCTAGGGTATGCGATGACAAGCNATGGCAAAGCGTCATTTTAACATTTGAAGCAAAACTGAGGATCGGTATATGCATTTGAGCCGGATCCAATGGTAAACTATACAATTGTATTTACTTGATAAACTTTATTACAAAAGCGTGAGTAATTCAATTAGAACACAAAACAAGGATCGGTTTATGCTTATGATCTAAACTTAATTGAAAACTAAACAATTGCGTCTAATTAATAAAGTTCATAACAAAAGCATGTGCAAAGCATAAAACTAGGATCGGCGTATGCATTAGGGCCATATTTAGTACAATAGCATTCACTTAATAAATTTATAGCAAGAAGCGTGAATAATTATCTAAGTCATAAAACCAGGATTGGATTATGCATTTGAGCTAAGCATGAATGTAAACAATGTGCAACATCTAATTAGCGAAACTAAGTTAATTGATTATCACAAGGCAACATTTAAATATCTATAGATCTATCTATCTATAAGCACGTGAAGCGGTGTGTGCGAGTTCAATCCGGCAGGCGCATCGTGTTCCGTGGTACCACAGAATACATAATAGTAGCAACAGAAATTGCACTCCTTTGTGTAGGATCAGATGCCGACATTTTAACGGTAATAATAATAATGCAAAATATCCAACGCACATGGTGCATTCGAAATCGCACCTTACTACTACGCTCACAAGAGCGCAATTTTTTTGTGTTCAGAATTGATCTACCTCACAGCTCAAGCGTCAGGGTTGTATAAGCAAAGTAAAATAAATAAAAACTTAATTTTAAGAAGCATTTATTGTATTTACGATTGGTAAACTTTAATCTAGTGGTGTTTGTATAATCGTACCATCTCTAAAGTACGAGTACTTATTAATAAACTTCAGTGTTGCGATAATTTAAAATTGGACAAACATTTTTAAAAGGTGTAGTGTCGGAAAATAGACACGGTGAAGTAAAGTATATATTAGCTAAAATATTTTTTTTGCTACAGTTTTTTGTCATAAATATTCAAAATTATTTAAAAAGTGTAGTTTTTATTAATTATTTAAATTACTACAGTTAATTATTATTCCTAAATATTACGATTTTCCATTAAAGANTGGACGTCGTGGCCAAACCGGTGAGTTGACGGGATTGTCGAATGTGTTTAATTAAACTTATTTGATTTTGAAAACAAACACCAAATAGTAATTAATTATTACATTTGAGTGTGCCTGTCAATAAGTGCAACTTGTGTGGTACTTTTTAACCCAAAATTCTTGAAAATACTATAAGACACGACACCAATGAGTGTGGACCTTTATACCCTTAGAAAACTGTTAACTGTCTATCTAGGTATTTTAGAAAGTTCTGAACCTTAATATAAGTATCTCAATGAATCTGTTGCTGGTAGCACAGCTGGTAGGAAAAAATCTTACCAACTGTATACGTTCTGAAAATGTATTTCTACATAACGTTTTTGCAAAATAGCCCAAAAGTAAAAATCAAAATATTAAGTCATTGTATTTAATTTCATTACAGCAATACATATTCTACACGCTCCCAGCACAAAACTTGACGAGCAGCTTCGAAGCTGCATTCAATAAAGCTTCAGAACTCAGCAGCTTTCTCTCAAACATATCCATCAAGAACCAAACAGTTTTACCGGACGAAGACACTACACCTGATTCTTTAGAAGAAAAACTGCAGAAGACTGTCGATAGCGTTCTCAACTACAAAATTGACGAAACCGACCCTTCGTACAGATTGTTCAATGAAATAAACAAAAAACAATTCATTTCAATGACCTATCTGACTAGAATCACAGCTATGACCAACAAACTTGCAGTAGCTATAGAAAATTTAAAAGCAAACGATATAAACAACGGTTACACTGAAGAAGAGGCAAAAAAACTTGATTCGGACATAAATTATATCAGCCGGATATTCAAAAGAAGACCGTACGAGGCTATAGCTATACATTTTGATGTTATTACCTACATGTTATCAACTAACAATGATTTTGACTTGGTTAAAATTCTAGACACTGTTTGCGAAGACTTCAACAATACTAACATAGATATACTTATCGAAGATCATAGAAGTAAGAGTAAAGTCTGCAGTAAGCAATATAAAGTCATATATGGGGCTGTACAAAATGTTATCGCCGATGATTTGAAGGGAGCAAAAAACAGTTTGGATAATTTGCTGAAGACTCTGCAAGATGACAATGAAGAAGCAGGGGATGTCGCGAGATTCTTTAAAGACAGGTATGGTCTTTATACTACTTTTTAAAACATATTTCCAAGTTAAATGCATCTAGAATTTTCTTTTTTTTTACCTCTTTTGTCTTTTGTGATGTCCATTGCAATAAATGTTTCTTTCTTTATAAACTGTGCAGCCATTTGATTGCTTTTTATTATGATCCAAACAATTGACACTTTTTTATGAGCAGTTATTTGTTAATTAGATGTTTTTTACAACTATAATAAATGAAATAACTATTTAGAACAGTGTAGAACTACTGTTATGCTATTTGTGTTTGTGGTATTGAAGGTTTCTTCAAAATCGTTGCCACGATAAGCAAGCAAAAAATGTTTTCTATAGCCTGACCAGGAACATAAAAACCCTGGCATAGAGGCGCCTCAATTGCATTTGATAGNGATACTTCTTGAGAGAGTGCTATTCTGTGACAGCATCAAATTGATCTTATTTTGTGAGGAATAAGGGCGATAAAGACGGTATTTTGCTAGATTGGATCGTAATCGTAATTGTGAGATCATCAGTTGACTTCTAATAAATAACTTACAAATCCTTATGAATCCCTAGAGCTAGCTTCATTTCTAGAGAGTAATTCTCGCTTATCAGATCGAATTCGTCTTTTCCATCGTTCGAATCGCCCATCTCTTCGCAATCTTCAAACATCTCCTCGCATTCCGTCGAAACATCGTTCACTTTATCGTTACCAATGTCACTTTCATCGAGAACTGATTGGTAATCTTCGATTTTGGAGTCGTCTGCTACTGAACTGTCTTCAGCTACATCTTTGTCTTCATCGGTTTTGTTATAACTTGAAACATTTGTCGAAGAATCATTATCCCTTTCATTCCTTTCATCGCTTGATAGAGTGCCATTATTATCAGTTCTCTCAGTATCAGAAACTCCGCTGTCATTATTTGGAAAATCATTAGCTCTTCCGTCAGTATTAGTACTATTATCATCATCGTCTCCAACAATAGACTTTTCATTTCCGATTCCTGAGTCGTTGCACTCTGTGATGGCTTCCATTCGGTTGACGTTTTCATCTGTCAATGTATCCTCTAGAGACGTATCGTGACTGGGGACCAGGGTCACTTCTGTGTCGTCTGGGTCAGCAACTGACTCGGCTGGGCTGACGGCGATGTAGTGCAGAAACTCCCCCGCCCGCCATCTTTGTTCTGCCGCGTCCATGTGGACTTCGAGGATGCGAGACACTTCGGGCAACTGGGAGAAGTAGAAACCACTATTAGAAGAATATTTGCAGTGTAAAACCTCAGAAGAGGGAGAATTAACAATGAGAAGGAATAGATAAGAGAAAATTTGTAGGGAGCGAAGTACAGCGCAAAGACCTATAGCCGTGAGACATGGATTAAATTATGTATTGAACGGATGCTAACGACTACTTACAGAATACTCGTTATCAAACTGGTCGGATATCTGTTCAATAATGGCGTTGGTCTTGTTGTCTATATTCCCGGCCTGGCTGGTCAGCACGTCGTACTGCTGGAAGTAGGAACGCTCCTCGTACTGCAAGGTTCTGTCCAGGATCTCAGAGGCGACTGACTGCTCGATGCGAGCGTCCGATACCATGTCCGAGCGGTCTACACCTGGGAAAAGAATGTCATCATCATCATCATTTTATTGGATTAAAAATCACTATCTAAATAGCTATAGTAAGAAGTTAAGGAAATGATCTTTATTGCTGCAGAATAGTGGATGAAAAAGACAAGTAGGTACTTTTAAATACTACATCGCATTGCATCCCTTTATTAACTACCGTTTACTTTCCCCATATCATAAAAGTAAACTATACCTAATATGTTAACATTACCTTGCGAAGGGAACCTCTCATCCTCGTAAGAATTGATGGTGTTGATGATGGACTGCTTCGCCTCCTCGCGGTCCACGTTCAGCATCGTCTCGTACGATGACGATAGAGCTTCAGTCTTTGGAGCATCTTCTGCAAGATCATCAAATTGACAGTGATGATTGACCATTTTTTACGTAATTAAGGTTTTATTAAATGGATGCGTTGAATGAATGATGCAATATAAGTAAAATTGAACCTGTTTGTACTAAAATGTAAATGCAGTACTAAGCAGTAGGGCCTACTGCTTAGTTTTACTGGTAACATTTACGTAGGTCTTTTAATTATTTTTTCTAGGTAACAAAACTCCACATAATTTTCAAGGTACTAACGCTTATCAGTCGTAACATTTGCATTTTCATCATTTTCTTTAATTCCTGCATCAGGACCTCTATCTTCGGGATCATTTTTGAAGTCACCATCTCTTTTCTTTGCCTTGAAGTCTTCACCTTTCTCCCTCTTACCAGGAGTGCTCTGGCTACTTCCAGCGGGAACGAATCTTCCAGATTTAGCAGAAGTGTGATTACCCTTATCTTTATCATCTCTGGGTGATTTTTTATCTTCAGTTTTAGCTTGGCTGTTGTTAGTGTTTCTAACAGCTGCAGTGGATGGTCTATTAGATTTGGATGTGCTTGGCTTTGGTTTAAGTTCTAGGGCTTCATCTTCAGAATTGGTGTCAGTGTCACTGAGTATGTGTATGGACTCTGTTTCTCCCGATGAAGCTGGGGCAAGAAAATACAAAGATACTGTCTATTCAAAAATCAAGATTATATCAACAAGTGCCACTCGCATTAAAGACGTAATGGAAATTAATGATAACGAATGAGAAACCAGTACCAATAATGACAAGAGTGACAATTTCATACTCTAGAGGAAAACTAACAGTCCGGTGTATTTTTAATGAGCAAAATACGTACGTCCTGAATCCACTTTCTCTTCACCAATCTCGTAGTCCAGTTCGGCGCAGGGTTTCTGGTCAAGATACTCGTACAGAACCGCCCCGGGGACGTATGTGAGCTTCACTTTCTTTTCATCTGGAATAGGTAAGATTAAAATTAAATTAATTTTGCAGTCGATAGGTTAGCCTTTACAACCTCTTGGTGTAAAGGGTGGAACAACTTCTATTTCGTAATAGATAGTAAGTACATAACTAGGCCTCTATTTAGGGAGACTGTTTAAAGGTACACACCTACTCAGTTTAGTTCGTTCGTTCGTTTCAGCCAAATGACGTCCACTGCTGGACAAAGGCCTCACCCAAAGATGTTCACAAAGCCCGGTTCTACGCTGCCCGTATTTTCTGATACTTCCGCAACATTCTTCACCAGATCGTCGGTCCACTACTACCTGCTCAGTTTACTCTCCTGAAAGGTAATTTTTCGCATTCCTAAAATCTGTGTGGTAAAGTGAAGTACCTGGTCTGTCCCCAGCGGTGAGCTGGCTCAGAGCGATCCTGTCGAACGCGTTGTCGTGCTTGTACGTGGTGTACATGATCTTATCCTTCACTGCATGCGCGGGCACACGCTCTTCCGCTTTATAGAATGCGTCCATCGTCTTCTTGTCGTAGAGTTTCTAAAAATTGCGTTGACGAAATTAATTGAAATGACGACAAAATATTATTGTGAAAGTCTTGTAATTGTAAATGACAGTCCCTCTGCAATTTTCCAGATGAAATTGAGGATTTAGCCTACACTCCCCACACTGGCCAGACAGATGAGGGAGCCCTGATGTTAGCATATTTTCTCCAATACTCGTGGATGTCGTAAGCGACATCCACAGGAAGAATGGAGGCGGTCCTGTTCCGCTCTGATGGAGGAACAACAATTTGTGGTATTCAGCGAAATCCTCCATTTACTACTGGTAAATTAGAGAGAATCGTTCTCCTGCACCAGAGACTGCATGACCTAATAAATGAAGATTATTAGCTACCATAGGATCCACAGCCGGCTCCCCTCTGTCGATCCTGGCCTGCCGCTCTTCCTGCTCCCGGTCGAGCTCGGCGAAGATCTCCAAGTCTTCAGCACTGGGTTCCAAATCCTCGTCATCTCCTTCGTCGGTGTTCATGCGGTGCATGTAGTTGATGAGGGCCACTCCATCGCCGTCGCTGTATTGGACTGGTCCCAGAAAAAAGACTATGTTTAACAGTTCGTGATCATACCCACACAAATTCACATTTAAAAAATAGAGTCAAGCTAGCTAAATACCGAGGAAAATTTCATTGTAGTGTTCAAAATATACCGTTGTGTTGTGTATAAGTATTCTAGGGATATGACTATTTTTAGCAATAATGGTACGCCATAAATGTTGGTTGGGTTTGATTACAAGTACCTCGAAGAATATTACATACCACTACGTCTTCGTTCTTCAGATTTTGTATCAACATTACTAATTTCATGTTTTTCTTCTTTGTTATCTTGCGAGCCTTCATTTCCCTTATCCTTTTCTTTTATTTCGTCTTTAGTCTGATTATCACTATCCAGTGGTATTTCCGTAACAGGGACAGCTACAGATTCAGTTTTAGGTATTTCTTCAATTGATATCTTCTTTAAAACTTTCTTACTTGGCTTTGTTTCTTCTGTTGCATCAATTGGTTTATCATCAGCATTATTTACAGGTTCATTTTCCTTGAGCGGATTAGTTATTAGCTTTTTGTCATGATCTATTATAAGATCACCATCCTTCTCAATACCTGTTCTTACTATAAATTCACTAGTTTCTTCAGATTTGGGTTCAACTTCTTCTATCATTGGTTTTTTATCTTGTGTTTCTACTATTTCAATCAAAGGCTTCGGTTTTGCTTCTTCTTGTAATTCGTTGTCTTTTTCTTCGACCACTTCTGTAATTTTAGCTTTTGCACCTCCTTTTCTCGATTCTGTTGATTTAATTCGTTTATAAAAACAATAATAANCCTAAGTGTCAGAAAAATCAATAGAATTACTTTTATTTTTGCAACTCAATGCTTAAATTAAATTGTTAGAATATTATTAAAAATGGAAACGCGCCGTCAAATATATGTTTTGTTTGTATAGACGATATTTACTTAACAGAGGAACAGTTAGTTTTGCCGTTACAGAATTTATAATGAACTTTGGTGTATATGGGATAGAGTTGTTGAAAACTTTAGCGCGATTTTGTATGGGATAAAATCAGCTTACTCTAACGGTTATTCTAGTGAATTGGAGTTAAAGTTAACGGTTCTTCATATCGGTTTAAATGTTTGAGATGTAGTCATAATATTTTGATCCCTTTTCCCTTGTTTTTAAAGGTGAAAATAAAATACTCCGGTTTGCCACTCGCTCATTATTTAGCGACCCGATGCCGCAATTGCAGTTTTCCTGAAAAGCATTCTTGCCAGTGCTCCAAGGTTCAGATTTCAGTAGGTATTATTTGTTAAGTTATAGTTTGATTTAACAAAACATTACGATATGATGAGCCGATAATTTAGAAACCGAAATAGTCCCTACTACTACCACAAAGACACATGGCATCAATGAATTTTGAACTGTATAAATAAGGACATTACTATTTAAAATCAGTGGTATTTTGACCTGCTCGCATTGAGATTTTCCAGTACAGTCAACAGCATATTAGACTTTACATTTTCATTGCAAAGTCGCACATATTCCAACTACATAAGAACTGGACAGTGTTCATCTTTATATGCTGTCGTCTGTACATATTTCTTAAGTTTTAATTTTAATATAGGTTTGTGATTACGCTTACATATTATAAATAGCAATAAATATTTTTATGTAGTCTATGAAAGAAATTGTTAAATCCAAATGTGTAAGATACTGTCTAGATTTAATCCATCTTATGTGAACATTTCGTCCTGAATAAAAATTTATTAGAGAGATCTATTGTTTTATTTTTATTTTCTTGCTGATTTTTTTACAGTGTTTTAGAAATAGAACATATAAATCAACTGATATGACATTATTATCCCTTTTATCAAATTTATTTATTTTAGAGTCCCCGTAGACCTGAAACTATTTTTAGGCCGATAATTAAATAAAATTAGAAGCCGACCTAACTAGCGGCTGATAAAAAGACAGTAGTCGGCGACCTTAGTATCCGATAAAATTAATCATTTTATCCCTGGTAATCGGTAAAACTTGAAACTGACATTAAATTAATATTGATGTGTTCTTACAATAAATATTAATATAGGATCAACGTTTACGTTATTTTTATTAACGTATAAAACATTTTTTGGACGTAGTGAACGAAATTGTTACAGAAGCAGCTTATATTATTAGAACTACTTATCACATGAGTGACTACCTATATTTCATTGATCACGACTGTACTCTGTCCAGTTGCGAATCTGTCCACTTGCTACGGAGGGCATAAAAGGAACAATATTTGGGAGAATAAAGTGATAAAAATATTTTTCCGTTTGTTTTAGGCAGGCTTAATCTGCGTGAAAAAGTTTTTATCACACACATTGCCTCAAATCAAAAAACACCATAGTCTTTGGGCTCTTTTAATATGTATCACGTACAATGTAAATTCTAAGCTTTTATCCTTAACCGTAGATTTTCCTTAAAATAGCCATTATCACTGGAATCGTGGTCAATACTCTGATGGATTGTGTGCGTACACAAGAAAGGCACTTAACAGGCTATTTGTTACAAAGTAAATGCGAGGGCAAAAGCAAACAGCGATGTATTGAAAGAATAGTTCTAATATCAAACTAGGGATGGGGTGAGAAGCTTCAGAGTCGAGTCAATCGACTCGATAAAAATGAATCGAGATAAAATAAGTTTGAGAAGCGACTCTAATCGCTAAGAATTTAAAAAATAAATCGATTAAAAGATTATTCCAAGATCAAAGAAGTTGGCGGCACTTGCGAGTGCCAGAATCACTAGAACCTGAAATAGAGGTACTAAAATTGGCGTCAACTGGCTGGCTACTATAACCCTCCTATCGTTTGTTGCCTAAATTATAAGTAGCCATTGGGTCTAGCGTATCTCCCAGGGTCTATTTCACCATATCTGAAAAGTAAAACGAAAGGCCTAGACAAAGTAACATTCGTGTCAGTTTTACGAAATCGCTTCATGGATCGAAGTAACTAAGTACAAATAGAAAAACGCCGGTGTGAACTGACTTCCAAATTACACGTTGGTAACTTTATCTAGTGGGGCTGCTGGTAACGGGACTATTCCCACCTCTCGTTCCCACCGCTGCAACTCCTGTGTAGCCAGGATCTACAGCTTGACCGTCAATAAAAACCCAACCAGTGAAGGTTAAGTGTGTCCCTGCGTTGTAAGAAATAGACTAAATCGAATGTTGATACGATTAGTCGATTATCATTTATCAAAAAACAACACTGACCTTCCCTAGCCCAAAGGTTCTGTAGGAATGAGTAAACAAAGAGCCACGGAATCTTTACTCGCCTCAGAATTATATTTGAACAAAGCCAGTGGGCGTCCATTTCTTTCAATCAACAGTTATTAAATTCAGGGAATGGTTCAGCCATTTTTTATAATAAAGCGATAAGATATTATGAATGATTACTTCTAAAATCCGTTTATAAACTTTGTGGAATAGAAAGGCATGCCAGGGAATAAATTAGCTGAGTGTTCTCAAACTAAAAGATTTTAGTGCTAATGGAAGATTTATGATTTTGCATGAAACGCGTGGGCTAGGGCATTTATCAACATTTAAAGACCACATTAATTTTAATACAGGCGACTATCAACTGCGTCACTGGTTTTCATTGAAACTGTTATTAAGATATTTGAAGATTAATCCTTTTCAAAGTAGGTATAACTTTCACGTTTAATGTGCAATGCAATGCACTGCATGTTTGAATTCGGAGCGTTTTAGAACGTAAAACAGTTTTCAATTATTAATTTATCAAAATGTTGAGTAAGTAATAGTTTAATGCAACTGTAAAATCTATCTTTAACAATCTATCTATTTTTAATATTATAAAGCTGACGAATTTGTTCGATTTTTTCTATAAACGCGGAAATCACAAGAACCGATTTCAAGATAGATAAAATATTAAAGAAAGCTTTAGGCTGTATACCAATCAAACTACGGCTAATAAGAATAGAGCATCAATGATCTATGTTTCGAAAACGGGCAAAACTATTCAGACTAATTTTATACAATCAACGACAAGTAATTTATTATACAATCACGACCCTTTTCAGTCTATCTTAAAAGAAATTCTCTGGAGTTACTCAACAAACGAAACGATAAACTGCAGTTTTATTGGCCCCTAGAGGGTGCGTAACGAATACTAACTCATTCAATTAAAATAATTAATCCCTCTGCTATTATAATAGTTATAAACTCCAGTTTAGTATCTACCAGGGCCGAACAAGTTCAATTAGCTTAAGGCGAAACGCTGAAGTGTATCTACCAGATTTAAGTTGGTTTCACATTTGTTTGATTTTGTTTCATTAAGGCCGAGTTGCACCACCTAACTTTAACCGTAACAATGACATTAACCGGTGTTTTTTGTATGGAGTTTGACAGATTTTTGACGTTTGTTAAAGTTAAAATAAGATGGTGCAACTCAGCCTAGTGTATTTCGGGAGAGTTTATGGTTTTGATTTTGTGTTGTTCCTTGCAATCGTTTTTTTTTACAGTAGGTAAGTACCTACACAATATTCAGGAAGTGAGATATTGTAGAAATAATACTGAAAATTACTTAAATATGTATTTACTTACCTAAGTGCGTTTTTATTTACTTTTCACTATGTTATTCCATCATCATCATTACATTTTCAGCTACAGGTGGACGTCCACTGGTGAAAATGTTAGGTATCAAGATTACTTATACTAACTTTATTTATTTATATCAAATGCTCGTACACAGGAATTCGCATTCGCATTTTATTCATTTTTATTAAAATTGTTATAATATTGCACAGTTCCTAATTTGCCTACTAACATTATTTTAAGCAGACTACAAAAAATGTTTTTTTAAGTGTTACCTAAAACGAAACAACACCTTAACCATTTCAGCGATTTGCAAATATCTTATTAACTCAGTTTAATTGCTCAATAATAACATCCAGAGCTAATTGTAAGTCCATTTCATTTATTTATTTATTTCAGCCAATAATGTACGCCGTAATGCTGAAAGCAGTTTGATATTGCCCTTTAGGGCGTTATTCAAAATCTAGTCGTTCCAGTTACTGATTTATGGCTGTTTGTTTTTAGTGCCGTAAAACTACGTCATCATGAATGTATATGTCGTGAGGTAAACCGACGACATCATAAAGGTAGCAGGAAAGCGCTGGACGCAGGCCGCTATCAACCGGGCAACATGGAAAGCATTGGGGGAGGCCTATGTTCAGAAGTGGACGTCCTATGGCTGAGATGATGAAACCAACGTAAGATACCGGTACATTTAGAATGTTTATTAGTAGGTGTATATTAAGTCCAGTTTTGTTAATTTGTGATACCGCTGTAACAGAATAGAAGAAGTAGATTAGTAAACAAAGTCACTTAGGGCTAGTTTTTTATCCGTAGTTAGTACAATTTTACGACGATGGTTAGCTTGACTTTTAGTAAAATTCTGAACTATTACTTTACTCTGAAAACTACTATTTAATAACATAAGATTAGCCTAGAGTTTAAACTGTCATATAAGTTATTCAATAAAGAATTTATTTATTAATTAATGTAATAGGAATAAATAATAAGTTTCACTTAATTTGATCCCTCTGGAATTCAAACCCAGGACCAGGTCACCCTCCAGCCCTGATCCCAGAGGCGTTAAGTAATTATTAGTTAATTTAGCAAGATTAGGTGTTAATGGAGGCGTACATTAGCGCCTGTCGAGTCAATTATATTATCCACACTTCGCTGGTCACAAGCTTCGCGACATTTTTCCTCAAGGTACATGTACTGAGGTATTTTCATCTAATTCGTAAAAAAAGATACAGAAACAGGCTTATTCCACTATTTCCCATTGACAATCCCCGTTAACGCCAATTGAAGCTTATAACGGGGAATAATGAACTAAAAAGTTCATTAATCCCCGTTATATTAGGATTTTATTTTTAACGTAATGGGGATTAATGAAGTTTTTAGTTCATTATTCCCCATTATAAGCTCCGGGAAGCAACGGGGAAAAGTAGAATAAGCCCAGATACAGAATACCTTTTATGAGGAAGTCGGTCCACCTTGTGGGTGGACGTCCTATGCTGCGCTTTCATAAAAGTAGCAGGTAGGAAGCAAGCCGCTACCAACCGGTCATTGTGAAAATCATTGGGGGAGGCCTATGTTCAGCAGAGAGGACGTCTGAAAATATGATGATGATGATGCAGAATATGCCATGAATGAGGGCTATCGTTTTTATACTTAACAGTTGGCACCCCTGGCGATTGACAGGACCTTACTCTACAGTGACGCCATCTTGATGAGTGCAAATACGATAGTCCTCCTACCACTTTAGCGCTCACAAGTTGGCGCCACTGTCTTCGCTACTAGCTAGTGACAGGACCTTACTCTACAGTGGCGCTAACTGGTGAGCACTAAAACGATAGCCCTCATTGCCTAGAAAGGTAGCTATTTTGACGGTAAAGTTTTTTTGCTAAGTAGGTGAATGTATGTAGTTGTTAATGTAGGTGTTAAAAAGGTCCTCACTTTGCTGCGCAGAAAACATACGCAATGTCTAATGTGAACATGAGTAATATGTCGCCATTCTTGCATGTCATTACAGTAAAATTTGTGAATTTTTGAATTATTTTCTTATTTGTTTTGTATGTGACATCATGATTTTTTATGTGGGGATGCATACATTTCTGTTTTTAAACAAAACGCTTTATAAATTCCATAACAACGTGATGGACTATTATTAATTCCAATCGCAATCTGAATAACAAAAAGAACTCCGTCCGAGGGTTTGCACAAAAGTAAACAACGCCGTTGTTCGCGCCCAGTGCCAACCCTATTGTTTCAAGGGCTGCGCCGGCGGGGCATCTAATTAGTTTTGACACACATAAAAGACAGTGTTTGAAAAGAAAAAGATGGCGACCGAATTTAATTGTTGGGATTTTCCCGCGAAAGATTTTTGTCAGGCACGAATTCTGAGAATGTTCCTCTTGTACAAAAGGTAGTAACAAAGCCAATTTGCTGATGCCTGATTTTGGATGGAGAAAAAATATCGCGGTGATATAAAATTATTACATTTTTCAAGATGGCACGATTCACAGATTCCATCCCATATCATTATTTCGGAAAAAAATAATTTATTTCAAACACACGTCTTATAGAGCACTAGCGTGGAATTTCGTCTGACACAGAAAAACTTTATCACGCGCGTCCATGTTTCAAAAACCGGGATAAAAACCATCCTATGTCTTTTCCCGGGACTCAAACGATCCTTATGTCAAATTTCATCAAAATCGGTTCAGTGGTGTAGGCGTGAAAGCAAGACAAACAGACAGACAGTTACTTTCGCATTTATAATATTAGTACAGATACACGTCTTTAAAATGAATAGAGCATTCACACGAGTCTAATCCATGAGATTATTTTGATTAGACGATCCACCGCAGGCATAATGTATGTACATAGATTATTCGTCCAAGACATAGAGACAATCCACTATAATGGAAAGTATCTATTGAATCACTCATTACGCTCAAATTGGAGCTTTTTGAGCTTTGCTCTTTTGAGACACATAATGCTCATTAGACTCATTATCGCCGCCTTAGAGTGAAAACCTCTTAAGTGTAAAAGAAGTAATTTTTCAGGAGGAAGATAAAACTGCGTGCTGTAATATTTTTTAAACGGCGTCTTTTTTGTAATTTATATGAAAAACCTGCTTTTATATCCGGAGCTAGACTGCATCCCACTTAACATCAGGTGCGATTGTGGTCAAATAACTGCCTTGTTCGTTCGTTCGTTATATTCTGTGAGATTGCCCGAAATAAAAAAAAATGCATAAATATGAGAAAAAATACATTCCCGAGCTTTTCACGCAGGCGCCGTTAGCCAATGTTTAATTTTCATATAGATAGGAATTGCATCGATTTTATGATCTATGGATTTTTGAGTATTTACAACTTCATTTACTTACTGCACACCGAAGTCCTAATGCCAATCTCACGCCAAAACCTAGTCTAGCAGCTCTATTCATACTTATACGGTGTACCTACAGTCTACACTGCCTTTGCGTCAAGTAATTGTTTCTAGTACACGTAAGGGGCCGTACCGTCTCGCTTTGAGCAAGGATCCTCGCTATAATGTGCAACGTACTTAAGTACAAAATAGTATAAAAGAATACTTTAAAGTTACTCAACCACGGCCTATGTATATTGTCTTTTCATTTGATTGTGTGCACCACTGTATAATTTGTGTATTCTCTTTTCATTTTACTGTGTCCAAGCCTGAAGTTTGTTCCTGATAGAGTTTTATCTAGAAAGTTGAAAGTCCTTAAAATAAATGTTTCTTTCTTTCTTTCTTTCTGAAAGTTAGACGTTTCAATAAAAGTACATTAGTAGAGACGTTTCAGTAAAAAATCGAACAGAATTAAGAAATTAGTTAAAACTATTGTCTCTTTTTAGATTTTGAGAGTTTCATAGTACAAGCGTATAAGGTCATGCTAGATAAATTGGAAATAAGTATGTTCAAGATATAATAATATTTTGTGGCTAATAGTCGCTGAAGGACTTTTGGTGGTCTAACGATCTGGTGGACGTAAAAGGCTCAAAAAATTTTACACCCTTTTTACGTTTATTCAAAATTATACCTTCGCGGCGTTAATAAACGCGTCATGTCAATTTCCAGCTTAATATTATATTGGACATTAACCCGGATTTGGATATTGCTGACGAAGGGTACTTTGAGAGACGGTGACGTTTTCAATAAATATATTGTAAGGACATATCAACCTAACGCTAAACACTGTGGCATATTATTTAGTTTAACCACAGTTTAACGCCCGTACATTTACAAACATTACTATGAGGTCACACAGTGCGCGTGGACGCACAGGGTGACACACGAACCAATCACAGAGATCTATTCAACGCTGTGCGTTCGATTTGCTGCTTCTCATAAGCAGGCATCGCTCGTGACGGGCGTATAAGTGCTATTTTGTTACAAAGATTTTACCTAAGAAGTTTCCGACTGTGTACTAGCTACTTATGCCGTAGTNGAATTAGAACGTACAAACGGCGGAATTGCTGACGGAATGATTTGAGTGTAATACAATATGTACACCGTACATGCTCCCGAGGGAGAAAGATGTAAAAGAGATTAAAATGATGATGATGTTAATGAAATGGAAAGTGAATTAAATCTAGTTACAAGATGATAGGACATTTTGTTATGTTTTATAATTAATAATAGCTTAATCTATGTACTATCATCGGAGATAGTGAGTACCGAGCGGAGCACCGGCGACGTGCCGTGGTCCTTTTTCGATTTGTGCGAATGAATAGGTTTGTCTTTCACTTCACTACACTTTGCTTTATCACTAGATTGCCCATTTTTGCTATAAGAAACACTTTCACTAACACAACACTGCTGCTGCTGCGGTGGGGGCGCGCGCGCGCGTCGGCGCCAGCGCCGCCAGGCCAGCGCTGCTCCTCCGGCTGCCAGCACGGTGAAGACGACGTAGATGGCCGCATAATGATGAATGTCATGATTAGATATGTCGTCACTCAAAGGTTCTGTTTGCTTCATAGTCTCGAGTTGTTTACGAATTTCCTCAATTTGTGATTTTTGGATATTTTCCTCATTATCTGTTGTATTGGGCGGGATTATTCTATCTATTGGTAAGTTGATGATGTGATTTATTGGTGCTATGTCAATAGAGTCTATATCTGCTTTAATGTTCATGCTACTCTCATCTTGTCTATGTGAATAAATAATAAAGTCCTTGGATTTTATAATGCAACCGTAGCTCACTATCAGCAAGCCGGCGAACTTGAGTTGAAGTGTAGTAACTTGATCCCCGCACATCAGCTGTAGAGTACAGTCATCACAACAAAAATAGAAATAAGTGTTCTTTTTGTTTAATTCTTCCCATTTGTTTAGGCAGAAGGTTGTTGTGATCTGACATGTTCTAGAATCTTGCTGAGTCTCACACAAGCTTTCGTCGCTTTTTATATGATAAATTGGGCGTTTCAGATAACATAAACTGGTTTCAGCGTCTAAATGCAAGCAGGTGTTTAAGTCGTTTTCAGATAGGGAAAGTAAAGCATCTCTCTGTAAGTTAACTGCAGCATATTCAGTTACAGGTTTAAGATACGTCATTGTTTTATTAAATTGCTTAGGTATAGGTATAAGTCTGAAGATGTCGTATTTATCTCTGTTTATAAGTGGTATCTTTATTTCAAATAGTACGAATTTCTTTGTTATTTTTGTTTTTATCTTCAGTAGTTTATACATTGTTGTTAGGTCAGCAGTATCAACAGGTAAGGATAAGTCACTTGGTAGTTTGCTTGAAATGATGTGAAGCTCATTGCTAAGTTGATCAGGTCTCAGTAGATGCAAATTGATTTTTCCATTGTAAATGTCGGTAAGAGTGTTCAAAATGGTGTCTTGCATTTGTTTGAGATTCACGAGCATGTTGTTAGTTATTATTGATAGTAAAGTAAAGTCGTTAATGTTAGATATATTTTGTAGCTTAGTTTTCAACGTGTTTATATTATTGTAAATTTCGAGAAATCTCTTGTTCTTTTGAGGAGATTAAACTCAGCTTCTACTATTGAAGTCTGGTCTTTCCACAAAGTAGCTAGATGTTTCTGATTTTTTCTTATTAGTCCAATGTCGTGCTCATATTTTTCTGCGAAACGGTCGTCTAGTACTCCGAACAAACTATTTGCTATATTGCCGATTGCATTTATAATGCCACGTCGGCGGCGTGAATGAACTCCGAAATGCTGATTAAGCAACATGTGGTTATAGTACGCTAGTTCCGAGTCGCCGTGACGTAGTTGTAACATGATAGCTTCACAATGGGATTCCGTTCTTATACACATACATATGTTTTTAAGGTACTTTAAATGTTTAGAAAATGCTAGGGTACCGTCCCAGTATGGGTCCATGTCAAAATATACAATTAATTTCCAATCATCTCTTATAAGTAATAATGTAATTAAATCAATTCGGCGTAGAAATTTGCTTCACAAAAAAATGAAACAGCACCCGGATGATGTGCAGGCTCGTTTGGACTATGTAGCATATAGAAACACCTGTAATTCAATAATTAAAAATCTTAAAGAAAGTTACTATCGGGAACAATTACTCAAACATAAAGACATCCTAAGCAGATTTAGAACATTGTGAAGGATGTGGGAAACTTTAGTAGTGTCAAAAGTCATTCCGAAGAATTGCTGACTATAGNAATGCCACGTCTGCGGCGTGAATGAACTCTGAAATGCTGATTTAGCAACATGTGGTTGTAGTACGCCAGTTCAAAGTCGCCGTGACGTAGTTGTAACATGATAGCTTCACAATGGGATTCCGTTCTTATACACATGCATATGTTTTCAAGGTACTTTAAATGTTTAGAAAATGCTAGGGTACCGTCCCAGTATGGGTCCATGTCAAAATATACAATTAATTTCCAATCATCTCTTATAAGATACATGCTGGTTATTTTGTCAAAATATAAACTTTTGTTGTTTGATAGTGATGTTATATTGTATTTGCCTTCTGCTGGCGTAAAGATTGTTACAAATAACAATAACATAGACATTATCATTGTTGCTAGGCACATTCCCTTTTTTGTTTGTTTGCATTTTGTTTCTTGTTTGTTGTCGGCGGCGGTCTCCTTGCTAATTAGTGTTTTGCTTACTTGCTCTGTATTAGATGTCTCTGGATTAGTTGGCAGTACTGATACTTTGACAATTGGTCTTTTTAGATAACCATTTTTTGTTTTTAGGGTCACAACTCGAACATAGCCGTCGGCACCAGGGTGAAGTTCAACAACCCGACCCAGGGCCCACTTTCCGGATGGAAGATTTGCGTCGTGGATTATAACTATGTCGTTTAAGTCGATATTTTTCTGCGGTCGTGTCCATTTACTGCGTAGTGTTAATTGGGTTAGATATTCAGTACGCCATCTTTTCCATATGTCTTCAAATGTTTTTTGTGCTAAATGCCACCGAGTGCGTAAATCAGTTTCTGTGTCTTAAAGTGACAATGTAGGGCCATTAGTCAAAAAATGCGATGGTGTCAAAAAGTTCAGATCATCAGGATCTTCTGATAGCGAACATAATGGCCTTGAATTCAGACAGGCCTCCAGTTGAGCCAATATTGTGCTGTATTCTTCGTAGGTTAGCCTTTGGTCACCAACCACGCGTTTCAGATGATACTTTAGGCTCTTAACCGCAGCCTCCCACAGGCCGCCGGCTGAGGGCCAAGATGGAGCATTAAAATGCCAATGTATACCCAATTCAGTAATCTCTGTCATAAAATCTTGATTTGACTGTAATTGTTCTATGTGCTCTTCTTGTAAAACTCGATTTGCTTTGATGAAACATGTCCCCTGATCACTGTATAAATGGCCTGGTGTTCCTTTTCTAGCCGCCATTCTTTTTAGCGCCGCGAGAAAAGCTGAAGACGTTAAATCGGAAACAAGTTCCAAATGAACGGCCTTCGTGGCCATACAAACGAAAACCGCTACGTAGCCCTTAGTGGTTTTCGTCCCTCGACCTTTGTTTGATTTGATGAAAACATGCCCTGTGTAATCGACTCCTGTATGATAGAAAGGTCTTGAGGGGTTGCTGCGAGCTGATGGTAAATCGCCCATAACTTGATTGTGTTTGCTTGGATCGTTTTTTCTGCAAGTTACACATAAGCGTATTTGTTTCTTTGTCAATCTGTTTCCGCCTACAATCCAATATTTTTGTCTGATGACGGCGTTTGTTAACTGTGCTCCTCCGTGGAACGTCAGTTTATGAGTGTGATCTATGATGAGTTCTGATAACCGCGTCCCTCCTGGTATTATAATTGGATGTTTCATTTCAGTGTTAATATTTGCATTAGCTAATCTTCCTCCGACTCGCAGGATGTTATTTTCATCCAGGTAAGGTTTTAGTTTTGATATTTTGCTTTTTTGTGAAACATTTTTATTTGCTTCTAAGTTGCTCATTTCTTCTTTAAATGCTTCGCTTTGTATGTGATTGATAATTAATAACTGTGCTTGTTTTAATTCATTTAGTGTTAAGTAGGTCTGCTTTTGTTTTTCTTTGCTAATAATTCTCATTATCCATGCTACAATTCGAATGATGCGTGGTAATGAGCTGTACTTTGCTAATAATTGCTTAATAATTGATTCATCTGTTTCAGGTTGTGTTACGACGTTGCTTTGCTGTGCTTTCTTCTCCTCTTCGTGTGTAATAAATATCTCTTGGTTGCTAACTTCCTCGCTTTGATACGTAGGTAGCCAATTCGGGCCATTAATCCATAAAGTGTTTTCTTTCAGTTGTGAAGGAAATTGACCTCTGCTTGCTAAGTCAGCGGGGTTCTCAGCTGACTTTACGTAACGCCAACAATTGGTAGGTATAACTTTGGTGACATTTTTCACTCTATTCATCACAAACTGTTTCCATTTGTTGCTTGGATTCTGTAGCCATGCTAATACGACTTTAGAGTCGCTCCAACCAAAAATTTCAATTTTATGTTGATCTAAACTCTCCAAAACTTTTGTCATTAATTTTGCTAGTAGGTCTGCTGCACAGAGCTCCAATTGTGGTATAGTCAGTTGTTTTGAGGTAGGTATAAGTTTCGATTTTGCTGCGATAATGATAGCCTTTTGTTGATTTTTTAGTTTGGCGTAAATTACGCAGGCGTAAGCTTGCGACGATGCGTCACAGAAGCCGTGTAATTGAATGACGTCATGCTCGTTGCACCCGATCCACCGTGGTATATCGTAATCGTTTATGATAATGATTTCTTTTTGCAGTTTATCCCACTCGCTTGCTATATCATTCGGAATCTCCTCATCCCATTCCAGTCCGAGGATATAAACTTTTTGAAACATTAATTTGAGTTTTGTTGTTACTGGTGCCAGCCAACCAAGAGGGTCAAAAATCTTTGATATTTCGGATAACAGCTGTCTTTTGGTTGGTTTGCATATTGATTGATTTATATTGATGTCAAACATGAATTTATCTGTTGTCGGGTCCCAAAATAGGCCTAATATTTTTGCTTTATTTTGAGACTTGAAGTTAAACATATTTTGTTTCTCACTATCGTTTTCAATGTTTTCTAAAATATCTCGATTATTAGATGACCATTTTCTCAAGTTAAAGCCACCTTTTTTAAGTAATGAGTGTACATCTTGTATCAATTGTTTACCGTCGTTCAATGTGTAAGCTCCATGGACCAAGTCGTCCATGTAAAATGACTCTTCCACAACCTGAGCTGCTTTTGGAAAAGAGTCACGTTCATCAGATGCTAGTTGTTTTAATGTCATCATAGCTAAGAAAGGGGCAGCTTTTGTCCCGTATGTTACTGTAGTTAATTTGTATATTTGAATAGGTTGATCTTCTTCTTCTCTCCAAACAACTTTTTGATATTTTTGATGTTCTTCTGCTATGTTAATCTGCCTGTACATCTTCTCGATGTCTGCTGTGAAACCGTAAGGATATTTTCTGAATTTAAGGATTAACATTTGCAAGTCTTGCTATAGGTTAGGTCCTGTAGACATTAAGTCGTTTAGACTGTAACCTGTTGAAGTTTTTGATGATGCGTTGAATACTGCTCTGTATTTTGTAGTAGTGCTGCTCTCTCGTTGTACACAGTGGTGTGGTAGATAGCACTCTATGATGTCAGTGCTTAATGCTCGTTCCATATGATGTAATTGCTCGTATTCTTTGAAGAATAATTTATACTCAGTAGCTAAAACTGACTCTCTACGAAATTTTCTTTCCAAATTTAGAAATTGAGCTGTTGCTATGTGCTTGGATGCTCCTAATTTTTCATTTATGTCGCTGCTAAGAGGTAACATGACCTCGTATCGGCCATCTGGCAATCTGTTTGTTGTTTCCTTATAATAAGAAATACAATTTTGATCTTCGTTTGATAAATTGGATGCTGTATTAATGTCTTCTACTTCCCAAAACTGCTTGATGTCTTCTAAATTGTTCAACACGACGTTACATTGATAAGTTTTGATGCTACCACACAGTAACCAACCTAAATGAGTCTGTTGTGCTATTGGCTGGTTTGCATTTGTTCCTTTTAGCATTCCGGCCATCATTATTTTCGAATAAACCTCTGCTCCCAATAATAAATCAACAGGACGACTGATGTTAAATTCAGGATCGGCCAAGTTGATGTTTGCTATGTGTGACCATGATGGATTGCTAAAAGATTTGCTTGGTAAATGCTTCACGAGATTGTTCATGATTAAAACCTCGACGTTAAATGAGTAATCACTGACAAGAGATGAACATGTAATTTCTAACATGCCCTTGCAGCTATTTTCTGTTTGTCCAACTCCAAAAATAACTCCACTACATTTCTGTCGTTTCAACCCCAGTTTTTGTGCTGCGTGTTCTGTAATCAATGATATTTGTGACCCTTGATCAATTAGAGCTCTCAAGGTTACATAAGTACCATCTGCTGATAAAACATTCATTTTTGCTGTTGCCAATAATATTTTGGAAGTATTTTCTTGTGAAACATGTGACGCGGCATCCATATTATGTTGAAATTGTCGCGTCGGTTTTGCATGAGTTGCATTCCCACAGGCCGTCGTCGGCTTCGGCTTTGTAAAGGCATCGTGTAACAAAGAATTGTGATTGCTTTCGCAAATGCGGCATCGCTTTAATGATTTGCATTTATTTCCATTGTGATCGAATAAACAGTTAACACACACTTGCAAATTGCGAATGGTTTTTAATTTCATGTCGTTGTTCATTTCCAAGAATCTGTTGCAATTATAAAGTCCATGATGATTTTTACAAAGTGGACACGTGTGAATTGTATTTTGCCAAGGTTTTGTTGCGTTGTTATACGAATGATTAAAGGAAAAATAGGGTTTTTTCATGATGTTTGATGCTGGCTGCTGTTTGTGGAAATACTGAGGAGATGTTTTTGGCTCTTGCTTACGTCTTGCTGTTTCTAAAGAAGTAAACTTGGTTTCGAGATAATCTAATAATTCTTGTAAGCTTGGAAGGTCACGTGGATTTTTTATGTATTCAACATAGTCGTTATAAGATTCAGAGTCTAACTTCTGAGTTAGTAGATGGACCAATATCGGATCCCAAGTGCTGATGTTTATGCCTAAATTTTTGATAGAATGAAGGCATTCTAATGTGACGTCATGCATCTTTTTGATAGAAATAAATGATTGTTGCTGAATATTTGGCATACCAAGAAGTATATTAATGTATGATGTGAACAAAAGTTTTTTGTTATTATATCGGTGATTTAATATATCCCAACATATATTGTAGTTTTCTGAACTAATTTGCAAATGCTGTATCAATCTCTCGGCTTCACCTTTCACTTTGCTTTTAAGAAACTGCATTTTCTGTGCATTGGATAGTGAAGGGTTGTTATGTATTGCTTCTTGAAATAAATCTTTGAATGATACCCACTGATTATAGTACCCGTTAAATATAGGAATGTCTAATAAGGGAGTTGATTTATCTCTGTGTGAGACAGACCATAATTTTGTGTTAATTGATTTCTTTAATTCGGTGTATTTTATCTCATACTTTGTGTAAAGTCTCTCGTATGAATCATCTTGTCCGTTTTGCTCGCTGTCGATCTCCCAATGTAAGCAATCGATAGTCACCCATCGTGATTGCAATGATTTTAGGGCGTCTTCAAGCTCCCATTTGTCCGACATGTTGTCTATGTCAATGCTAGCAACTGTTCTGATAAAAGCTCTGAAGTTTGCTGTTTGTTTTTTCAACATTTCATCTAGCTTGCTGGATGACCCCTGATGTTTGTACTGAACTTGCTTTTCCTCTGATTGCTGTTGTTGCTCTGCTGAATGATCTGAATGGNCTGATTGACTGCTTGGTAACTGCTGTCCTACTGACTGACCTGAATGATCTTCTTCTGTTGCTTTCCTATCCTGCTGTGCTCGTGCTTGAATACCTGAGGTACTTGCTGTTGAGATTTTTGTTCTCATTAGTTCTTGATACTGCTGATTAAACAAAGTTTTTATAGTATTATACTTTCCCAATGTTTGCTCGTATTCTTTATTGATAAAATAGGCATGACTCCTGCTTGCTTCTGTACATAACCTATCATGATTGTGCTCATAGTCTACCCAATATGCTTCCAATGTATCTAAACGCCGTTTGAAGTAGTCTGCTGTTTTACGGTCGGGGCCGTCTTTTTTGTAGTTGGTAAGTATTTTATTGATTGCTTCATTTATTTCAACTTGTGCTAGATATATTTCTTCAACCTCCATTGCTGCTGATAATGATAGACAGAAGTGTGAAAGTAAGCTATTGGAAAGATCTTACTTGATAATGTGCTTCTGATGCTGATGCTGGATGCTTGCTTGATGTTGATAGGTACTGGGCGCGACCTGACGATGATGACGCGCTGTCCAAGTGCCCTGCTTGTTGAACCTTTATGCTGCTGTTGTTGTAGTAGGCGAGCTGAACACTCGCTGCTGCTGATGCTAAGCGAGCTGATCACTCGCTGATGATATTGATCACTCACTGATCACTGCTAACTTGTCACTGATAAATCCACGGTTCCTCACTTGACGAAATAATTATCACGACACGAGAGGTCCCGCAGATACCGCTGCTCGAAGGACCATTTAGATGTACCGTGAGAGAAGTACATCTAAAGAATGCTAAATGAATTACTGGAGATTGAGATAGTTAAGAGTTTATTGCTATATGTCGTAAATTACAATGTTATGCTAATGCTAAGAATGACGTGTGATTGCTATGAATGCGATGAAAGCACTGATTTATTGAACGGAATTAGAACGTACAAACGGCGGAATTGCTGACGGAATGATTTGAGTGTAATACAATATGTACACCGTACAGCGCAATTTCATGATTCAAATTGTATAGAACGCAGGATTAGTCTCAGAGCGATTTTTATGTGACGCAGTCACAGGTATACGGCGGTACAGGTGTAAAAAATGCACTACGACTCTAAAGAATATGCTTTCGCATATTCAACCTAGGTATTATTAGTAGTGGGAAAAACATGAACATTCTACCATTCTGGATATTTACTCAGAAATGTACGGTATTTGTCACGATATTTGTCTAACTGACGATATTATGGTGGATAATTAATTATCTGAAGTTTCATTCAAGTTCTGAAGAAATAAATATCGATAACAATAAATCATTTTGATGGTCATAAATAAGATCTTAATGCAATTATTTTTTTTTTTAACAAAAACCCACAAAGATGGGTAAATGCTAACCTGTTTTTGTTGAGCTGTATGGCGAACCCGCTCATGGCCTGCATGGCTTTGTTGGTGAACGTCATCTCCATGCGCGGCTGGCCGTTCTGCCGGCCGAAGCTGCCCCAGATTTCCAGGCCTGAGAACAAAATTATCATTTATTTATTTATTTAAAACAAGTTATATAGTATTTCCAAACATCAATAATGACCATTGACGATGTCACAAAACCAGTTTTGGTTTTACCGTGCACCGCTGATTCGACATCAGACTCAATCATTCAGAGCATAAAGTTAAATATTTTACTGATCAAATTTAATAATATGACATACACATACAAATTATTTGCCCGAAAACAGTGATACCATTCTTCTAGAATTAGATGAATACCTAAATCACATGCTGGTACGACGAAGCAGTCATGCGAGCGATGTAATTTTTAGAAATACCAATATATCGTGCCTTTTTTTAACATTCTTATCAAGAATCTCATAAATCGTACACACCAACAATGTATTTGTGATAATGAAGCTAACTTCATAACTAGTCAAATCGAGTCAAATTGACGTATTTTATTCCAAATACCAAGTCTGCATTTTTTAATCTAAAGCCGTGATATCGATAGTTCCCTGAACAGATTGTCCTTACTACGGCCGACCTGCGTCCGAAGTTTATTCAAAGAATTCCAGGTAAGCCAGGGGAGCTCATGTCCAAGCGTAGGACTCTCAGACAAAAGGGCAGGGAGGATTAGTTCTCTCACGCCATAACCTGCATCTCTCTTTTGATCGTTTTTCTGATGGTGGGGANTATATCATTGCGTACATAGAATAATTAATAAAGTTTTATATAATGTAGATAATATAGAATATACAGTGTGTCCGGGCTTGTAGTGATCAAACCTTAAGGGCGCAATCCATGGACAATTTTATCGATGAAAAGACTTCAAATTAATCTGCAGAAACTAATGAATACCGCACTACCGCGTATGCCGAGCGTGTCATAACCTACAGAAACTAATGAAGGGGGAAGGGGGGTGGAGTGGTGGTGGTGTGTTACCTGCAGGTTGTTGAGCGGCTCCATCCGCTGCACCGGCCCGGTGGTGGCGAGCGGCAGCGCGGCCTCGGCGCTCGCGCCCGCCGCCAGCGCGCCCACTGCTAACCCGCCTACTGGGTACACGCCGAAGCTGCGCAAACGCATCAATAAATTATTACGTGATTATGTGCTCAGGTGAAGCGATATAGCATAAAGTCCGGTCGCCAATTTCGTCCAATGACCCCAGGGTACCCATCCTTATCGCTCGCGCGTAATGAGGGCTATCGTTTTAGCGCTCACCAGTTAGCGCCACTGTAGAGTAAGGTCCTGTCACTTGCTAGTAGCGAAGACAGTGGCACCAACTGGTGAGCGCTAAAGTGGTAGGACTATCGCATTTGCACTCATCGAGATGGCGCTACTGAGAGTAAGGTCCTGTCAATCGCCATGGGTGCCAACTGTTAAGTATAAAAACGATAGCCCTCTTTATATTGCTGTCGCAAATGTGCGACGGGCGGCCACAGTGAGTGTGCGAGCGCGACAGCAATATGATTACGCGCGGGCGATAGGATAGCTTGGGGAAATTCTACCTGCTCGGCGACTGGACTTTAGTTACACTATGCGCGAACTTGAGGAACACAAGTTTTAACTAAAAATCTGTCAAATTCCATATTTAAAGCGTCGGTTATTGAGATTGTTATGGTTAAAATAAGGTGGTGCAACTCTGCCTCAGATGAATGAATGCTAACCTGTTTTTGTTGAGCTGTATGGCGAACCCGCTCATGGCCTGCATGGCTTTGTTGGTGAACGTCATCTCCATGCGCGGCTGGCCGTTCTGCCGGCCGAAGCTGCCCCAGATTTCCAGTCCTGAGAACAAAATTACCAAATTTAATAATATGACATACACATACAAATTCTTTGCCCGAAAACAGTGATACCATTCTTCTAGAATTAGATGAATATCTAAATCAAATGCTGGTACGACGAAGTAGCCAAGCGAGCGATGTAATTTTTTGAAATAACAACTATATCGTGCCTTTTTAAAACATTCTTATCACGAATCTCATAAATCGTACACACCAACAATGTATTTGTGATAATGAAGCTAACTTTAGTAATAGAATAGACTTCGGACGCAGTTTGGCCGTAGTAAGGACAATCTGGCCAGGTGGGGATTCTTGGATGGCTTAAACATGGAGTGCAGGTGCGGTTTTGTTCCCCAGTCGATGAAGCACCTGATGTCATGCCCTGAGTGCCCAAGCAACTGCACTCAGGAGGATTTGATGAGTGCTACTGAGAACGCCACTCTTGTGGCGGAGTTTTGGGCTGACACTGTGTAGGTTTGTTGTCGACACGAAAAGAAAAAAAAAAAGAAGAAGAAGCTAACTTCATGACTAGTCAAAGGGAGGATTAGTTCTCTCACGCTTTATCAGGTTATGACCTGCATTTCTCTTTTGACCGATCGTCATGAAGGACGGGGGACACACACTTTTTACGATTTTTTTTCTGATGGTCCCCACCATGCACTCCAAGTTTGAGCCATCCAAGAATCCCCATTCTTGGATACCTCAAACTTGGAGTGCAAGTGTGGTTTTGTTCCCCAGTCGACGAAGCACATGATATCGTGCCCTGCGTACCCAAACAACTGCAGCAGGAAGATTTAATGAAGGCTACTGACAACGCCATTCTTGTGGCGGAGTTTTGGGCTGACGCTGTGTAGGTTTGTTGTCGACACGACAGTAAGAAGATCCATAGTTCCCTGTTTACGTACCTTTTCCCTTGTCGGCGGGCAGCCAGCACTGCTTGGGCGGCGTGTAGGAGGCGGGCGTCGCCGACACGCCGAATATGTCGCCTAGCAATCCCGTTGTATTGGCCGATGCGCTCGTGTCAGCCGCCGGACCGCCCAGCTAAGGTAATATCAATTAAGTACATTAAATACGAAAGTTTGAGATATCAAATTGATTAAACCCATTAATTATAAAAAGTCTGTTGTGAATGAACGAATACAAGCATTTGTTTTAAAATTTAAGAGTAGTACGAGCGATTTTGCTAATGATTGCCTGATAACAATCGCATAAATCTGCACAAACTGAAGTGAGCCTAGTATTTAAACTTCGGAATGATTCGAGCCCTTTGACTCAGGCGCAAAAACTTTCAGAAATCAGGTTTGCTACTCGAACTAAAGTGCGTTTTAAAGTCCGGTCGCCGAGCTGATAGAATTTCGTCCAAAGAACCCAAGCTACACATCCTTATCGCTCGCGCGTTATATTGCTGTTGCGACTGTGCGACGGGCGGCCGCAGAGTGTGCGAGCGCGACTGCAATACAATTACGCGCAATCGATAAGGATGGGTAGCTTGGGGTCATTGTACGAGATTCTATCTGCTCGGCAACCGGACTTTACACTTTTTCAATGAGGGCTATCGTTTTAGCGGTCACCAGTTGGCGCCTCTGTAGAGTAAGGTCCTGTCACTTGCTAGTAGCGAAGACAGTGGCGCCAACTGATGAGCGCGAAAGTGGTAGGAGGACTATCGCATTTGCACTCATCAAGATGGCGCCACTGTAGAGTAAGGTCCTGTCAATCGCCAGGGGTGCCAACTGTTGAGTATAAAAACGATAGCCCTCATTAGCTTCGTGAGTGGTGAATAACTTACAAGAACGTCGAGGCCTCCAGCTAACAGGTCAGCGCTTGCGGCGGGAGCGGGCGCGGGCGCGGGCGCGCCGATGTCCATCGACAGTAGGTCGCCGATCAGAGACTCCTGGGAATAACGTTAAACAAACATGGGATTATGTGTTAACAATGAAGATATATCAATAATTTAGTTTAACATTGTATAGTCTGGTCTGTGAGCACGTAGAATTTTGTCCAATGACCCCAAGCTACCCATCCTTATCGCTCGCGCGTAATTATGTTGCTGTCGCACTCGCACACTCACTGCGGACGCACGTCGCACAGTCGCGACAGCAATATAATTACGCGCGAGCGATAAGGATGGGTAGCTTGGGGTCATTGAACAAAATTCTACGTGCTCACAGACCGGGCCTTAAAATGAAACGAAACTGAACAGTTCCATTTACATATTAAACTATGGACCCGCCGGGTACATATAGAGTATTTTATTTTGCTTTTTCCTAATAATTAACTAACCTGGTTGGGTATGACAGTAGGCAACGCGGCCGCCGCTTCGCCGGATGAGGCACCGCGCGCCGGCAGCGACTTGCGAACGCCCGCGCCTCGTCCTGGCGACAAGACAAAATTAGGACAAACATTTCAATGTACAGGGTTGGACAACCCGTCGAATGACTGGGGAATGTTAAAGAGTTCTGAGACCGCTAAGAAAACGGTTTTATAACAAGGACGTACTGTAGGTTTTGGGTACACAGGAGCTGCAAATTGTCTATCAGTGGAATTGAGTGGTGGTCATAGTCTCGTCTAATCCCGCTATGACATTTTTAACATGACTATATTAAGAACTGTGTAATAAGTACGCTCATTGATTCAATTTTTATAAATAAAAATATATCTACGTTTGCCGACTACAGCCTTCATGAGCCTCGGGCACATCTCGTTACACATAACAGGTTTAAAGAACTTTCTTCTCATAAGAAATATATAAGTTTGATTAGACAGACAATAACTATGGTAACACCTGACCTCTTCCAACGTACCTTCAACAAACGCTGTAGGCGGCTTATGGTACACAGACGCCAGGGAGCTGATGTGGCAGATCAGCTCATCCAACAGCGTGGGCTCCAGCAAGTCGGTCTCTTCGGAGATGAGCGGCTTGTCGGCCAGAACCACTTCTTTAGCTGCCGCCGGGTCCGTGGATAACAGACGCCAGTAGATGAAACCGCGATCCCTGGGGAAAAAACAAAGTATGTAAGAAGAAGAAACTAACTATACAGGATTTCCCAAAAAGTAGTGTCAAGCCGAAACCCAGAGGTAGAGCATCACTAGAGCTACCCAAATCACCCCCTATGTATGTATGTATTTGGGACACCCTGTATAAGAAAACTTCATAATGGGCCTATTTTTTGTTTTGGATTTAAATATATTATAGGATTAGCTAGTAAGCAAACTTTAATTGCATGGATGGAAATGGATGGAGCTTAGTAAAGATTGTACAAGAATATCACTACGTTGTAGCCAGCAATCTTATATCATGGCTTTTTCGCTTTTTTTAATTACGTGTTAGTCCTAAGAACTTAGGTTTCAGATTTGGATGCATTGATTTAAGCGTCAGCTTAGCCTAGGCGCAGACCGCCGATTTCTAGTTGGCCGATAGTTGGGCCCGATTCTAATTTGTATGAAGAATCGGCCGATACCAAATCGGTGTAATGTGTGCACTTTCATACATCTCCGTACTGATTAACAGCCTGATCCAACTATCGGTCAACTAAAAATGATGGTCTGCGCCTAGGCTAAGAGCTAGAAAGTTCTAGCTGCATAGAACTGGATGGCATTGAATAAAAAATCCAAGGATATCGCCGCCGTAGCCAGCGATTTCATAAACAGTTTGAGGAAGTCGCAATGAACTTATGTACCTGAAATTGGATCTTGACTTACTTGATTTAAGAGCGTTTACGCCGTTTGACGCNTCGCTCGCACGTAATTATGTTGCTGTCGCACTCGCACACTCACTGCGGGCGCACGTCGCACAGTCGCGACAGCAATATAATTACGCGCGAGCGATAAGGATTGGTAGTTTGGGGTCATTGAACAAAATTCTACGTGCTCACAGACCGGGCCTTAAAATGAAACGAAACTGAACAGTTCCATTTACATATTAAACTATGGACCCGCCGGGTACATCATAGAGTATTTTATTTTTCTTTTTCCTAATAATTAACTTACCTGGTTGGGTATGACAGTAGGCAACGCGGCCGCCGCTTCGCCGGATGACGCACCGCGCGCCGGCAGCGACTTGCGAACGCCCGCGCCGCGTCCTGGCGACAACAGATTTAAACTTAGTAGGATAAATAATAAAATTCTAAGTATGTCATTATCTTACTATACCATTGGACACAATCTTCAATTATTGAGAAATATATCAATCAAATGTATCTAGATATACCACTAGAACCAGACAAGCAGTGTCACACACATGGCATTAAGCTCGCCTGTTGTACCGATATTTATTATGCGTGTGCAATAAAGATTTTAAGTAATGATTTACTTAAAAATAAATAAATACACGCTTCAAGTTGTTCAATGACAAAGGAACGTCAAACAAAACATACAAACGATACAACGACTGAGTGTCCTGTGATGGTAACGGCAACAAAAAGTGTACGTTTGTGCAACCTCTAATAGAAAAAAAAGTTATGGTTATGATCACACCTGACCTCTTCCAACGTACCTTCAACAAACGCTGTAGGCGGCTTATGGTACACAGACGCCAGGGAGCTGATGTGACAGATCAGCTCATCCAACAGCGTGGGCTCCAGCAAGTCAGTCTCTTCGGAGATGAGCGGCTTGTCGGCCAGAACCACCTCCTTGGCCGCCGCCGGGTCCGTGGATAGCAGACGCCAGTAGATGAAGCCGCGGTCCCTAGAAAAAACAACAAGGTAAAAACACTGTTCTTATGTCATGAGTACTCAATACTACCCAATATGGACCTATTCGGTTAAAATAAATCTACGTAACTTAAAGATTTTATAAGGTTAAATTAAGACTAGGCGCAGACCACCGATTTTTAGCTGGCCGATAGTTGGGCCCGATTCTAATTTGTATGAAGAATCGGCCGATACCAAATCGGTGTAATGTGCGCACTTTCATACAGATCGATGGTCTGCGCCTAGGCTAAGAGCTAGAAAGTTTCAGCTGCATAGAACTGGATGGCATTGAATAAAAAATCCAAGGATATCCCAGCCGTAGCCAGCGATTTTATAAACCGTTTGAGGAAGTCACAATGAACTTATGTGCCTGAAATTGGATCTTGACTTACTTGATTTAAGGTTTTATGTCCCCTAGATGGGGCAGAGTGTCCACAACAGTCCTCCATCGCGTTCGGTCTTGAACATGAAATTGGATCTGAGAGCTTGTAAAGAAGGCCTTACCTGAGGTCTGGGTTGTCGGCATCTTGCGTTGCGAGGCTGAGGACGTGCTGTACCAACTCTTGCGTATCTGCAGGCCGCTTCAAGAACAGCTTCACCACTGCCGTCAGCAATTGCAGCTGGACCTGCGACACGCACCAATAATATCATCATTATCATCATCAACCTTTTTTTTCGTCAGGGAATACTTCGCCAGAAAGCACTAAGGCTGAGTTGCACCATCTTATTTAAACCGCGACTTTTGACGTAATTGTTAAATTTAATGTAAGATGGTGCACGTTGGAGCACGAGCCGGAAACGTAGTGTGGGCAGGCTTCCCACTAGGTGGACCGACGATCTGATCTTGTGAAGGTCGCGGGAGGTGCCTGGATGTGGGCGGCGCATGTCCGGTTTTTGTGGAAAACCTTGGAGAAGGCCTTTATCCAGCAGTGGACATCTTTCGGCTGAAACTAACGAAGATGGTGTAATCCAGCCGAAAACCTGATGGGTGTCCTCTGGAGTCCAATGAGAAGGAGCCGCAAGTTATTCACCTTATTTACCACTAGCTAGAAATTGTGGAAAAAAACCTATTGTATATTGTAGGTTTGTTTGTTGTTCACATCCTGTCAAATATTACTGTTAATAAACGAAATGTAATCGTCAATTTACCTGAGCGTTTTCATCGTGGAAGCCCTCTAGGAAGGAGTCGAGCAATTCGTCTGCGTTGTCAATACGCTCGGCGTACTCGCCCACGATCCACACCTGTTGAGGAGACAGAAAACACTAGTAGTATTTCATAGCAGATAGTCACGAAATGACTGGCTAGAAAAAGGGTATTTAAAATGGCGCTATTTTATCTAATCAAAAATGTTCTAGATTCAGAATCCTCACAATTATAGTAGTGATTATTTACATACAAATTGGAACAAAGGATCAGTCATTAAGTATGAACGCGATTAATTTTTAACGTTCGTCCCATATAAAAGCTGCTGCTTTGGAACACTAAAATCACTCTTTCTTTCGACATAGACAAGGTTTATTTACATGCTGTATATTTCTTAGGGTGGATTAGACCAACAAAAGTAAATATTAATCTCAGAATAAATCGTCAGCTATGACATATTTCCCATACTGAAACTGTCAATGTGCCAGTTATACCAGGAGTTATTCTCGGATAAAGTTTGGTCGAAAAGTAGCAATTTAAACTTACCATCGACGCCCTAGCCTCGGGTTCGTCCAACGTATCCAAGTTCTCGCAAAGCGTACTGATGATACTCTCATACTTGTTGGGGTACTTGCGGAAGATGTCCTTGATCACCACTATGGCCTCTTGCACTACATAGTTCACTTTGGTCTGGATCAGTTCTAGGAGGGTAGATACGCACCGTTCCGCTGAGGGCTCCACCTGGGAAAATAAGTAATCGGTTTTTACTGTTATTTTTAACTATTACGTTATGGATAACTATCTGAAGCTTTGTCAGGAACCAGTGAAACTGGCCCTTATGTTTGTTTGATTCAACCATTCGGGCCGATTTGCAATCATCGGATAACTTTTAACTGAATAATTAAATTGTCATTTAGAACAATTTCCTATATAGAAACTATCAACATTTCGAACTTATTTTGCAGGTACTACGTTACTATGTGATACTACTATTATATGACTAATGCCCCTTTTCACCATCAATTCCTAATTTTTAAGTGACCCCTATGGTAACACTTAACTGGAATTTTGTTTTCAAAGGGGTCACTTAAAAATTAGGGATTAATGGTGAAAACGGGCATAAGTCAACCTGATAGGATTTTCCAAAATTCACCCTCTACGAGAATGAAACGGGATCCAAAGAAGAAACAAGATAAGATACCTTTTTAACGAGACTGTTTCTACCTTAATAATAATACCGTATACTTTCTCACCTTGATAGCGCATCTGCCGATGGCTCTCACAGCCTTCCTCACGAAATCCACATCCACCTCAGTAGCATACTCCTTGAGCTCTCCCAGCACTTGCGCGATATTCGCCTGCGAGGCCAGGCGGATCATGATGTCCAGCTTCTCCAGCTTCACGTAGATAGGGTCGTTGTACTTCACGAAGAACACCTGCGGATATACTGGTGGGTTAGTTCTGGATTTGACCGAGAGATGGCGCTGACGCTTATGCGTTTTATTAGGCGGTATCATTGGATATTTTCTGGCTTTAATGAGAACTTAATAAAGAAGACCTGTTGAAATGATTCATAATGGTAATTGGGTATTTCCTACTGTTAAAAGTAGTTCTGGATTTGGTCAAGAGATGGCGCTGTTTCGTTTTACTTCGCGGTATCGTTATTATTTCTGGCTAATTCCCAATGCTGCGCGTACGAAGATGCTCTGGCCAGCTAAACTCCGCACCCCCGTTTTAATTTAATTTTTCTCGCTAATAGTTTCCACTGAAGTAGAAGGGAAATGAGGTGTGTATTTTGAGCTTGGTATCGTTGGACGAAATTCTGCGTGCTCGGCGACCGGACTTTACCATCTCCAAGGTCACTTACCTTCATCTCGTGCTTGAGGATGTCGGGGCGCTTCTGGACCACGAGGTTGATGTTCCGCAGCGCCACGTACTGCACCTCGGGCTCCGCGCTCAGCAGCGTCACCAGCGGCGGCGCCAGCTTGCGGGACAGCGTGCTGACCAGCTCCGTGTCTTCCGCTACCATCTCCATTAGCTTCATGAGCACCTGGGCAGAAGAAAAAGATAACTAACTTCATATCTAGCTGAGCTCATAGCTATAACGGATTAGCGAGCTGAAATGGCAATGGGCAGGGCACATCGTACGCAAAACTGACGGCCGATGGGACAGCAAAGTTCTGGAGTGGAGGCAACGTGCGGAGGTGGTCCGACGACCTCACAACCAACCGGGCAATGTGGAAAGAATTGGGGGAGGCCTATATTCAACAGTGGATGTCCTGTGGCTGAAATAATATAATAATATAATAGAGAACAATAGTGTCTAGACAAACTTAAAGAGGATTTAGGACGCTATTTGGATCAAATATGTAATTGCTCAATAATGAATAATAAATAAATAAAATAAATAATCTAGCTGAATAGATAGACAGTTCTGAGCATCTGGATACCTGGCTGTGATAGATGGACAGCTAGCTGTGTAACAAGTAGGTAGGATATATGGATAGTCAGCTGGATAGCTAGGATACCTTGACGGCTGAGAGCACGACGGCTGCGTTAGTGTGGGCCAGGCGCGGCGTGATACGCTCGCAGATGGAATGCGCGGAGAGTAGTTGGATAGCGCGTCCAGGATGAACACCTGGCCACTCTGTGCACTCGTTTAAGGGCAGTTAGGAGCTTTAAACTGAGTGGGTGCTGGAGCTGGTCAGGTGGATAGCTCTGCAGATGGATAGTCAGGATACCTTGACGGCGGAGAGCACGAGGGCAGCGTTAGCGTGGGCCAGGCGCGGTGTAATACGCTCGCAGATAGAATGCGTCTCGCGAGCGTCGCGCGGAGAGTAGTTGGATAGTGCGTCCAGGATGAACACCTGGCCCCACTCCGTACACTTGTTTATGGCAGGAGCTTTAAGTTGAGTGGATGGATAGCTTTGCATCTGCAATCTATCCATCTGGATAGCTAGGATACCTTGACGGCGGAGAGCACGACGGCAGCGTTAGCGTGGGCCAGGCGAGGCGTGATTCGCTCGCAAATAGAATGCGCCTCGCGAGCATCACGCGGAGAGTAGTTGGATAGCGCGTCCAGGATGAACACTTGACCCCACTCCGTGCACTCGTTCAAGGCAGTTAGGAGCTTGTTGATCGTTGGCGCGTTCATTTCTGGGAAAAACGTGAAGAGAATGAAATAGCCATCTATAAAAAAGAAGTTAAAAAAGAACTGTACAAAAAAAAGTTCGACTCTTCGGCTCGGATAAGTGCGTTCATCTTTAAATGTAGTCTATGTTACCCGGGCCATGGTAACAAATTGATTAACACCTTGTTATTCAAATTCGGATTAATAGTTCAGGAGCTATGCAGATTCATGCTATGCTATGTAAAAAGATAACTTGATGGCGGAGAACACAAAACATTCAATACAATCTCATTGCTAAAAAAAATGGCTGCATTGGCCGAGGTAAAATCGACCGAGATCCTATTCGATTATTTGGTTCAAATACTATTTTATTGTGAACCAAAAAATTTTCAAAGCTATCTAAAGCCCCGTCCGTGAGCACGTAGAATTTTGTCCAATAATCCCTAGCTACCCATCCTTATCGCGATAGCAACATAATTACGCGCGAGCGATAAGGATGGGTAGCTTGGGGTCATTGGACAAAATTCTACGTGCTCACGGACCAGACTATAATTCTAATCACTCTGATAATATTAGCATTAACTTACCAACAAGGGGTTGTCCCGACACGCTGGCTTCGTTAATCTCCGACAGCGCGGCGACGGCGTTCGCCACAACCATGGGATTGGAGTCGCTCAATAGATCCTTCAGCTGGTCTAGGAAACCCTAAGAAAATAACTTTGCATAAATATCTTTTACACTTTTACGACAAAACCTATACATGTATATGGGAAATTGAAAATTAAAGCCCGCATTACTATTGGTTTCTGAGAGTTAATATTAAACTCTAGATAAGAAACTACATAGTTTGCCAAAATAACTATACAGAACTTTACTGCTCTCTCAACGTATTAAAACGTTCACTCATTGATTAGTGAAATCATCATAATGGTCTCGGCTTGGCGCGACGCAGCTAGACAACTGTAGGCGTACGAGGGAGACAAGAAAGCTGATAATATTCGATTTTCGGTCTTGCTTTACACAAGTCTGCTTTAAATTAATTTCCCTTACCAATTTCTCCTGGAAGCATCCACTTTAAAACATGCAAATTATTTTATTTTTCTAATTAAAATCCAACTAACCTGATCTTCTACCATACTGGACGATATGTCGTATAACTTCGCCACACACACCGCCGCCGTCTTCCTGACATACGGGTCTTCATCCTTAAGGCACTTGCGGAGAGGCTCACACAGGTACTCCGTGATCTTGTCCACTCGAATGCAACCCATCGTCCGGACTGCCAGCGCCCGTATCAACGGGTTCGAATCCTCGCAGTCCTGGAGCGTTCAACGTGGTTTGCATTCGGTACGAGTATAAAAAGAAAGAGAAGCAATACATCAATAATACTGAAGCAGTTTGCACTAGAAGCAGGCATAGCCCAGGAAGTTAGGAAACAGGCACTACGCATTTACACTCACTCAACGAATGGGGTTTCTTAACTTTCTGGTCACAGTTAAACGTAGAAACCCGCTATTCTGGGATGTATTGCAATATACTGCTCAAAATTAAGCTTTATCTCAAATAGCACAGTATTTAGTAACAGTTTAAATTTAACTGATCGCTTTTATGATTAGAGAGTTTCTACAGCATGAGATAGTATGAATATAGTTAGCCTTTGTGCTTCTATTTTGGATAAATGAGGCATGGATGTTTTGTTATATTTTATTTATATTGATTTATTTAAATACATTTTTAATAATAGTAATTTAGTGTAGATTTACACATCTTTACTGTGCTAGTGATGAATTCAATTATTTCAATAGAATTTGTGTTTCAGTCATGCATACCTAAATACATGCAGGAAAACGTCATAATTATTTCAAATTTGTTCCTAGTGCTTTAATTGGAGTCCTAGCAGGTGTCTTTTAGGTTTTGTTTAGACAATAAATGTGTAAATCTACAGATGAATGAGCTGATTGGTTCTTTGGATCATTAATTTACCTTAACAAGCTGGTATGTTGGTAGATCCTTCCAGCCATCATTATATAGTGGACATTAAAACGATAAAAAAGACAAGTCACACACAAATGACTACACTACTACTTCATAGTAATGTTATCGACTTTAGTATGTTAATTAGAATTATCACTAAGCTCATATTTATACGGCAAAGAATTACTACTCATGTATGAGCCCATTTTCACCAGCCTACATTCAGTTCAACTCGTAAATTTTTTCGTTCATGCAAAAACATTTAACAATATCAATAAAAATATTTTAAAACAAATATTTTTCTGTTAAAAATGTGTAAGCATTTGTAGGGCTATTTCACTGCATGTATACTAAAATTACTGTTTTAGTGTTGATGTCTTTAAATTGAAATAAAATATTTCTTTTAAAAACTATTATCTCTAAAATATAAATGCACTGAATAACCCAACAAATAAGAAATAATCAATATTATAATAATATAGAAGCAAATACGTACCTTGACAAAAGTGTTAACGGCCATTATAGCCATGTCGGGCTGAGACTTGGCGTAGTTCATCAAATACAAATAGACAAGCTTCTTCAACTCCAAGTTGTCTGTTTGCATGCAGTTGACAACATCGGGGAATAGAGCAGAGACATCTTTACCAACTGTCATGGATGCTATGACCTAAAATGAGTTTTGTTTAGTAGTTAGTTTTAGCTAATGAGGGCTATCGTTTTAGCGCTCACCAGTTAGCGACAGAGTAAGGTCCTGTCACTTGCTAGTAGCGAAGACAGTGGCACCAACTGGTGAGTGCTTAAGTGATAGGAGGACTATCGCATTTGCACTCATCAAGATGGCTCCACTGTAGAGTAAGGTCCTGTCAATCGCCAGGGGTGCCAACTGTTAAGTATAAAAACGATAGCCCTCATTGCAAAGCAAAAAGATGGGACGATGAATTGAGGTTGACCACAGGACCTAATGAATAAATGTTAAATCTCTAATAAAAGTTTATTGGTTTAGGTTTAGACCCTGGTTAATGTATTTATGAATAGAATGGTAGTACCAATTACATTATTCGTATAAACAATTTAACATAAGAATTTAATGTATTTTGCACAATTCTCAACAATGATTGTTTCACTTTGTAAAGTTTTGAGTCAGTATTGTAGATTGCATAATACAACTTCTTAGTAAGGTACTACAACTAAGTATATTCTGGAACAGGGGTTGTGTAAAAATAAATAGGTTGTTTAAAGTAATCAGAACATGTTGCAGGATGGAAAATAAATCCACCTACAACAACCTAAAGTCTTAGATTAATAAAATATATCTCAATGCTGATGAGGTGGGCAGCATTATGGACAGACATATTACAAACCTTATGAACAGACTTTACAATAGAAACACAAACTGTAATACCTACTACTTTCAACATTATTGTAGAGTTACCTTTTTCACTGCTTCTTTCTTTTTTTCCTTCTTGTCACTATTTAGTTCCGACTTCAACTCAAAGATCTCCCCTTTCTTGGTGGTAGTGAAATACTTTGAGTCAGTCATTTTGATGGTATTTAAGCTTTCTTATAGGCTCAATAACAAATAATACTGTTCATTTACTACCGCACCGTTTCTGAAAATCGATAGACCGAAAGTAGTTTTTACTTGACTGCACCGAGAGTTATCCTTTGAAAAATCTTGAATTTATATCACAATTAAATTCCACAAAATTGAACCGATTATAAACGTTCATTTAACCGTTTTAATCACAGTTTTAATCCAAAAAATTAGAACTACTGGAAATAAGCAAAATGTATTTCACTCACTCATTTGACACGACATTGGGGGCGTAGCAGATTTGGCACAGATTATAGATGACCCACACTGAACTGTCCCACCCACAGATATCTGTGGTCCCACCAAACTCAATGACAGGGGGGCGCTACCATCGTTCAACTAAATGGTTTCCAACATGGCAAAAATCCACAAAAATCGGAACCAGCGATCCGGTATTGACGGTGGCGCTGCACTGTCAATGTCATGGATAGGACAGTTCAGTATTTTGGACACAGATATGGATTAGAGTAGATACAGCAAGTTGTTCGTCAAAGCGTGCCATAGAGTTATTAACCCAGGAGTGGAACTGACAGGCAATCCCCTCTAGCAATGTGAGTGGACCAGTGGTTCACTCAGTTTATAAAAACTAGTTGCAGCGCCACCAATGACATATTCCAAATGTCACTATTGATGAGTAACGTGCTGAGACAAAAATGGTGAATTGCAGTGTATTTTATTGTAAAAAGATATCTGAAACTTCAAATCTTGAAAAGGACAATATTACCTTCCATCAGTAAATATTATTTTATTTATTTTACATTAATTAATACACTAAATTTGCAAAAAACTAAATTTCAAGAAGTGTTGCCACTGGAAAGCACAAATTCCTAATTTTGTAATATTTTTAAGAATAGTGTACTTACGAATATAATCGAAATTCTATGTTAAAAATTTGATACTGCCTACCTATTGGCAGGAAGTAAGTATTTGGAAAAGAAAGTTTTTTTTTATTTGGTCAATATACTAATTAATTAATGTAAATAAATCCTATGTCCAAACGTTTGTATTAATACAATAAAATAATGTTCGTCGAATCTGCCTATTTCATTATTACATAGTACGGTCAGTGTTTGGTAACCCAAAAGTGTACATTTTTATTTCAATACGCTGGCCACCCAGCGGAAATTTTAGTGTGGTACAGCACAATATGAAATATCGATATCGACATCGACTTGGTGATTGTATTGTTAGAAAAATGTAAGAGTCGCACTTCTCCTGTAAATAATTTTACGTATAAACCGAACAAAAGAAAATTGAAACAGAGTTCCATACCATCTTTTAAAGTTGAATTTCGACGTTGAGCTACCCTTCTCAACGTCGAAATTCAATATTGAATATTGAAAGAGAATTAATACTCCAAATACCACCTCCTGTTCATCCTCTAAGGTCCGGTTTACACTAAGGCAGAGCGGAGCAGAAAAGTTTTTGAATAACCAATCAGATTCCCTTATTTGCTCATCGCCACTCCGCTCCCATGAAGCTAAAGATAAAAATGGAGGCCAGACTTGGAACAAAAACTTGAGTCAAATACCTACTTATCTCTATCTCGCTCTCTGTGGGCCGACCTCTCTTTTTAGTGTGGACTGTAGTATTGCTATCTCCTGATTTAAATCTCCTAGTAAATTCTTCGAAATAGCTAATTCACAAACCAAATCAGAAGTTAAACATATAAATAATTAAATATTTCTTTTTGATATCCCATAACTCTAGGGTATTAATACGACCACATAATAGGATCGAATGGCATATTTAATATTTTTCAATTCATTATTTCTTTTTCATTTTTCATGCAAATTCATTCGCCAAAAATACGACTATTATGTAAAACACCGTTACATTTCTTTTAAATTATGAATAATACAAACGAAGAATAAACCTCACGACATGTTGACTTAAAAATCGTCTTTATCTCCTACAAAATAAAAGCGCATATTGCATTGGAACGGTTACACTTACTGTACTGTGGTCTGTACTAGTGTAATTATTTAAACGTCGCAATTATAAAAACCAGTCATAGCGGTGACAGTTTAAGAACTAAAAATGATGATATCTTCGAAAATATGCATTTTGGGACACATGATTCTTGGACATTATAAATTATTTTTATGTACAGAATAAACCCTTAAAGTAATGGGATATCAAAAGGTTACACGCTGTATAAATATTAGGTACCTATTTCATGGGTAGTAGGGTAATGGTGGTAGGGTTAATACTAGGACGGTTTTAAATTGCTTTTTAAAAGCCCTACTTGCATAAATAAATGGCTTGTTAGTTTTTTTTTTCATGTAACTCATAAACTTCACAATTCGTATTGGTGCTAAGGAAGAAATGCCAAACTTCTGCGTATTTTCCTGTAAATAGAGATCTGAAACATTGAATCTTCCTTATGATAATAAATTAATTCATATTATTTAAAACAAAAACCATAGACTATGAACCATAGAGCAATGATTCTCATCGACAAAAATATCGATAGTGTCCCAGCGCCATCAGCTGTTACACAAATGTCATTACCTCGTCCCCCTCAGGAAATGGCGAAATTTTTTGTATGGAAATAAACGCGCGCTGCTACTCCTGGGTTAATAACTCTATGAAGCGTGCCATTCCGATATGTCCAAATGGACATACATGCTCGAGTGATGTTCACGTTGTTAATTGTATTTCGATTACAACAATCGGTTACGATGATTTTACGAGAACAGTAGTACGAACACGGTAGAAAGAAGAAATTATTTACGGATTGAGAATTTTAATTAACAGCACAAGTAACAAATAATTATCCCAACTAATATTATAAATGCGAAAGTAACTCTGTCTGTCTGTCTGTCTGTCTGTCTGTCTGTTACGCTTTCCCGCTTAAACCTCGCAACCGATTTTGATGAAATTTGGCATAGAGATAGTTTGAGTCCCGGGAAAGAACAAAGGATAGTTTTTATCCCGGTTTTTGAAACAGGGACGCGCGCGATAAAGTTTTTCTGTGACAGACAAAATTCCACGCGGGCGAAGCCGCGGGCGGAAAGCTAGTATTAGAATAAAGTAGCAGTAGAAGAAGTATAAAGTAGCATTGTTTTTAATACAGGAAATAAAAAATATCGGAAATAGTTATCAGAGAAATAATGATAAAATCACAAAATTTTAACACCAATCCTTCACTAACCAAAAGTCACATTATCAGTATGGTTTTGCATTATTTTATTAATAGCAATATTTTTAAATCCTTTAAAAAACATTAGTTTGATCAACCGCCCACAGAAAATAATTTAAACTAAGTCGTTTAGAAATATCTTCAAAACTAGGTACCTGACTTAGCTTTATGATACTAAACGTATTGGCAAAACTACGCAGTTTTACATTTATTAAAAATAAAAAGCTTGAGTTAGTCTTTATTTTATGAAACAAGGTCAGGTACTAGGATATTTAAAAGTATGAAATTAAGTATGAATTACTAGTAGTACTATTTAACATAATGGAATAACGATCATTACTTTGATATACTCACAATAAGAATATTATTTGCAAATTAATAAGAAAATTAATAATTACGTAACACTAGAACGCCCCCTTAGCAACAAATACCACTTCTCACTTTTAAAAAACGCTATTTTTGTTTTCACCCACCAGAATGGGTGATAATGGGTAAAAACCGGGTTTTTACCCAAATCACCCAGTTTTAACCCAATCGGGTGAAATGGGTTTTTACCCACTACCCATCTCTACCCACTGTCAATGTCATGCATAGGACAGTTCAGTATTTTGGAACCTCTACATAATCTGTGTTTGGAACCAGTCAGTTTTTCAGTATTTTTATTCAGTTTAATATAACCACGCTTTCGCTTTGTTTGTGGTTTGTTTGTTTGTTGTGGCTTGTACACCACAATGGCTTGTGGTTTTATTTTATTCCAAAATCTGTGTGCCTTTTCGTTTCAATTTTGTAGAAATTACATAGGTAGTTGTGATAAAATTTCAATCATTTTCTAAAGTTAACACTCAGTGCTGTCAAGTGAAAACTACTTTCGCTCTACTACCCTACCCTCTGACCGATTTTAGCAACAGTGCGGTAGTAAATGAACAGTATTATTTGTTAATGAGCCTAAAAGAAAGCTTAAACATTAACCGATTGAGTCCCAGACGGCATTAATTAATCCTTCAAGGCCCGCGAATCTAGACACAATAGATAATCAATTGTTATGACATTAATTAATGCCGTCTGGGACTCAAGCGGTTAATGTCCTAACAATTGATTATCTATTGTGTCTAGATTCGCGGAGCTTGAAGGATTAATGTAACCGTGTTGTGGCAAATAAATAATTATTTATTTTCTATTATATATTTAATATTATAAATGCGAATGTTTGTATATGTCAACGTGAAATTGTTTTACTTTATTTAATGGCTTTTTATAATGCATACTAAGTGGTTTTCTGACAAAATGTAATATTTTAGTGATTGACGTAATAAGTGTATGAGAATAATAATAAAATTATTTATTTTAGATCTCCAACACCAAGTCCAAGCATCCTTAATCCAGTGCAACCAATGTATGTAATCTTTTATTGTTTTTTTTTTTGTAGTGTTCATACATGCCTTTATAAAGTTTTTTTATTTTAGTTCGATGGCTGAAGAAATGAAAAAAATAAAACAAAACAAAAAAATAGAAAAGAATGCCCCCAAAGTTCGTTTCACGGAGCAGAGAACGAAGCGCCTTGCACAGCAAGAAAAAAAAGAAGTGGGACGTTTTATGTTGCCTGACGCCCCACCCCCGAAAATTAAGTAAGAACTCTTTAACATTAACCTAACCTAAATAACATTATTGTCATTTAGTGAATTTTAATGTTTAAGGTGTAAATTCACTTTTAATTTGAAAATTGCTTTCAGGAAAAAGGGAAATAATTCGCCTGAGCGCATAAAGTGCCCTTTAACTCCCGCCACACCGGAAGTTCCTCCTGCTAACTATAGAATAGAATAACTACGATGTACACCTTAAGTAATTATGTTCTTTTGTTTTATATAGTGCAGAAGTTGTTAAGTTCACTCCATCGACGGAGGTCATAAGATCCGACGAAGATATCTCCAACTACCAGATAGTAGACAGCAAAGTGGGACTAGTCGGATTTTCTGGTGGGTTTGAGTATTTTTTTATTTTTAAAAATAGATTTCTTTTACGAATTATTTCAAGAATACGTAGGCGCGAATGGTCTGTCAGACCAATAGTTGATAAATGTTTTTATTTTAAGTTCATAATTTATACATAATTATGTAAATATAATATTATATTAATTTATGATAATTAAACAACACTTTTATTTTAGATCCTGCCTCTCAGGTGCCCGACGCGCTTCCACTGCCAGCATCATCAAAGCCAGAACTAAATAGTGACAAGAAGGAAAAACAGAACGAAGCAGTGAAAAAGGTAAGTCATTACAATATGTTGGAACTTGGAAGTAGTATTACAGGTTGTGTTTATATATTGTAAAGTCTGTTCATAGGGTTTCTAATTACGTCTGTCCAAAATCCTGTCCACCTCATCAGCATTGAGATATACTTTATGCTGTTGTATGTGGATCTAATTTCCATCCTGCAACATTTTAGTTTTATTAATGCAATCTGCAATACTGACTCAAAACATTACAATCATCATTGAGAATTGTTACAAAATAAGTACATTTTAACTTTCCTTTTATTAGAGAGCAACACCCTCTTCTGGCTCTCCTCGCAAGAAGGCTCGTCACTCTCTGGGATCCAGCAATAAGCGAACACTGGTGGACTCTGGCAGCGAGGTTGAGTCTGACGAAGACGATGAGGGAGAGAAGTACAACATTAGGATGCTGGGAGAAGGTGATGGGTGCAAGGATAGAGTGATTGGTAATGGGGTGGATGAGGAACTTGAGACACCTGCCGTGGCTCAAGAGCATGGAGCATGCGAGGATGCAGCTATAGGTGAAGATAGTGACGGGCTGGTTGAGAGTCTTGAGCAACCTCCAGTGGGTCAAGAGTGTGAAGGCCTGGATGTTTTCTCTTGGTCTAAAGATTTTTCTTCGTTTTCCGGCCAAGAGGAAACATACTTGCGCTCACCTGGCCCGATGGTGGGGCCTCAAGACCCAGCGCAATTATTTATGGAAGTTTGGGACGAAAGAATTATGACAGAAATTGTAAGGGAGACAAATCGATATGCATGGCAAATTATCAGTTCTATGACTATGTCTGAACACGGTCTTCCAAAAAATCTGAACTGGACCGACACCACAGTTTCAGAAATGTACAGGTATTTTGCTTTACTTATTCTAATGTCTCTGTGTCACAGGGCAAAAATGGTAGATTATTGGACGACAGGGATCCTCGAAATGCCTAAATTGCGAAAAGTCATGTCGAAACATCGATTTTTCGCAATAACGCGATTCTTGCATTTCGTGGATAATGAAAGGAATGATCCCAGCTTGTCATCATATGAGAAAAAAAAATTAAAAATTTCTTCCATTATTAAACATTGCAATAAGAAATTTAGGGAAATCTATACTCCTAGTAAGCACCTTAGACTGGATGAATCGCTGCTACTCTGGAAGGGTCGGCTTAGCTGGGCACAGTGTATCCGGACTAAGGCAGCCCGGTTCGGGATTAAATCCTTCGAACTTTGTGAGGCAACATCTGGATACCAGCTAAAGTGCTTACTTTACGCAGGTAAAAGTTCTTCAATGTTAACAGAATCCACCCATGGGTTCACGAACTGCACCGCCAAGGTCGTTCTAGAACTCATGGATGGATACTTAGACGTCGGACACACACTAGTCGTGGATAATTGGTATAACCGATTATCCTTGACCAGGTTTTTAAAAAGGAGGCACACGGATGTCATCGGAACTATGAATCGTCGCCTGATGAATGTTCCCGATGACATCAAAAACCTTAACGAAAAGCGCATGCTGCGAGGCCAACAGGTGGCTCGGCATTGCGGTGATATTAGTTTGATCGCCTGGAAAGACGTCAAACTAGTCACCGTGATGTCGACCTACCACAATGATCTACAGTCTCCGTCGCCTACTAAGCAAGTGGACAAAAAAAGCATTTTAAAACCCAATACCATACTTGAATATAACAAATATATGGGCGGGGCGGACTCCAAGGACCAGAAGCTGTCCATGTACCTCTTGGAGAGGAAGAGGGGACAGAAATGGTATATGAAAGTGTTCAAAAGGCTGTTAAATACCAGCCTTTTGAACACTTTCATAATATACACCAAAAATCCTATGCCCAGACCACTTACACACAGGGAATTTCGTGTGGAAGTGGCCCTCGGTCTTTTGGAACATTTCTCTAGTAAGGAGACCCCAGTCAACCCTTTAACTCCAGCATCTCCAGATTTGGACAAAAACGTAAGACGGCTTCAGGTGGCGGACCATTTTCCTGCCCACACAGGCAAAATGCCCGGTAAGAATAAACATAAACAGCTCAGATGTGTGCGATGCACTGCTGCAGGCCGGCGCACAATGGTAACAGTGAAATGCACATTCTGCAATGTACCATTATGCTTCGGCTCTTGCTGGGCTGAATACCATCAATTAAAAAAATTGTAACCCATGAGCCTAGATTAATAAAGTCCCGTCTAAAACAGAAGATTTTATTTTTTCAGTTGGGATTGTTGGCATGAAAGATAATTTTGACCGAGTTGCGTATGAATGATATAATTGTATGCTTATGAATGATATCACCTCAGGCATACCGCGATCCGCGACAGTGGTACCTACTCTCGCGACCCCAAACGTGTCGACGGCCTATTTTGAATTTCTGTAGTTTGTTAGCAGTTGATGCGCCAGTATTGTAAAATTTGGTATTAGGGAAGTGTAATCTCTCGATATAGTGTTTAATCTCATTTCTGCACTTCTCTGTTTTTAAGTTTATAAAGAAAAAGAAAACATGTGATTTTGTAGAATAATAATTTTCACCCTTATTTACATTTGATGTAAAATTTAAATTTTTGATAAATTTCCAAAAAGTTGTAATTAATTGCAGTGGTTGTTGATACCAGTAATTAGTAAAAGAATTGTTAAAAGTAGAGTTTAACAGATTCCGAGGTTGATGACAAACAAATATGGTATTTTTCTTTATAAGAAAAGATTTGTTGTGTTAATACGTTAAAGTAAACAGTATTGAGTATATACCAAATCTTATTGATGTACAGAACTAGGTAGTATTGTAAATTAAGTTTTTTAAAAGGACTCTTACATGGTGGTGAGTATTGAAATTATATTTTTTTATAAGCCTACTAATACTATGTACATGTACGTACATATGTTTTACTTTTTCCCTTGATTTTTATCATAGTGTTTACTAAAACACTATATTAATATGTATAAAATTATATCTGTGGTATAACCTTAGATTAATAAAGGGTATATACTACCCGTTCGCGCTAAGTTTGCCGGTCCGTGGAATGCGCGTCCCCTCCCCAACCGCGATTAAACGCAATTAATGTGTCTTATTTTACACAAATACACAATTTTTATCAATAATAATAAATAAAAAATATTTTAAATATAGTTTGATAAAGTTATAGACGCTTCTCTTCGAGTGACGTCATATCGCCAGCGGCAAACTTGTGCGAACGGATAGTAACTAAAATTGAAATGTTTAGTTTAAAAATTATTTTTTTATTATATTAAAGGAGCCCTAAGTCATCAACATTTTTGTGTTAGTTCAGTAACTACACTGGCTCTTTGAGATATCTAATTTAATTTATAATTAATTTATAATTATTTTTACTTTCTCTCCTTTCGAGTTTTGTCGGTAATAAGGCCTGTTCATCTCCGTGAGTTTACATCGAAAACAAAACACGCACGATGGCCCACCTACAGGATAATATTCGACAAGGCCTCACATCTCACATACGAGCGAACATTGACTCACGCACGCGTATTTTTGTGTATGATGGAAGAAGGTGTACTAAATACTGTGCAGTATTTAACTGCCTAAATAATAATAAAAACACAGAATGTACTTTTTTAAGTTGCCTCAAGACACTGAGAGGTAAATAAGTAGTTAATATTATTCATGATAATTCATGCTAAATCATTATTTCCTCCGCCATTTTCCGCAGTTTGGCACCTCACGTCACATCATTTTACCGAAGTCAGCCCTATAGCTTCGGCGCAGTGCCGATCACTGACGTTTGTCAACAAAATGGTGCTTGACTCTTGAGACAGGCTAAATTACACCATATTGTGAATGACATTGAGCATACATTTTTTTAAATACCTTCGTAGTAGTAAAACTTCTGTACGTAGTACTTATTATTATTCTGTGGTAATATGTTGTTTCATCTAAATTGAAGTTTGCATTAATTCATTTTCAATGTGTAAAATAATGTTACTTTGGTTCTCCTGCGGATCTCCTCATTTCTGATTCGATCACGCAGGGAAACTCCGAGCATAGCCCGCTCCATCGCCCTTTGGGTGACCTTGAGCCTTCTTATGAGGCCCATAGTAAGCGACCACGGGCTGGAAGACGTAGCGTGGGCAGGCCTCCTACTAGGTGGACCGACGATCTGGTAAAGGTCGCGGGAAGAGCCTGGATGCGGGCAGCGCAGGACCGTTCATTGTGGAAAACCTTGGGGGAGGCCTTTGTCCAGCAGTGGACGTCATTTGGCTGAAAAGAAGAAGAAGAAGAAGAAAATAATGTATTACCCAGCCCTGACCAGGAAAATTGACGACAGAAAACAACAAAATATTTTTTCTGTTACTTTATTAAATATTTCATTTTACAACCAGTAGTGAATTCAGTAACGTTTCATCACATTATCGTACAGTACACATAATAAGATAGTCAATTTTATACGCGGTTACAGACACAGATAATATTATTATATAGGAATAAATATTATGATTTTAAGGATAATCAAGTTAGAATAATTACAAGGAATATATTTTATAGAGAATACAGATTCGCTAATTACTTCATAGTTACGGCAAAACAAACCGATAACGAATGATATTTGACAATAATTAAAAAAATCTATTACCTAACAGATATGTATTGAATGTCTACTATAAAGCAACAACTCACTTGTAACAAATAAATCATAGAATAACAGTCTGATCACACAAATATTACAATTAAATAATAAAATGTATATGCCATCTAGTTATTTACAAAAGTTAGCTAACTAAATAACAAAGGGCCTAACATTATTTTGTAAGTTACCCGCCACTAGGCCGTCTAAATACTGACTGAACGCAGCGCGACATTAAGTGCATACAAATGAATTCTCTAACATTTCTAAACTAAATAAATTATCGTCGAAGCCTAGTATGAATGGTGCCAGTGACCTGTGTCGTAGGGACGAGCCTGCGTCGCGGCGCGGGCGCAACACGTGCAGAGCCAAAAGTTCACGATCATGGAGAATATTTTGGAATGCATACATTTTTCACATTATTATTGGCCGACACTAGCGCCATACCTATAAAACGTCTATATCAAACTTGTAGCAAACGTACGAAACGTCGATAAAAGCTGTATAAAAACATGTAAAATTTTGCGTAGCCTCTATTTTATAAACGTGTATATTGAGCAGTCTAATTTAGGAGCCATCGGTATACATGGTTATTGAAAAGAGTGTCTAATAAAGTTAAAGTTAATCGGTGTACAGTCGTAGCGATCAAAACACTTCGCGTGGGGTTAAACAAAACACTCGTATCGACACCACTCGCGGTAGTTCGCACGTCACTAGTTTTTCCCGCCAAGAGCGCTGTCGGTGTGACAGCTGACGTTTTGTTTTTTAAAATTCAGTCTTGGATTTGGCGCGGTTCGTGCGGGCGAGGGCGCGCGCACAGCACGGCGCATAGCAGCGGCAGCGCGCCGGCGAGCAGGCCGGGGCCGGGGCCGGGCTCGGCGCCGGCGGCGGCGGGCGGCTGTTATGCGAACGACTCCTTGCTCGGGCTTATCGGCTTCGAGCCGGAGCTGACGCTGGCGCGCGAGCCGCGGCCTTCGGGGCTCTGAGATCTGAAAAAGGAAATGTTTTTGAGGACAACGAATGTCTTGCCAGGTATACTCCGGTAGGTGTTCTCACTATAACCCAAACATGATTCTGTAGCTAAACAAAGAAGTGGGCGTGGCATAGCTACTGATTTCTTCAAAAGACAACCGTAATGAAGGTATATTAAGAGAAAATACGACGGTTTTAAGCATTTGATAACACTAACTACTAAGTGATAGGTAAGTATTCAATAGACACAAAAATAAAATACTTAATGCAACCATGAGTTTACGATAGGTTAGGTGTGCTCGCTAGCGAGTGCGTCCAATAAATCTAAGAAGATTTAAGAAGAAAGCAGCCGCTAGGGGCGTAATTATGTTGCTGTCGCGCTCGCACACTGCGGGCGCGCGTTGCACAGTCGCGACAGCAATATAATTACGCGCGAGCGATAAGGATGGGTAGCTTGGGGTCATTGGACGGGATTCTACGTGCTTATGGACCAGGCTTTAATAAAAAGTATCGCTTACTTCTGCGAGTCAAGGTGGAGACTGTTGCGCGAGGGCGCCGAGGGACTGAGCTTGTGGTTGGCCAGGAACGTGCCGATCGACTCGTCGGAGCTGTAGCTGTCGTTGTCGCTGGAAACAGACATTCACGTTACAGACATACATAATATTACTCAGCCGGACTATTATGCCCCGTGATAAAATCTTATCGATGTTTGTAGACGGCAAATTAATGGCCTATCGCATAAAATCGATAAAATGCGCGATATTTTTTTTTTGCGGTAATCATTAACCTTTCCCAGGAACCAGCCTCAAATGTAGATGATTGGACTTATGTGAACTAAAATGTAAAGAGTGTTAAAAGTTTATAGTGTTCACACGTAATCTATTAAACCCCAAGTGGTCGCATAAGACCGCGTAACAATTGATTTCTATTTGGTCTCGATTTGCGAGGCTTGAAGGGATAATAAAAACCCTAGTGTTTACTTTGACGTGCTGTCGTCTGTACAAGCTACATATTATTACGCCCGCATTCACAAACATTACTATGATGTCTCACAGTGCACGTGGATGCACAGGGTGACACACGAACCAATCACAGAGCTCTTCAACGCTGTTTGCTGCTTCATTTAAGCAAGCACCGTTTTTGAATAGGCGTTAAAGAAAGGACAAAAACTCACCTATCCGTGTCCCTAGAGTCACCAGGGCTAGACAGGTCTCCAGCGATGGCTTCTTGTAAGGCCGTGGCGCGCCGGGCAGCGAGGCGCGCCTCGTCCCGCGCCGCCGCCGCGTCAGCCGCCGCCGCCGCCGCCGCGCCCTCGGCCGCTGCCTTAGCGCGGGCCGCCTCGCTTAGCTTGGCGTTGAGGGCCGAGTTCTCTTCTTTTAGCTCTCTGTAATAAGGGGGGAGAATTGACTATGAGAAGGGACATGGATCAGATTTTGTAGGGAGTCAAGCAAAGCGCACGGGGAAAAGAGCCCAGAGCAAGTACCCGCGCGCTCTCCCGAGATTCGGTTCGTACGCCGTGAGGCAGGAAGAACCATGGGTGGTGGTGGGTTAGCTCTCTGTAATAATAATAAGAGATGATGAGAAGATTCTGTGAGACGGGCAGTAGCAAACTGCAATGGGTTGTTGTTCACTCAGTTGTTGATAAATATTAACAAATCTTTCTTTTATTCCATTGTGAACTAGTAAGAGGAGCAGGTGAGCTACGAGGCCTGCGAAGGTTGTAGTTAACTAACAACCTATAAATCATATAATTTTTGATAGTAAATTACATGTGTATTTTATTTATATTCGCATGCATTTTAGGTACCTAATCGGTACACACTTGCGTTGTGCTGTGACTCAATTTTTATTCCGAACAGTCCGAGTATGTAGTAGCTGTGACTCAATTTTTATTCCGAACAGTCCGAGTATGTAGTATAGTTCTGCCGCGCTGTGATAAAATCTTATCGATGATTTTAGACGTCAAAATGTATGGGCTTATCGCGTTAAATTGATAAAATGGCGCGATAAACGCTTATCACGACGTCGAAAGAATAGAAAAGTATCCATTTTTTTTCTGTATTCTGTAAACCGTAATCGTAAGTTGGTACTTTTTACACCCTGTATACTATACAGTGTATAGCGTATTCTTGTTCGTACCTGAGCTGGCGGGAGAGCTTGCGCAGCTCGTCGGCGGCCGCCAGCTGCTCGTGACGTCAGCTGTCCCTCCAGTGCTGCTCGTGACGTCAGCCGTTCCTTCAGCGTGAGCGGGAGCACTATAGCTGCCTAAGTTGCTAACAGCTAACTAAGGAAGTGCACAGCGCAATAGGTCCCTCTTTAATCAGAAGCTGACGGTCGCCTTTTTCCGCTGGATCCTTCCATTCTACGAGCCATATCTACCTGAACTGTCTCGTGAGCTTCCTAAGTTTGTGGGCGCGATAGGTCCCCCTTCAGTCACAAGCTGACGGTCGCCTTGCTGCTGGATGCTTCCATACTACGAGCCATAGCTACCTGAACTGTTTTGTGAGCTTCTTTAGTTCATCAAAGCGATGGGTCCTCCTTCCAGTTACAAGCAGATAGTCACCTTGTTGCTGGATTCAAAGACTATTATAGAATACTGAAGATTGGATCCCTTCACACTACTAGCTATAGCTACGTACCTGAGCTGCCTCGTGAGTCGTGACTTGCCTTACTTCGTCGGCGCGATTGGTCTTCCTTTAATCAGAAGCTGGTCGCCTTGCTGCTGGATCCTAAGTGTGCAGGTACGAAACTNTTTTGTAATCAAAAAACAAGGTTTGGTCGATGGCCGCGCGAAAAAAAAAGACGCCAATTTCCGGCATTGTCTTTTGTAGGGAGTCAAGCAAATTAAGCGCCCGGGGAAAAGAGCCCAGAGCAAGTACCCGCGCCTCTCCCGAGATTCGGTTCGTACGCCGTGAGGCAGGAAGAACCATGGGTGGTGGTGGGTTAGCTCTCTGTAATAATAATAAGAGATGATGAGAAGATTCTGTGAGACGGGCAGTAGCAAACTGCAATAGGTTGTTGTTCACTCAGTTGTTGATAATTATTAACAAATCTTTCTTTTATTCCATTGTGAACTAGTTCTCCTCTTGGAACAGTGAGCTGCGAAGGTTGTAGTTAACAACCTATAAATCATATTTTATAACTTTTTATAGTTAAAGGGGTGGTCTGTCGGGCTACGATGCGCGCCTTGATAAAAACTTATCGATGATTTTGGCGCGCATCCTAGGCCGACTGGTGTATAAGTAGTAATCGTAGGTTGGTATTTTTTACACCCTGTATAGCGTATTCTTGTTCATACCTGAGCTTGCGCAGCTCGTCGGCCGCGAATTGCTCGTGCGCGTCGCGCAGGCGCGCGCGCTTTTGCTTCTAGCGAGAGCGGGGGCACTATAGCTACCTAAGCCTGCTGCCTCGTGCACTTGTGCGATTGTCCCTTTTTAATCAGAAGCTGACGGTCGTCTTGCTGCTGGATCCTTTCATACTACGAGCCATAGCTACCTGAACTGTCTCGTGAGCTTCCTTAATTCGTCAGCGCGATAGATCCCACTTTAGTCAAAAGCTGACGGTCGCCTAGCTGCTGGATGCTTCCATACTACGAGCCATAGCTACCTGAACTGTCTCGTGAGCTTCCTTAGTTCATCAAAGCGATGGGTCTTCCTTCAGTTACAAGTGGACGGTCGCCTTGCTGCTGAATCCAGACTACTATAGAATACTGAAGACTGGATATCTTCACACTATAGTCTGGTCTGCGAGCACGTAGAATTTTGTCCAATGACCCCAAGCTACCCATCCTTATCGCTCGCGCGTAATTATGTTGCTGTCGCGACTGTGCGACGAGCGCCCGCAGTGAGTGTGCGAGCGCGACAGCAGCATAATTACGCGCGAGCGATAAGGATGGGTAGCTTGGGCTCACAGACCGAGCTTTACTAACGCTCGTCGTGACGCGCTCTCTGCCGTCACGGTTTATACTGAGCAGATGCCATTTTGGTGCATGTACCTTACTGTTTGGTTTTATTATATCTATTTGTTATTTTATTTTGTACTTGCATCGAAATCATCGAATAAATACTTCTCTTTTTTCTTTCTTTCTTTCTTTCTATAGCTTCGTACCTGAGCTGTCGGGTGAGCTTGCGCAGCTCGTCGGCGGCGTGGTGGTCGCGCGCGCGCGCCGCGCCCAGCTCGGCCGCGAGTTGCTCGTGACGTCAGCCGTTCCTCCAGTGTGAGCGGGGGCACTATAGCTACCTTATTTCATCAGCGCGATGGGTTCTCCTTCAGTTACAAGTAGACGGTCGTCTCGCTGCTGGATCCTTTTATACTACGAGCCAGAGCTACCTGAGCTACCTGGCGAGTTCGTACCTGAGCTGGCGGGTGAGCTTCCTTACTTCGTCGTCGGCGCGATAGGTCTCCATTCAGTCACAGGCGGATGGTTGTCTTGCTTCAGGATCTAAAGACTACTATAGAATACTGGAGACTGGATACCTTCACACTGCAAGCTATAACTTCGTACCTGAGCTGGCGGGTGAGCTTGCGCAGCTCGTCGGCGGCGTGGTGGTCGCGCGCGCGCGCCGCGCCCAGCTCGGCCGCCAGCTGCTCGTGCGCGTCGCGCAGGCGCGCCAGCTGCCCCTCCAGGCGCGCGCGCGCTGTAGCTACCTAAGCTTCCTAAGTTTGTGGGTGCAATAGGTTCCCCTTCAGTCACAAGCTGACGGTCGCCTTGCTGCTGGAGCTATAGCTACTTGAGCTACCTGGTGAGTACGTACCTGAGCTGCCGGGTGAGCTTCCTTAGTTCATCAGCGCGATGGGTCCTCCTTCAGTTACAAGCTGACGGTCGTCTTGCTGCTGGATCCTAAGTTTACGGGCACGAGACTGGCCATGGCGGGGCGACGCGACGCCTGAGCGGCTGCGATGCATGCAACAACATGGATAGTATATGGTGACGCGCACAAAACACGCGGGGTTGTCGCAATAATACTCCTCATCGCCGACGCGTCGTCCCGCCATCGCTCGGCCGTCGCCAGTTTCGTGCCCGCAGACTAAGACTACTACAGAATACTGGAGACTGGATCCCTTCACACTAAAAGCTATAGTTACGTGCCTATCTGAGCTGCCTGGTTAGCTTCCTTATTTCGTTGGTAGGTCCCCTTTTAGTCACCGGAGCTACCTGGTGAGTTCGTACCTGAGCTGGCGGGTGAGCTTGCGCAGCTCGTCGGCGGCGTGGTGGTCGCGCGCGCGCGCCGCGCCCAGCTCGGCCGCGAGTTGCTCGTGCGCGTCGCGCAGGCGCGCCAGCTGCCCCTCCAGGCGCGCGCGCGCTGTCGCTTCTAGCTCTAGGCTTGATTCCAGCTCCTGGGGACAAGGAGTTTCGTTGCAGGGATGGTTGACATAATTTATTTATTTAATAGGACAACCAAGACACATGCTAAAACAATCTTTACAACGTTTTTTGAACTTAATCTAAGTGCTGCTATAGGTTGCCTTTATTAAAATTTACTTTATTAAAAAAAAACTTGAAAAAAATACTAATACACTTGTAAGTATTCAGTTTCTTGAGTGTTTCTCATTACATACAGGACGATAAAATGGTGGTCTGCGACTAGCCGTGCAACTATTCCGAAAGTTGAGTCATGTGGTAAGCCGTTCAAAATTTTCGCGGCACTCCTTGCCCTGACAGGCCTCCGATACTCTCTCGCTCCTATAGTTCAAACAACAGAGGATGTCTCCACTCACTCACTATATTCCTTATCTCCTGCCAGTGAATGAGTCACTCCTTGACCTGACAGGCCTCCAACGCGCCCTCGCTCCTACAACCCACAAAAGCTGTCTCCTGCCATTCACACTGACCTTGTTTCTCATCTCCAGCCGGCGCTCGGCCTCGTGCTGTCCCAGCGTGTGGCCCGCCTCGGCGGCGGTGAGGCGCGCCGTCAGCTCGTTGAGGCGTTCCTTGGCCTGACGGGCCTCCTCTGACGCGGCCTCAGCACGCGCGCTGGCCTCACGGGCCTCCGCTTGGGCAGCGCATAAAGCGTTCGCGCTTGACCGGTATTTCTTGAGCAGCTGCAAAAGAAAATAAAGTAAATTAAATTCGACATTAGTTCTTAGACCAAAAAGTCGTCTATACGCTTTCACATTAGGGCGTCAGAAGTGCGACAGCAGTGCGGCAGCGGCGTTTTTATAATGTGAAGGCAGACATGAAATATCGGCAGCGCGTCTGTCGCGCGTTTATTGCGCTGCTAAAGTCGCTTAAACGTAAAAGCGCTCAGAGTCACTACTTTGTCGTTTGATTATTGTTCAAAATGTTGCTGAATCCAAATGAAATGAGAAATGGAACAGCAAAAGAAGAAGAGAACAGAAATAAAAAGACAAAGAATGAAAAATAAATAAATAAATAATAAATAAATAAATCTTTGGACAATTTCACACAGCGCACGGTGGATCGAAATGGCATTAAAGTGGACATAGGGAATTTTTCCGGAAAATCGAATTTTAAAAATTGCCAATCGATAGTCANTTTAAAATAAAGTTTGTTTACACTATGACAACAATAAACTGACATGCAAGGTGACATGTCAATGAAGTTTTCAGTTACTGTTGCCATTAAAAGAAATTAGTACCATTAATTTTCCGCAACATGGCGAGGGTTTTTATGTTCCTGGTCAGGCTATAAATTAAATTGGACATTAGTTCTTAGACCAAAAAGTCGTCTATACGCTTTCACATTAGGGCGTCAGAAGTGCGACAGCAGTGCGGCAGCGGCGTTTTTATAATGTGAAGGCAGACATGAAATATCGGCAGCGCGTCTGTCGCGCGTTTATCGCGCTGCTAAAGTCGCTTAAACGTAAAAGCGCTCAGAGTCACTACTTTGTCGTTTGATTATTGTTCAAAATGTTGCTGAATCCAAATGAAATGAGAAATGGAACAGCAAAAGAAGAAATACAAAAATAAAAAGACAAAGAAAGAAAAATATAAAGGAGAACAAAAATAAAATATTCAAACACTGACCTCCGCAGCCTCTTCCTCTGCGTCATCCAACTGTGCCCTGGCCGCGGCCGCGTCCCGTGTAGCGGTGAGCGCTCGTTCTGCCGCGTCGTTCTTCGCTCGCGTCGCTTCCTCGAGCGCTGCGGTCGCTTCCGACGCTTCTGCTTCGGCTGTCTGCTTCGCCTTTGTCGCCGCACGCACCGCTAGCTCTAGGTCTTCCACCTGGAGATTTTTGAATTGGTAAATGTTTATTCGAGAAAAGGATGGTACGGCCGTGCCGCTTTTTTGCTCGACTTGGTGGGGGCACTGCCGTGCCCCCAGATTTAAAAAAATATTTGTTGCCCTCGAACCATTAAACATAGGTACAGGAGGTTGAGTCTAAGTTGAGTCGAGTTGATTTGGAATGATTTATTATTTAATATGGTTCTGCCGGGCTAGGATGCGCGCCGTGATAAAAACTTATCGATGATTTTAGACGACAAATATGTAGGTATGGGCTTATCGTGTAAAATCTATAAAATGGCGCGATAAAAGCTTATCGCGGCGCGCATCCTAGTCCTAATGGTCACAAATGAGACACATGATTACGTTTCAGCTACGTATTAAGTTAGTTCGCAATAAAGAATTTGAATTTTGCATAAAGACTTGTATGTGCTATACCCGGTTATGGTTAGTACATAAAGATTCTGATTGTTTGATAACAATAGCATTAGCTTGGTGTAGTTATCAATCACTTTTTTTATAATAATGTGTATTGTTTTTGTACTCACTTGGTTCTTCAACTGTCTAATCTGCGCCTTGGCACCTCCTTCTTTTTCTTTCTGTTCTAGCATTGTCTGCGCGTCACGTAGTAGTGCGCGGTATCTCTTCAGGTCCCTGTAGACGTAAGTAGAAGAATTTATTAACAAATCGTCAACAGCTTCAGTTCGCTCGCGGAGTAACTCATTTATTTTTGCAAATAGGCTTTTAATTGTCACTTTTACACATCCCAGTATTAATCCTACCACTGCTTCGGGATAATAAATGGTNAAAAGGCTTATTACCTCTGAATTGTCAAAAAATGACAGCTGTCAGAATTCCGTCGAATTAAAAATCGGACTTTAAGTACATGATTACTTTTCAGCTACGTAGAGATCGATTCATCCACAAAGACGCGCGCCCCCGTTCTTCCGCTAATGTTTGCGTGTTAATCGATACACGCTAAATTATTCACGAGTGCACACACACACTTCAATAATGTCGCTCGGAATACTCGGATCAAACTCCCCGCACTCCGCGCTTCTCTTGACTAAAAATTGGTGGGGCGCGTCTTCGTGGATAAAACGATGATAATAAGCTACTTAATCGCTCGCAATAAAGAATTTTGTAAAGGCTAAACAACCCGATTATACTTATTTAGTACATAACGAATCTGATTGTTAGATAACGATAGCATTACATTAGCTTGGTGTAATTATTACCCACTTTTTCATGATAATACGTATTGTTTTTGTACTCACTTGGTTCTTCAACTGTCTAATCTGCGCCTTGGCACCTCCTTCTTTTTCTTTCTGTTCTAGCATTGTCTGCGCATCACGTAGTAGTGCGCGGTATCTCTTCAGGTCCCTGTAGACGTAAGTAGAAGAATTTATTAACAAATCGCCATCCGCTTCAGTTTGCTCATAAAAATCATTTATTTTTGCAAATAGGCTTTTAATTGTCACTTTTACACGTCCCAGTATTAATCCTACCACTGCTTCGGGATAATAAATGGTCCAGTGCTGAGAAAAAGCAGCGCAAGAAACTCAGTTACTATTGCCAGTAATAGACTACACCCCAAATGCTCATTTTCTAGTTGAATTCCCAGCACTATGCCAAAGCCATAAACAGAAGACTACTGTACCATCCATCACGGACTTCTACAAGATTATTTTTTATATTTGACCAAACAAAAAAGGTAGATTCTACAGGACCAATATCGTATTTACAAAAATCATTTTTTGCTCCCCATAAGTACTAAAATGACCGGTTGCTGATGACAATTTGTATGGTAGGACCCAGCTTATTTTTGAGCACTATAACTGACCTCTTAAGCCGCTGCACCAGCGCGGCTTGTTCATGACTGTCGGCGCGAGCTGCTTCTTCTAGAGCCGCAAGTCTTCGCTCCAGCTCGTGGCGCTCGCGGAGTAGTAAGCTTCGCTCCGAATGCTCGCTTTCTAGTTGGCTTTCCAGCACTGGAACAATATTATACGCACATTAATATCGCGGTTAAGAGTATTATAAATGTAGCCAGTTTACTGTTGCTCCAACTACATCTCCAGGCGACGCTTGGAACTTTCCAGAAGGACAAAAAGGGACAAAAATCTGATCGTAACTGACTCTTGAGCTTCTTGGCGGCGTTGGCGCCGGTCTCTTTCATCGCACCTTGCGCTGCTGTAGTTCTAGAATTGTCTCCAGGCGAAGCTTGGAACTTTCGAAAAGGACAGATGGAACTTTCCAGAAGAAAAGATAGGGACAAAGGTCTGATCCTAGTCACTCTTGATCGTCTTCTCGAGCCTCCTTGCGCTTCTGCTCTAGTAGCATCTCCAGGTGACGTTTGGAACATTCCAGAAGGACAGAAAAAGACAAAGGCCAGATCGTGACCCACATTTAAGCTTTTTGGTGGCTCCCCGCTTTCATGGGCGCCTCTTTTGCTGCTACTCTAGAAGTATCTCCAAGCGACGCTTAGAACCTTCCAGAAGAAAAGAAAGGGACAAAAATCTGATCGTAACTCACTCTTGAGCTTCTTGGCGGCGTTGGCGCGCGTCTCTTCCATTTCGTCGTCGCGCGCCGCTGCCTCCAGACGCGCCTCCTTGCGCTGCTGTTCTAACAGCATCTCCAGGCGAAGCTTGGAGCTTTCCAGCAGCTGTAACAACAAACAGAATGTTAAGCATCGCCCAATGTAGTAGAATGATACATTTTGTCCAATATTTTAACAGAAAATCAAACTTTTTAAACGGTATAGGATCACGAACGCTGTCTCGATGTAGAACTGATGGCTACCTATTGATGCAGAAGAGTTCTCGAGTGCTAATTGTTTACTGGAGAACTTGTATAGGCAGGCTCTTACTCAGTGGATCTGGAACTGGATGGATGGATAGTTAGGAAACGTGATCTTCTCCAGACTATCCATTAGGCCTGGATGGGGCCAGAGTGCGGATAGCGTTTGTCCACTGCTGGACAAAAGCCTTCCTGTGTCCAGGTCTGAGGTCGGTGCGCGCGCGCCGCAGCGCAGCCACCTCGTCCCCGCCGCGCTCCTGCTGTGCTGTGCGCTGGCCGAGCGGTGCTGTGCGCAGGGACCGACCTGTATCTGGCCGGCGAGGTCGTCCAGCTCCTCCTCCTGGTCGCGCACGCGGCGCTCGAGGTCGGTGCGCGCGCGCCGCGCTCCTGTGCTGTGCGCTGGCCGAGCGGTGCTGTGCGCAGGGACCGACCTGTATCTGGCCGGCGAGGTCGTCCAGCTCCTCCTCCTGGTCGCGCACGCGGCGCTCGAGGTCGGTGCGCGCGCGCCGCGCTCCTGTGCTGTGCGCTGGCCGAGCGGTGCTGTGCGCAGGGACCGACCTGTATCTGGCCGGCGAGGTCGTCCAGCTCCTCCTCCTGGTCGCGCACGCGGCGCTCGAGGTCGGTGCGCGCGCGCCGCAGCGCAGCCACCTCGTCCCCGCCGCCGCCGCGCTCCTCTAGTTCACGAGCAGCCGCCGCCAGCCGCTCTTCCTTCAGCTCGAGTTCGAGCCGAGCTTCCTGTGATACAACAGATAACTTGCTTAGTATCAGAAATAAGCCGAGCTTCCTGCGATAACAGACAATTTGCTTAGTATCAGAAATAACAAGTAAAACAAATAAATATCTTTCGACAATTTCACACAGCGCTATCTAGCCCCAAAGTAAGCAATTAATATGCTTGTGTTATGGGTGCTAGCTTAACGGATATACTACATATATACTTTTTAAATACATACATATTATACATAGTAACACCCAGACCCGTCACAGAAATTAAAATTCATCATTTCAATTTCTACCCGGCCGGGAATCGAACCCGGGACCTCTCGGCATAGTAGTCCGTTTTAGAACCACTACACCAAACGGCCGACAAACAAGTAATCACAAAGTAATGATGATGCGTTGAAGTTCCGCGTGACGTCACAAAGTGCTATAGTTTTAAGCACTCCTTGACGTCACGGGATGAGATGATAACAGCAGACTTCGGATATCAGACGGCGGATTGGTTGACGCCACTACAGAATAGCTCAAAACCAAATTCAAAAACGTTTCATGACGAAACAGCTGTCACAGGGTGGATTGGAGTGGAAACCGCGTCAGAAAATACAGAGTATGATGAGCCCCTTTGCCTGTCTACAAAATAAAATACCGATGATGGTGCTTGTGTTATGTATAGCACTAGGGGCCCTGGGCACATAAGGATCAAAGGAAGCCCCTTTCACCTGGAGATAGACCTTTTATGACAACCTCGATCTCGGAGCCCTGGGCATGTGCCCAGAGTGCCCAGTGGGAAAGAGGGGCCTGCATGTATAGTTCTTTTTCTAGCAGTGGACGTGGATGTGGAAGGATGATGGTGCCGATCAATAGCCAAAAATAGAGTTTTGATCAATAATAATGGTGATGATGATGATGATCAATGACTTACAGAGAGGCTCTGCTCCAGCGCGTATTTGTCAGCGTGCGCTTGGTCGCGCTCGCGGGACAAACGCTCTTTAGCCGCGCGCTCGCGTTTCAGCTCTTCCTGCGCCCCGTGTAATTCTGCGTCGAATTTGCGCTGCCGCTTCTCGAGGAGGTTGTTTCGGCACGTCTGGAAAGGATATGCTGTTAGTTGCTGCGTAAAGAATCTGAGTTGGAACATCTTACTTTAACTTTGACAAACGTCAAAAATCTGTCAAACTCCATACAAAAAGCACCGGTTATTGTTACGGTTAAAATAAGGTGGTGCAACTCAGCCTAATTCGTATAAAGTCATAATCCTAAAGGCTTTCAAGCCACGAGTCAATATGAATTTTCCGAACAAACTCGCGCCACCTTAAGGTGGGTCTACGCTAGTGGATCCAAGCACGATCTGAGTCAAAAACGTGTAGTGTGGACCGACTACGAGCCTCGAACGAGCGCGCTTCGAGCGCAATACTCATTATTATACTATGGTTCTGTCACAAATTTTGTGGTCTCTGCTCCGCGTATTGTCGGTTTTTTGACAAACACAAATGGATTTGCTTCGCGCAAAGGATTTTCGTAGGCTTCATACAACTTAAAAAGTTATAAAACCCATTTATTTTTGCAATACGCTTTTAAAAAGCGCTTCTACACGTCCCCAGTTAGATAAACTCTACCACAATAAGGTCCACATTACCTGCTCATCGAGAAGAGACCTCAGGTCGGCCATGTCATTTGTAAGCTTCTGTAACTTGCGCTTCCATTGAGCAGCCACGGCCCTCTGTTCCTCCACTTCTTCATACGCATCTTGTACCTACGAATAAACAAAAAAGCTGTTATTTAGGTTCTGAGTGAGACAAAACAAACCAGCGGTAGGCATAGAGAGAAGGATGATATTTTATAATGTTTCTTTCCGCCAAAATTAACGCGCCGTAAGATACAATCCCCGCAGACTTTTTATCAGCCGATAGTTGTACTTTTGAGGAATTGGTCGATTCCAAATCGATGAAATGTGCGTACTTTCATACTTGTTCAAATTGATTTTATCAGCCCGACCAAACTATCTAAGTATCGATAAAAAGTTTGCAATCTGCGAAAGATTGGTTAGATTCTGCAAATGCATTACTTTACGAGATTTTTTAAACTTTCCGAAAGTTTATATTACGAGATATCTATTAAAACTGTCGCAGTTATAATTATTAAAACAGTTTTGAAACCTAATATGATGAGATGAGAGGTTACTGCACTTTTACATGGGACAATAGTTGACTATAAATTAATAGAATTTATAGTAGACGCTTGGCGGGGAGCCAGCTCGAAGCGATTACATTCTGACTGCTGTTGTGACATTACAGTTTGTTTTGTTAACTCGCTATCCACTGGTTTTTAGAGATTACACGGAATAATTAGTGTTAGGTTACTGCGGCCAAAATATAAAGAGAGAAAACAGATGGAAAATGCGAAATTGTAAGAAAATTGTTTTTATAAGTTGGAAACTACTATTCGCGTTGTCTCTGGGATCCAATATGTACCAAACCAAATACTTATTTTTTGTCTTACTAGCTGACCCGGCGAACTTCGTACCGCCTTAGCGTAGAGATTTTCTTAATATTTTTTTCCGTAAGAACCATCCTTGGACTTCCACAAACATTTAAAAAAAAGAATTATCGAAATCGGTTCAGCCGTTCACACGTGATGCCGTGACAACGCGAAACGGGTTTCATTTTTATATATATAGATATTCGCAAACTTTTTTCCCTTATTACCTACTTACAAAAGGTTAAACTCTAGTTAAAATTGACATTTAGCATGGAAATGACGTTTTAAAGCAGTGTTCACTGTTCATCCCAGGTTTAACTTTTTGAAATAAGACTAATAAAAGTTACCTATAACCAATATTAAGAAGTTTAAAATCCATGAGGTGTACATACCTCAAGAGACACTGTACCTTCCTCGTTATCCATAACTATCAAAACTTTTAAAAACAAAAATTACATCACCAAAATATGCAGTAAATAAAACTAAAATTAAATAAAAATAAAAGAATTTAACGTCCGCATGCCCCGATAAGAGCTATAAAATAGTTATATCTAAGATCATATCAGATTTGTCGTGCTATCAGCATCCGAGCTCGTCAAGGATGATCTGCGATAGGTCTCTTACATTACGTACTTATAGATAACGCACTTGGTGGCGTAACCTACATAGCAGTGGTCGATGGTATAGGAATATTTGTATGCGCCCTTTATTTAATTTTGATTAGACTGATTTTTGTTCGTTAAATGGATTGCAGTTAGTTTGCAGACCTGACTAGACGAAATACTTAACTACTTAAAACTTAGCATGAAATCTGGATATTTATCCAGTTATTAGTGCCCTTTTTCTGTGATGCGGATTTCCGCACGCATGCGGCTGCCCGCATTACATTGTTTCATACATGTTTTTCCTATTACGCGGGCTACACGCGCGCGGAACGCGGATTGTCTGCACATAATACAAAATCTTTGTCCTGCGTGCAACCCGCAGTGTGATTTTACTCGCACGCGTACCTACCAGTATCAGATCCGCACGCGTGCCGAAATCTAAATCACAGGAAAAGGCAGTAATGCCCGTTTTCTCCATCAATCCCTAATTTTAAATGACCCCTATGAAAACAAAATTCGACTGTTATGTTACACTTAAAAATAAGGGATTGATGGTGAAAACGGGCATAAGTCTAATATCCTACTAATCTATACAGGGTGGAAACGATAAGTGATCTCATTCGATTATTTCTAAACTATACAAGATATTGAAAAACTGGTTACAGATCCTGAAAGTGCTTCACGAGCTCTTTCAAACGGTACCAATAATAGGTTACAGAATAAACTGGAACTATCCGAAAATTCAATGTTTCCAGCTTCCATACTAAATGTATGCCAACCACACAATATTAGAAGTGTTATTTATTTTTTGTTAAATAATAAACTTAAAAAGTCAGTTAAATAAACTCGTAACTTGCATCTTATTTAAAATTATTTGTGGATAAGATTAGTTTTAGGCTTTACTTGCTATAATATTATCAAGAGATGAGTGCCATGACTGTGATAGTACTAAATGTATGGAAGATGGAAACACTGAATTTTTGGATAGATCCAATTTATTCTGTAAGCTATTATTGATACCGTTGGATAGAGCTCGTGAAGTTTCGACAATTTCACACAGCGCTATCTAGCCCCAAAGTAAGCAATTAATATGCTTGTGTTATGGGTGCTAGCTTAACGGATATACTACATGTATACTTTTTAAATACATACATATTATACATAGTAACACCCAGACCTGTCACAGAAATTAAAATTCATCATTTCAATTTCTACCCCGGGACCTCTCGGCATAGTAGTCCGTTTTAGAACCACTACACCAAACGGCCGACAAACAAGTAATCACAAAGTAATGATGATGCGTTGAAGTTCCGCGTGACGTCACAAAGTGCTATAGTTTTTAGCACTGCTTGACGTCATGGGATGAGATGATAGCAGCAGACTTCGGATATCAGACGGCAGATTGGTTGACGCCACTACAGGATAGCTCAAAACCAAATTCAAAAACGTTTCATGACGAAACAGCTGTCACAGGGTGGATTGGAGTGGAAACCGCGTCAGAAAATATAGAGTATGATGAGCCCCTTTGCCTGTCTACAAAATAAAATACCGATGATGGTGCTTGTGTTATGTATAGCACTAGGGGCCCTGGGCACATAAGGATCAAAGGAAGCCCCTTTCACCTGGAGATAGACCTTTTATGACAACCTCGATCTCGGAGCCCTGGGCATGTGCCCAGAGTGCCCAGTGGGAAAGAGGGGCCTGCATGTATATTTCTTTTTCTAGCAGTGGACGTGGATGTGGAAGGATGATGATGACGATCAATGGCCAGAAGTAGAGTTTTTATCATAATAATGGCGATGATAATGATGATCAACTTACAGAGAGGCTCTGCTCCAGCGCGTATTTGTCAGCGTGCGCTTGGTCGCGCTCGCGGGACAAACGCTCCTTGGCCGCGCGCTCGCGTTTCAGCTCTTCCTGCGCGCCGTGCAATTCTGCGTCGAATTTGCGCTGCCGCTTCTCGAGGAGGTTGTTTCGGCACGTCTGGAAAGGATATGCTGTTAGTTAAGCTGCGTAAAGAATAAGGCTGAGTTGAAACATCTTACTTTAACTTTGACAAACGTCAAAAATCTGTCAAACTCGATACAAAAAGCACCGGTTATTGTTACGGTTAAAATAAAGTGGTGCAACACAGCCTAATTCATGTAAAGTCATAATCCTAAGGCTTTCAAGCCACGAGTGAACAAGCATCTTCTGGGCAAGCTGGCTTCACCTTAGGGTGGGTTTACGCTAGACGAGTCCAATTTGTGTAGTGTGGAATCCTCGAACGAGCGTTTGGCGTAGGTACTGTCGGTTTATTGACGAACACAAAGGGATTTCCATTGTGCAAAGGAAAGTGATTGTTGTAGGCTTAATCATACCAGTTAAAAGTTATAAAACCCATTTATTTTTGGAAAACGCTTTTAAAAAGTCTTTCACACGTCCCCAGCTAGGTAAACCCAACTGCTTCGGAACAAATATACCTACACTTTGGAATAAGGTCCACATTACCTGCTCATCGAGGAGAGACCTCAGGTCGGCCATGTCGTTGGTAAGCTTCTGTAACTTGCGCTTCCATTGGGCAGCCACGGCCCTCTGTTCCTCCACCTCCTCGTACGCATCTTGTACCTGCGAATAAACAAAAAAGCTGTTATTTAATGAGTGAATCAAAACAAACCAGCAGTAGACATCACAGATATGGATTAGAGTAGATACAGCAAGTTGATCGTCAAAGCGTGCCATTCCGATATGTCCAAATGGACATACATGGTCGAGTGATGTTCATGTAATCCGATTACAACAATCGGTTACGATGATTTTACGAGGACAGTAGTACGAACACGGTAGAAAGAAGAAATGATTTACGGATTGAGAATTGTAATTAACAGCACAAGTAACAAATAATTAATTTGAATAAAGTAGCAGTAGAAGAAGTATAAAGTAGCATTGTTTTTAATACATATCCTGCGATGTACTCTTAAGAGTTAAAACCATGGTCCCTGTATGTGGTGCACTCATACCGATCCCAAGGAACCGTACTTACTCATAACTTATGACACACACTGATCCGTGTATTCATACACCAGACAAGTTTTTGTATTGAAACGCTGGTAGGGTGAAAAAAATAATGAGATTTGACGATTTGTAAGAATTAATTTACCTATTTAAAGAGGAAAATAAAGATGTTTTTGGTTTTGTATCGGGCCCCCGGGAAACCCCTAGTGCCAGACTTTTTCAAATAGACAGAGTAGAGGCATCTGCCTAAGGAAGTTCTATAATTTTGCCATTACCTTTTTTATAAATGACGGCGGAAGAACAATTTTATTCAAACCTTTTTAATTGTTTTGGTTATTTTATAGGGCTCATCTAAAGCACAATACTTATTTTTTGTACTTATAATATAATTATGAAGAAAAATCTTTTGAAATCTGAATTTTGTCGTTTAGAAATAACTTCAAAACTAGGTACCTGACTTAGCTTTATGAAACAAAACGTATTGGCAAAACTACGCATTTTTACATTTTATCAAAAATAAAAAGCTTGAGTTAATAGTCTTTATTTTATGTAACTAGGTCAGGTACTTACTAGGATATTTAAAAGTATGGAATTAAGTATGAATTACTAGTAGTACTATTTAACATAATGGAATAACGATCATTACTTTCATAAACATTAGGCACAACAAAAATATTATTTGCAAATTAATGATATCGAATAACGTTTACCGCTACAAAATTATTTTAATCCACAGTCAGACTAGCTATAAATTTAACAAAATATCAGTATTATCGGAATTAATAAATTTTCGAATCGAGTCGCACGATATCTTTCGATGACTATGCGAATGCAGTACGATGATACGATTACTTTTACGTTGCGGCAATCACTAAAATTCGCTAAAATGACACTAATGACGTTTAAAAAGTGGCACGCTCGGCTTCATACAATTTTTGACACATGCTGCATCTATCCTTATCTGTGGTAGACATAGACAGAAGGATGATATTTTATAATGTTTCATTCCGCCAAAATTAACGCGCCGTAAGATACAATCCCCGCAGACTTTTTATCAGCCGATAATTTGTATTTCAGACAGTTGGTCGATTCCAAATCGATGAAATGTGCATACTTTCATACTTTTTCAAATTGATTTTATCAGCCCAACTAAACTATCTAAGTATCGATAAAAAGTTTACAGTCTGAGAAAGATTGGTTAGATTCTGAAAATGCATTACTCGACGAGATTTTTTAAACTTTTCGAAAGTTTATATTACGAGATATCTATTAATACTCGCAGTTATAATTATTAAAACAGTTTTGAAACCCAATATGATGAGATGAGAGGTTACTGCACTTTTACATGGGACAATCGTTGACTATAAATTAATAGAATTTATAGTAGACGCTTGGCGGGGAGCCAGCTCGAAGCGATTACATTCTGACTGCTGTTGTGACATTACAGTTTGTTTTGTTAACTCGCTATCTGCTTGGTTTTTAGAGATTACACGGAATAATTAGTGTTAGGTTACTGCGGCCAAAATATAAAGACAGAAAAAACAGATGGAAAATGTGAAATTGTCGGAAAATTGTTGTTATAAGTTGGAAATTACTATTCGCGTTGTCTCTGGGATCCAATATGTAGCAAATACTTATTGTTTTTCTTATATTCGCAAACTTTTTCCCTTATTACAAAAAGTTAAACTAGTTAAAATTGTCATTTAGTATGGAAATGACGTTTTAAACCAATGTTCACTGTTCATCCCGGGTTTCACTTTTTTGTAATACTTTTTTTTTGTAAGGCTCATAAAAGTACTTACAATAACCGATATTAAAAGAAGTTTAGCATCCACTTGGTGTACATACCTCAAGAGATAATGTATCTTCCTCGTTATCCATAACTATTAAAACTACAATACAAAAATTACATCACCAAAATACGCAGTAAATAAAAATAAAATTAAATAAAAATAAAAGAATTTAACGTCCGCATGCCCCGATAAGAACTATAAAATAGTTATATCTAAGATGATATCAGATTTGTCGTGCTATCAGCATCCGAGCTCGTCAAGGATGATCTGCGATAGGTCTCTTACATTACGTACTTATAGATAACGCACTTGGTGGCGTAACCTACATAGCAGTGGTCGATGGTATAGGAGTATTCGTACGCGCCCTTTATTTAATTTTGATTAGATTGATTTTTTCCCATATTCATTCCTTGTTCAAATTAGGTAATTCAGTTTTAGATTAAATATCCACAATTTTCGATGCGTTTACATATTAATATTGTTTAAATAGTCTTATGGTGCATCCACACTGGGCGAACGGGCTCGTGCGGCAAACTCGACATCCTGCTCACTCAAGAGCAGGGTGAGCAGGATGACCAGCGTGCCGCGCGAGCCCGTTCGCCCAATGTGGACGCACCATTATACAATATGAAAATGTAAAAAGTACATCGAAAACCGCAGATATTTTGAACAAAAACATTAAAATTTGACAGTTGACGGACGGATTTGGATTAGGATTGAATATAGAAAACCAGCATAAATGGACTGCAGTTAGTTTGCAGACCTGACTAAACGAAATACTTAACTACTTAAAACTTAGCATGAAATCTGGATATTTATCCAGTTATTAGTGCCGTTTTTCTGTGATGCGGATTTCAGCACGCTGCCCGCATTACATTGTTTCATACATGTTTTTCCTATTACGCGGGCTACACGCACGCGGAACGCGGATTGTCTGAACATAATACAAAATATTTGTCCTGCGTGCAACCCGCAGTGTGATTTTACTCGCACGCTTACCTACTAGTATCAGATCCACACGCGTGCCGAAATCTAAATCACAGGAAAAAGGCACTAATGCCTGTTTTCTCCATCAATCCCCAATTTTAAGTGACGCATATGAAAACAAAATTCGAATGTTATGTGTTGCTATGGGATCACATAAAAATTATGGATTGATGGTGAAAACGGGTATAAGTCTAATATCCTACTAATATTATAATAAAATAATAAAGTTTGCTTCATGCTATCGTTAAAACTTTAATCGAACTAACTAAAACTTGGCACAATGCTGTTTGTCTATCTATATTTGAAAGGAATGTTTTCGTAAATATTGTTGGAAAATCTATGGATAAACAAAATATAACTAGAATATTGTATTATTTAAATCCTAATCTGTGCATTTGCCAATTCACAAACAACTACCAAGCTTGTTAATATAAACGATAAATATCTCGTTCTCAGAAATGCAGTTATAATTTCTATAGGATTTATATAAGTAATGATCTTGCCAAGTTTCTGGTTAGGACTTTATATTGAATTACGGATTTATATTAACAACATTACCAAGAAATACCATAAATAATTTTCCTGGACTTGTAAAATCTGTTTCAGAGATTCAATTTCTATATAATAAATATGAATTTTATTGCTTATTTATTGAAACTAATTTCCGTGCGCTGTTATATTAACTTTCTATTAAGTTATTTATATGCAACGTCTTTTGATAAATTAATATGCTTTTACATTATTCTAAATGAAAATACTTTTGTATTCAAATGCTAAGCAAATTATGTGATTACATTTTCGAATATTTCGATTTCGTTATTTCCACATCACCTCTCCTCTCCGCTTTGAAGGAAACTGGACCTAAGTGGTTAGAATCTGTTTCACAGTCACGTCATACCCAGCTTCTGGCCTAGGGGGGACAAGTCCGATTTTTAGGTCAGATCGTTCGACTTAGCTCCTTCAAAGTGATTTCTAAGGGGACAGTTGCCCTCCCTTGCCTCCTGGGTATGCCCATGGGTAAGACAGAGACAGCAAGATATAGAAAGAAAGAAAAAGAAAAACATTTATTTGGTTCCAACTTAAAATATAGCACACAAAATCAGATAACAAAAAAAACAGATAACAGATACAAGTTAGAACCAAAACTGGCCACCGCTCAGCATGTGTCATGCTCTGTGGGTCTAGACAAAGTGCAAATTATAATCGCAAACCGGTCGATAAGTGGTCGAAAAGCCCCTTTTTTGTATGGAGTTTTGACGGATTCGATTTTCGATTCGATCAAAAAGTGCGTTCTGTCTAGGGGGGNGTGCCCCCAGATTTTATTGCTTATTTATTGAAACTAATTTCCGTGCGCTGTTATATTAACTTTCTATTAAGGTAAGTTATTTGACGAAACGTCTTTTGATAAACTAATATGTTTTTACATTATTTTAAGTTAAACATTTTTCTTCCACGCGTAATTAGCAGTAAGTAAGCAATGTTACAACTATTCTAACAAGATTTTGTACGATATACAGGATGGGCTAAAATTGTTTGCCAATAGCCAAATACACGTGAGTGATGGAAAAATGTGCATAATTTTATGAATGTTCAGTTACTCATGCTAAGATAAATATTATATGCTTGCATTACGAGTGGATACACCACAATAGTCCAGCGGCGACGTGGTTTGAACCAGCGCGGCAACGTTGCTTAGATCTTGAGTTAGCCAGTCCGAACCCGACACCGTTCGGCTATTGTCGGCTCAAGCAGTTGCACGGTGGAACCAGACAGAAACAGCAACATATAGCTCACCTTCTTCTCGAGCTGCTTCTTGACGGAGACAAGCTGCTCCAAGTCGTCCTCGTGCTGCGAACTAGCGTTCCTCAGATCTAGAGTCAGCCAGACCGACACCGACACCGTTCGGCTATCGTCGCCTCGAACAACTGTCAACTCTCACGGTAAAAACAGACAGAGACAGCAACATATAGCTCACCTTCTTCTCGAGCTGCTTCTTGACGGAGACCACGACACCGTTCGGTTATTGTCGCCTCGAACAGCTGTCAACTCTCACGGTAGAACCAGACAGAGACCGCAACATATAGCTCACCTTCTTCTCGAGTTGCTTCTTGACGGAGACCAGCTGCTCCAAGTCGTCCTCGTGCTGGCGACGCAACTGCGCGCGCAACAACTGCACCTCTCTGTGGGCGCTCTCGTATCTACAGGAGATAGATACATGTAGATTAACAATAACATTAACACCCGTATTCACAAACATTACTATGAGGTCTTACAGTGCGCGTAGATGCACAGGGGCCCAAAAACCTATTAATACTTGAGTGGCGGAGTGACACACACGCGGACAAATCACAGAGCGCTATTCAACGCTGTGCGTTCGACTTCGCATAGTAACAATATTGTTATGTTCCGGCAGTTACATCTGCCTCTGGTAAATTAGAGAGGAACGTTCTCCTGTAGTGGAGATTAAACGATCGGATGACGATGATGATCATGAAGGTCTGAAATTCACTATGGGTCTACCTGTCTACATAAAACTCCCCAAAGGTTTTTATGTAACTAACTATAGTTCAGTCATAAGTTGGTTGCATCAAAGATTATGGGAGCGCGCGCACGGGTGACTCTCATAGAGATGTAGGTACCTATGGAGGTGACAAAAAAGTTTGTCACTGTCACGTCACTACGTGCGTACACCACCATACATTTCCAGGGACTTGGTATGAGTGACGAAACAGTTATGGCGATTAAAGTCACCCGGCGAGCGAGTCCATAATGGAGCAATATGTTACCTTCGTTTGTACTTCTCCCCGGTGGCGCTAGCGTCGGCCTCGGAGCCCTCGGAGTCAGACGGCTCGGCACCGCCGCTCTCTGCCGAGCGCCAGTGCAGGAGTTCCAGCTCCAACCGCTCGGATGCCTGGAACAAAACAGGGACTCGTTTAGGAATACGGTAGTTGACGTCACCAGCTATAAACGTTTTCCTTTCTTTCAATGGGTTACACCAAGTAATAATAAATATGAAGTTAATCGCCAGTGATGATAGGTGAGCGCAAAACACAACATTTTATTTTTTTACTTTCAATCGATTGCTTTTGAAGTCGCGTCCGCTAACTTCATTTACAAATTATACGAATTTCAAAGCATACAATTACTTATAAATTAATTTTTGCAGTTATTTAGACAATCGAAACATGTGCGTGCATACTACATACGATTAGGTAACATCTAAATTCTGAACTTGAGAATAACACTAGTACCGTGCTCGTACTTACCAGCATTTTATTTCCTTAGACGTCGTTAGAGAGTTTATTTAGGATAGAACTCTTCTGTTCTTTTAAAATAATTAAAGTCACGACCGATCTCTTGAACCCTTTTTTCTTAAATAAATGCATCAGATATTTATATTATTATCTGCGTACACTATGCATTATTGACATAAGAATTATTAACTTGTCTTAAGTTAGTACAGACACCTAATCTGTCCTATCATTAGCAGTACCTATAGTTATTAAGTAAATTTGCTGTTAGAATAGAGATAAAAAGCGGTCAGTTGCTATGTTATCACTTAACCCACTGTTGTGGTGACTACTTAATAAATTCTGTGCTGGTAGCTACACTTTGTACCTGCTGCAGCCTCTGATTGTTGGTGGTGAGGTCCCTATTGTCCCTTTCTACGCGGAGTCAGGATTCAGGACTATTATTATACTAGGCTGATCTTCTTCTTGTCGTGTCGACAACAAACCTAACAGTGTCCGCCCAAAACTCCGCTACAAGAGGGGCGATGTCAGCAGCATTCATTAAATCTTCCTGCGTGCAGTTGGTTGGGCACACAGGGCACGACATCATGTGCTTCATCGACTGTGGAACACAACCACATTGGGCTGATGGGTAGACTCTAAGGTAAGTACCTGCTGCAGCCTCTGGTTGTTGGTGATGAGGTCCCGGTTGTTCCTCTCGACGCGCAGCCTCTCGGCCGCCTCTGCGTCGGCGCGCTCCGTCGCAAGCGCAGCTACCGCTCGCCCCCCACCTCAGGACTATTATACTGTGTTGATGGGTAGACTCTAAGGTTCTACTCTAGGACTCTAAGTACCTGCTGCAGCCTCTGGTTGTTAGTAATGAGGTCCCGGTTGTCTCTCTCGACGCGCAGTCTCTCGGCCGCCTCTGCGTCGGCGCGCTCTGTCGTGAGCGCAGCCGCCGTTGGCCTTCCACCTCAGGACTATCAGTATACTGTCCTGATGGGTAGACTCTAAGGTTCTACTCTAGGACTCTTAAGTACCTGCTGCAGCCTCTGGTTGTTAGTAATGAGGTCCCGGTTGTCTCTCTCGACGCGCAGTCTCTCGGCCGCCTCTGCGTCGGCGCGCTCCGTCGCAAGCGCAGCCACCGCTGGCCTTCCACCTCAGGACTATCAGTATACTGTCCTGATGGGTAGACTCTAAGGTTCTACTCTAGGACTCTAAGTACCTGCTGCAGCCTCTGGTTGTTAGTAATGAGGTCCCGGTTGTCTCTCTCGACGCGCAGTCTCTCGGCCGCCTCTGCGTCGGTGCGCTCCGTCGCAAGCGCAGCCACCGCTGGCCTTCCACCTCAGGACTATCAGTATACTGTCCTGATGGGTAGACTCTAAGGTTCTACTCTAGGACTCTAAGTACCTGCTGCAGCCTCTGGTTGTTGGTGATGAGGTCCCGGTTGTCTCTCTCGACGCGCAGTCTCTCGGCCGCCTCTGCGTCGGCGCGCTCCGTCGCAAGTGCAGCCGCCGTTGGCCTTCCACCTCAGGACTATCAGTAGGTATACTGTGTTGATGGGTAGACTCTAAGGTGAGTACCTGCTGCAGCCTCTGGTTGTTAGTAATGAGGTCCCGGTTGTCTCTCTCGACGCGCAGTCTCTCGGCCGCCTCTGCGTCGGCGCGCTCCGTCGCAAGCGCAGCCACCGCTGACCTTCCACCTCAGGACTATCAGTATACTGTGCTGATGGGTAGACTCGAAGGTTCTACTCTAGGACTCTAAGTACCTGCTGCAGCCTCTGGTTGTTGGTGATGAGGTCCCGGTTGTCCCTCTTGACGCGCAGTCTCCATCGCAAGCGCAGTCAGCGCTCGCTCCTCAGTCAAGTCGTCTCCCACTTCAGGACTAACTTGTATTGTAACTTGTAGGGTAGACTCTATGGTAAGTACCTGCTGCAGCCTCTGGTTGTTGGTGATGAGGTCCCGGTTGTCCCTCTCGACGCGCAGTCTCTCGGCCGCTTCTGCGTCGGCGCGCTCGGTCGCAAGCGCAGCCGCCGCTCGCTCCTCAGCCAACTCACCCCCCACCTCAGAGAGCTGTAAAGAAATAAAATTGTTTTAGCAAATTTTTATTAAACTAATAACTGCGATGTAAAATAAATGTTTTTTAGGTTTCATCATCATGCTAGAGTCATAACTGGCAAGATTTATAGTATCACGCACAACATGGAAAAATACCAAGAAATGTTTTTGAAAAAGTGCAAAAATAATAATTATAATTTTGGAAACTGGAATTTCTCTGAAATCGTAAACATGATATAGAAGAGTTTAAAGTTTCTCTCAATATCATGTCATCAACGTAAAAGAAATACGATTTTAATTTGTGTTTATTATAGCTTTACTGGCCTGGTAAACCACATAATTTGCGTGATAATTTTGTGTTTACAAGTCAAATTTAATTCATAATAATTCACTATAACATCAATAAACCTGTAATTTTATTCAATATGCATCTCTCAGCTGCCAATCATGGATCTTTACGAGACCATAACGGTAAACAATGCGGTGGTTTTATTGCTTAAAAATCACTTACTCCTCCATAAAGTAGCGAGCGTCAGTCATTCGGCGGGACAGTAATTATGGTAATTGAAGCGTTATTTATCAACGACGCCCATGAATGAAACATTAACGAGCACGCAATATTTCAGACAACAGGTTAAAATTGGAACGCATTGACGTCCGTAGTAGGTGGCCCGTCCGGTGCACACCACGGTTTGACGGAATCGCAACGAGAAACCTTACTGCTTGCCAAACGCGCACCGAATCACAGTTAAAAGTATACAGAAATAAGAACTTCCTCGAAGTGACTGACAGTGACAAAAAATGGGCTGATGATGGACAGCAAGAATCTAACGGATTTGTAAACTAACAACAATGAAAAAACTTTTGGCAAGAGACTCAAGTGCGCGCGCGTTGCACGATGTATATCGCAAGCGCCACCGTTAGCGCGTAAAACCATCTCAAACAGCCGGCTATTATTTATTAGCACACATTAGCCGTGTCTTCAAGATCGCGTAACTATTTCGTATGTTTTTACGCCTGGAAATAAACATGATTGTGCAATGAATCACGAACCTCGTCCATTTCAGAGACCGTAGTGCGGTCCTCCGATATTCCCCTGGAGGATCGGCATATGCTGCTGGCCCTGCTTCCACTTCTACTGAACAAAGTTAACCCTTTAATCATGATGTTTGTCGCCGACTTGGATCGGCCGACCTTCCTCTTCCTTCCGTCGTAATACATATCCAAGTCTGGTTCATCTTTGTGACCAAGTCTTCGCCATTCATCCATGACATGATCAGTTCTCTTCAAAAAGTTGTCAATCTTCGAGCTCAAGTAGTTAGATGAAGTTCCTTGTTCTAAATGCGCTGCTACTGGCTTAAACCTTTGTCTGACTGGTTGCCTGTTGCAGCCAAGAACGAAGCTCAAGTTTGCGTCAAATACAACTGGCGCCTGTTCTTTGGATCTTAGTTCTTTAAGATCTACACTTTCAGAGAAATCGCAGGATTGAGGGTACATTCTGCGTGGTGTTGGTGTCCTGTTGTAAAGAGTCGAATTCATACTCGAAGAACGCGAGAGTGGCACGAATGTTCCATTGCTGCTGCAAGTCGAATATTGACTAGCAGAACTTCTGACGCTGCTGTATGACAATGGACTTGGAGATCGTGAAGTCAACACGTTACTTGGTACATGTCGCCTGGCTAATTCTGCTATTGAACCAGTTTCTACTGAAGCTGAAGATATGCTCCTTCTGTAAGAAGGACTCGGAGACCGATTCACAATAGATTTTTCTAGAGGACTTTGGTGAATCGTATGCACCTCATTTAAAGTCTTCGTGACAAAAAGTTTCTTTCCATTCAAGAGAGTGGTCGGAGTCTTTGGTGGAACTTTCTCGTCAAAGTTTATAGGCAGCGTTTTGGATTTCTTCATCGGCAGTATGGGTCTACTTGGCGGTGCTTTCGGCGGTTTCTTTGGGGTCGCATCCAAAATGGGCGGAGATAGTGGTCCATTGGAATTTGGCGACAGTGCTCCGTTAGTCGGAGAGAGTACTCCATTTCTTTCTGTGTGAATTCCATTTCCGTTGGTTGAGGGTACAGACCCATTGGTGCCGTTGTGTTCTGGAATATGGAGTTTGAGTTGGGTTGATGTGCTGACGCCGTTGACGGCATCAGGGCAGCCGTTCGGTGCGGTCGGCATATCGTCTAAGCTGATGTTCGCTTGCGTTTCCTGTATTGGCGGAAGTGTCTCCCGCGGTGAAAGTCCAGTGCCATTTCACGCGCGATGCAGTATTATTGTCGCGGGCGATGCGGGATGCTTCGGGACATGGTTTCGAAATAGAACCGGCGCGAGAGCGCTCCGCGGAGTAACTGCCGCTATCTCGGTCGCCGGGCCGACTCAGCCGCTCGACTATTTTGGTTTACTTAGATGTCGAAGTGCACGAGAGAGTGACACGCATTGGACCTTCAAAATTTTGGACGTTCGTCGTCCGCTATTCGCTATACAAACAAAACACACGATGTCCTTTCGATTTAAAGCCGGTCGAAATGTCGATTTGTCTTTATAAAGTGCCAATTCCAAGAATTTGGATGTGGTTGAGAGAAATATCGTTTGTTTTTGTTCAATAAAACTTTAAAACTTCTGATTTTCTCATTTATTCGATACTCTTGCTGATGCACCAATGACTTACACAATTATTACTGTAATTGTCACCTCATTGTCGATAATGCAAACTAACGCATTTCCATCGACAGCTCATTAATCATTCGATGAGGCAACCAGGTCATCGATAAGAATGTCATTGGTTCAGACCAGACGCTGCGCAGGAGTAGCGGACCGGAAACCCTGAAGGCCGCAGGTCTGTTTGTTTAGCGATTTATGATTAGTAAAACAGTGGTTTATGCAACAGTAAACACGGAAAATAGCGGTTTCAACTGCATTCAGTATTATTGTTTAACTAGCGGCTATAACGTATCGTTGCATAATTTTAGATTGTGATTCAGCTATTTAGTGGTAAGAGTATTTGTGGATAGACACGAATAACGTTACTGGACAAAAAATTTAAATAATTGTTAACGAATTAAAAAAAGGAGAGAAATTCGCATCATAAATTAAACCTAGGGCAAAAAAAAAAACACTTACTCTGGTTTGAAAGTATTTTTTAAGAATTATTTGTAGGCTTTGCAATGATTGCTTCTCGTATACCTACTATGTACATATCAAATTCTTAGTTGTTGGATAGCAGTCAATCCAAATAATTTGGACGCTGGTAAATACGAGTAAACCGTTCACGTTTACACTAACATGAGCCTTTGACGTGATTCGCTGTATTTTCGCCAAAGACGCATGAATGTTGACGTAAAATTTTATATTGTAAATGTTCTGAACATGAATGCGGAGGACACACATTTCTGGCAAAAACACTGCACAAGCCGTCAGAATTATAAATTATGTTATTTTAATTATCTGGACACGTCGTTTTAAGTGGATCTAGATAGGCAAGTGTTACGTAGAAATAATCTAAACTCAACTCTACTAGAGCTTCTTTACACTCTTTAAATTTTCTAATCACGACGCAATGTAAAGACTAACTAGCGTTATTTTAGTCCCAAAAATATTGAAGTTTTTGAAAGATACTAGATTTTTCGGTAAGCCTAAATAAAATGAGCTAAGTCACAGGCTTCTTTTAACTAATTTAGTACACTGATCGTTTTTCATGGCCTGGTGAAAATATTAGGTAACCTACAAAATCAGATTTTTATAGTTAAAAATGTGCTTTGATTGACTTGACCGAGATTCTGTTTAGTAGCTTTTAGTTATTCTAGAATCTGTTCAAAGATGTTATGACATATGCTCCCATTTTTTTTATTTCAGTCGTTAATTTAACGATGAATAACTGTTTTCAAATTTTGGCCAACATGTTGTTTTTTCGTATTATTCCTAATGTTACAGAAACAATTTTCACACTACGATTTTTTAACCCGACATTTTTGATCTGTGGATTATTTTTCGGTTCGTAAAAGACATTTAACAATTTACAGTAATGCTCAAATGGCCTCTTGCCAAGGCTGTAAAGTTGATGCATAAAAAAGTTTGTACATAATTCAAGAGAGCTAATCCCAGTTAGGGACGGCGCACATTATCGGGATACCGTGTCATAATAAATTGTCGTAGGTGTGTGTGCGCTTATAGGGATGCTTAGTATCTCTTGCCGTCCCAACAATGTGCGCAGTCCCTTATTCGATCCCGAGTCCCGATTCGGCGCGCGCGCACGCCCGCCCAACGAATAAATAACCGGCCGTCTGGTCTGCCAATGCGCTTGATGCAACCGGTCACGTATTGCCAACATTTAAACTTTTCAGCTCGGAAGCTTCAGAAATGATTGACAGTCATTTGATGTCGTTTATGTGCGGTACTAAAAGTCTTTCTTTAAGGCTAAGATCGTAATATTTTACAAGGAGTGTGACATAATCTTACGCAGATTAAACTCATACAGAAATATAAATTTTAAGTTGTAATCTTCAGTTTCAATTGCCAGTAAGATAAGTCCTTTATCTGCAGAATGAGTTTCGCATTCTTATGTGCATTTATAAAATGCATGTCCTTAATACTTGCTCTACTTTTTGACAAAATACCTATCGGTTGCTGCTGAGAAAAAGTGGCGGAAGACACTTAAGGTTCAGCCAAACCAACGCGATCAGCCGGCGTGCAGCGATGGCAATCAAACTTAAAAGCATTGATGAACCTTTAATCACCTTTGTCAGCTTATACTTACNGCTTATACTCGTAACTTGCAAATGGTTACATTGACCATGAGTTTCCAAAAATTATGTAACTCAAGTGTCAGATGTAGTCAACGAAAGCGATTATAATGCGTAACCTAACGTACTCGCAATCTTTTCATTGTATAGCAAAAGCACAATTTCATACATTTCTTGATGTCTAGAAAGCTTTACAATACGATTACTAAGTTTCGTAATGGCGGATGACATACAAAGATGTTGCGGTGATGTTTTATAACCACACAAAATACAAGCAAAAGATTCACATGTCATGTCCGACACTCGAGTTTCAATTGCGAATCGAATAACCTTCACTGACGAGTTGAAAATACACAGTTTTTAAGTCTGAATTTTCGATACATTTAGATATGCACGCTATACTGAAAAACAAATTGTTTTTAACAAGTATTAGATGTGCCCGCGACTTCGTACTCTTGAAAATTGAATAATTTTTCCCGTTTTTGCAACATTTTTCATTGATGCGTTGCTCCTATTGTTTGAGCGTGATGTTGGATAAAATGTAACATTTTAAAATACCTATTTATTATTATTAGATTAGTACCTGTAGATGTTAAGTATTCTTTAAGAATCTTTAATATCTTTTAATCGTACATTGTGTGAATACACATCAAACAACGAAACTACACAAAACCTAAAGATCACTGTGAGAAGAAACATGGTCGTTAAACGTGTACAATCATGTGCGATTACACTTCATTTGGAAACGTAATAATTGCACAAGGTGAAGAATCGGCGACAACAATTAAATGATGGTTCGCACGCTCTCGCTACAAGATTTGCAGTATTTGATTTGGAAAGAGACAGAGATTGAAAATCACCATGAATCCGCACTAGGCTGGTAGAGATGGCCGAAGTGACCTAACAGTTGGGGTGAGCCCTGCCTGTCCTCTATAAAGGACGTCTTCTTCAACCAAAGGCCTACCCTAAGGACACAACGACAGCTGGTCCTGATGGGTTTACTTTTTTTAGGACTATGTAGAGATATCCCCTCTCGATAGAGAGGCTGGTGAAATTGCTAATTGAGATAACACACTTTACGTAAATTTACTTTGTGTACCATTTCTTCGTTCCTAGTTTCTTCAGGTTAGGGCTTGAGTCTATGAAATTAGCTATGTCGGACGTCTAACGGCTCATAAAGTCAGAAGAAAGGCAGTAAAGAATACGCAATGAAATGATAACCACACAAACGTCTAGCATTAAACCGTCGACGTATCAGAGACAACAATATAGTGTAATTTTCTAGTTATTATCTGCACTGTCTCACGCTCTCCCTGTCTTTAGTATTAGTAGCAAAGTGGCGAGCGATTAAAAATATTGCGTAACTTCGATCGGTCTACTATTATCGAATCTACTTTAAAAAATACCGATATACCTATTATTTTATGTAACTTGATTGGTCTGCTATTACATTGTATAATAAAACTAAAGCAAACGTCAGTATTTTATTGTTATTATGCGAAAACCGTCACGCTACACTAAGCAATGAATTTCCACGGTATTTTGTGACGGACAATGTATGCAAATCAAATGCAAATAGAATTTGAAATTGATAAGCGTGTAAAAGCAAAAGTAATGAAAAACACATAATTTGTGCGAGTTTTATTCATTTGCTCGAATTATTTTGAAAAGCAATGTTTGAAAAACAAGGATAATGTATTTCGGGACGTTTAAATCACCGAAAATAGGTCGCGTGTCGACCGTAACTAATAAAGTGCGCGTTCAAAGGAAAATTATAATGTAATGAAATTGCAGCGCCAATGAACAAGCCTTTAGTTAGGTCTCGGATACACTGGAACTGGATGGTAAGGGATAAATTCAACACTTAATGCATAATCTGTGGACTTGATTTCGAAATGTTTACCCGCCAAAAAACATCAGCACGTTTAATCTGTGGAGTGTGGATGTTCGATTTTGAAAGAACGCCCATTTTACGCACCAAACATTTCGTAAAAGTGACAGACACATTTTATATGGTCCCTATTGAGTCATTAGCTCTATATCAGTGTTATTAAAGCATTTAATTACAGGATAACTATGATCAAAGCGTGGACTTCTCCTTGGTATATTCAAGGGTTTATTGTATTGAAATAGTGACCTGGATATTGAAAGCATTGTCATGTTTGTATCAACAGATTAAAATCCGTTGAGACATTTTACGGAAGAAAATTGAGACGTTCACATCCAATTAGCGTTTCTGAACTCGAATTCTTGTCCCAATTATTTTGTTTGGGTGTAAATTGGATTTTGAGGTACAGTTAGAGTTGAAAGTACCTATGTAAATATCACGCCCATTTACGGTAAAATAAGTATGTAGATTGTAGGTAGGTATAGCTGTAAGTTCCAACAATTGTAAGGAAGACGTGACTTAAACAGTGATAAAACAAGATCATACTAAGTTGGCTAAGTTCTGAATATTGAAAACAAGAGTGTTAAGAAAAAAACAAATCTTAAAAATGCGGTACGATTAGATAAAAATAAAGTTTAAATTTGAAACAGTTACGTTTGCCAAATAACTTCGTATTAAGCTATTTGTATCAGAATAAATAATAACAATTCAGAAGCTCATTAAAATAAACGAAA